TTTCATTCCCATGTAAAATACGTACGTTGAACAAAGGAAGTCATGGTTACTTATTATTTGTTTGCTTAACCTCTAATTAATTACATACGGACGTTAGAGGTGAAATTATTATGCTTGTTTAAAATCCTTTCTTTTCAGCCATCATAAGAACAATGCTTCTTCATTTCGAATGCTCCTCACAATAATTTTCGCCTGAATTTAGCCGCATTGTTTTTAAACAAAATAAACAGCTAAAATAATAATAATAATAATAATAATAATAATTATTATTATTATTATTATTATTATATTTTAAGGTGGAAGACGTAGGAATTGATTGGATTGCTCAATCTTCCGTGCCCATGAAGAAATTAATGTTCCAAATAGAAAATGACGACCGTGAGTATGTACAGGAAGTTGCTCAGGTTAACTAAAACGTCGTTAATCTTACTGACAAGGGTAGAAATTACATGTTTAGCCTTTTCGAACATTTACAGGTTTAAACACACCCGCAACACACTGTGAGAAGGATTCCTATCTTAAGAACAATTGAAACAGTAACATTATTAATAGAGAAAATATTTGCAAAAGTTTAACGAGGATGGTTACGGGGCTAATTTAATTTGGGCGCGGACACCTTTAAACGTATGGGAAACAGAGCTTGTTTCGGAGACCTAGTAATACCACCTAGATTTCTTACGTGTCTCGCCGAAAAGTGGCCAAGATAGAAAGAATTAACATGAATAATAATATGTAATTAACAATAATAAAAATAATTATAAAATTTGCTTTAATTTTGGAGATATGCAACTTTTAAGACACCGAATGAGCATTCTTAGGAATAGAATCCATGTAGAACGTATTATTGCTCGCATTAAGAAATTTAAAAAACACCCGCTTATTACAATAATAATGTTATGGTTGGCCACACTGTGAGATCGGGGTAGTTCTTCAGTCTAGACTCAACCTTTTTTTGGGAAAACCAATAAGAGGATGAATTGATTCACCATTACTTGAACAAGAACTTGACTCTTGGATCAAAAAGTTAACTCCTTTTTTGATCACTACCTTAGAACAAGAACAGAAAAAGTGAATAATGCTTAAGTCACTTCAAAACTTTCAGACACATCATACAACTTTATCAAGACGTGCTTCAGCATGACCTATGCTATTATCAGTTTAATTCTTCTGCTAGCAGACGAAAACCGAACATGTTAACTACTTGCGCTGGCAAAAAGACGGAACGGTGTTGTTGTTTGAAAATAATTCGGGAAGTTGGAAACTGTGAGATCGGGGTAGTTCTTCAGCACCAGAACTTGGAAAATAATTGTGTTTACGCAATTTAGTGCTCTCCTATTCAGGATCTCCGAAATTGAATGGCAATATTTCAATATTTCATATACAGTCACACGGAATAGCTGGACTAGTTACAATTGTTCACAGATCTAGCATGACACTCAGTTGGACTTGCGGAACTTTGGAAGGTTCAGAAATCCCCTTAGTTTGTAAAAGCGGAGACTTATGAGGCAAAGAGAAAGCCATGACTTAAGTGGGTTATTTATCGATGCGCAAAAATGTTTAAGAATTCCCTTGAGTTTAAGTAAAATAGAAAACTTTAAAAAAAATTCTGTTATTACTTGGTTTTACTTTAATAGTTTTATTACTCAGATTCGTTAGCTGTTTAGAGTGTATTTTGCACCCTTGTTCTAAGGGGTCATGGTTTTGTTTTGGTTTTAGAGCGTATTTTGCACCCTTGTTCTAGGAGTTTTTTTAAAAACTACATTCTAGATTATGTCAGAATCCGCTTACCGTTCATTTGCAAACCAAATACTCCCTGGGCTTATATGCAGCCAAATCTGTTTCACAAATCCTTAAAAGAGGATTGTGCAACTTTCACGTACTTTAATTCGTTATTTGTACGTGGGAGACAAATTTAGTTTTCGTGCAGTAACGGGCCGTTGTTATTTAAGGAACCTGATGTCAAATCAGATCTTTTTCACGACAAAAAACCGAGTGCCACTTGGATCATTTAGAAGCCTTGGTAATGAAGTGAACTATTTGGAGAACAACTTCTTGAACTTGTTGTAACCTTCGTAAACGCTGTCGGTTATGGGGGAACCCTCTACGCAAAGTGTCATATAAATAGCAAGCCCGCGTATTTATAGTCTTATAGAGTTGTTGATGGTGACTGCGTGGATTTGTCGCTAGTTAGAATTTTACTAAATCTGATTTTCTATGATTCTCACAGGCGGCAGTACGTGTAAAGGGTACTATTCGTCATTAGAGGGCATACGCCTTTTCTGTCAAAAATGGTATATATAAAACGGTAAGAGATTGGACATCGAGGCGGAGCCTTCCATATAAAACATTATTGAGTGACCCCAACTACTGGAAGTTTGTGTTAGAAATAGTAATTGTCATTCTGTTCCGTACTTCATTTGCCAAAAATAAAATACATGACGCAACAGGCCAAGATTTTTGGGGAGCTTTTTAATCAAGTCAGTACCGTGCCAAGTTTTCCTAAGGCAAAACATTTTCATTCTTTTAGTGACATGAAAGCAGGCATTTTCGGACAGACACGAAGCCATAAATATGATTGAGTCACCGATGGGGAACGATCGGTTCTGTGTTGTTTGAGACATGGAGCTACAGTATTGACCTGTAACCATGATCAACATGTTATCCCTTCGAATAATTTAACCAACCCTTAACAGTCAGGTTCAAAGCAGTGCGTGGTTTGTTTCCTGTTCGGACTTGTTTCTCAGTTCATACAGTAGACTTCATTGGATAAAGCAAGTCAACTCCATTTTAAGCCTGTCTAAACTAATCGCCAATGAAAACTACCATGTCGTTTCTAAAATAAATCCCTGGTTGTTTTCCCTCAGTAATGTCAGTGCAGATAATGGAACCAAGCAAGCCGCCAAAACTAAGTAAACGTTATGTCATGTTCTCAACGGTGTGAACTACAAAACAAGTATTATAGACAGTTGTGGTGTGGCTTTTGTACAGCTTCTCTAATAACTTCGACTTTCCGTATCTTCTCTCCCTCGTGTCGAACTCAGAACGCACACGTTTACCAAAATTGAATGCCGTTGTTATTTATTCTGGTACTTGTTTAGATGTAAAAGAATCGTCTTTTCTACTTAAGCCAATGCAATGAAACCTCGGTTTCACGAACACTTTATAACGAGCGATATTCTTCGTCACCTTTAAACTGAAAATACAATATACGATATAACGAAACCTCGCGTTATAGCGAACATATTTTGCCTTGACTGTCCTTTGGGCCGTTCTTAAACCCATCCAGAGCTTCTATATAAGAAGAGTGTGGTCTCGATTTCTAGGTTGAAGTTCTTTTTCAGCAGAGAGGACTTTCAGAAGTTGTTTAAATATTTCTTGCCGTAATATTTTGCTGGGTTAGTCAGGGGTATCTGCTGCATATGATTTTCTTACTTTTGTAACTGATAATAACGCTTCATGCAAAATATCGCTCGCAAAAATAATCACGGTTGTGACGTTTTTGTCCGCAGCTGCCGCGAAGCTAACGCACTCGCTTATTCGAAGCAAACATTTTGGCCCGCCGTGATTGGCCTCAGGAAATATTTCTTTTAAAATGGTCGGTGAAAATTTGTTTGCTTATTTCTGGCTGTTCTTCGGGAATCGATTTGCAGTACAGAACTGTAATTAGTTTGTTCTCCCAAGATATTAAATATTTTATTGACCATGCTTATTAGGTCATGAATGCAAATGGCTAGATCTGAATGGCCTATATAGTTTCTGTCTCCGTTTTTGTGGATCTAGACTTGCTCTTTTCCATAAAGGCGATCAACATTGAAAAAAAAAAAAAGACTTTGGTATAACGCGATCAATTTTGGACTAGAGCGGTGACTCGAATATTTTCGTTTTCTCGCTCGTACTATTAAAGCGCTATACCTTCAAAACCGCGAAAGAGATGATCTTCTAATCTTTTCTGATATGTGAAAAAATGGGATGAAAAGCTACCAGACGTTTTTGCCTTCAATCGCTCCGTTTACGAGGATCGATTACGGTTTATGCTTTTTCAATAAATCAGATTTTTCCCCAACGTTTTTAATTTGATTACGTTTATATACAATGCAACCGCTTTCCGGCTTTGCGAAATAAGAAAATAAATTAAAACATGTTAAAATATTAAAGGATTATGCATTTATACATTCTCAGACTGCAGCATTTCTTCAGTTAGGTGTACAAGAAAATGTTAAAAGCGCCGTTGTCTGTGTTCCTGCTTAATTGCTTCCACGAGACGAAGACAATGTAAAAAGGGAAAAGATGTAGGCCCGCTGTTAGTTGAGATGTGTTTCCTACGAAAAATTTTATGGCCAAGATGGCCGTACATTAAAGAGTATATTTTCCTCAGTTCTTTGGAGGATATTTCGTCTGTCTACCGCCCTGATTCTGTGGTTGAAAAGGGTGTCGATGAACAACATTTTTTATATTTGTTGTACTTCTGTGAAAGGTATTTGATGAAACAGCTGTAATTTGTATTGTCCGGCTCACTTTTTGTTTAAAAACATCTCAGTCAATATCCATCAAAATCAATTTTTAGAACGAATAAATTATTCATTCCGACAATGCATATGCCGGTGTCGAAGCATTTTCGATAAAGATGAGTAGATGCCCAGAAATTTTATTTGACGTGAAAACATTTCAAGCCCGTTTATTTACGTTTGAGCGAATACGCGGTATTGAAGGAGGGGGGATTAGAATTGAAAGTGACATTTACTGGAGAATTTCTCTCTTGTTGTGGGTGTCATTGTGTCAAAGCTTGTTTGCGCATTATAAACCAACCTGAGTTATCGCACCAATCATGAGTCTTCCTGTCGAATATAATATTGCAAGTGAATCAGAGCTTTGGTCTTGAGTAAGTCGGCTATTGTTACTTTCCCAAATTTGCATAAGAGAATTTTTAATTTTCCGCCGCCTTTCGAATTCTGTGCTTTAACTCAAACCGGGACAGAATTTGAAGAAAGGGACAGAAACAGTAGTCATTATTTTTTTCAAGTAATTACTTGCCGTGAGGGCTGTTGAAGAAAGTTCAGACTGACTGACTTTGCCGTGGATTGTATAGGCGAAAACCTTGGTGATGTAGATTCAAACGATTTTATCTTTCGACCACGACAAAGAATTTCAACGAGCCATGTTCAGTGACTTTTCTATCGGATATGGCTACCTCCCGGTTGGATGGGCTATTTTCACCTCGCTTACCTTTCTCATGTGCTACGGCATTGCTGTATCGCAACATCACATTTATCCGTTTGTACCCGCTATAAGCGACACGGGCGCCCGGGTCCCCGAATCGAACATTTTCTCCGAGTTTTTTAATTTTTCTATGGTCTTGATGGCACTCAGTTTGTTTGTTCGCTATCTGCAGTTTGAAATGTTGACAAAAGGTTTGGATTCTCCTGATCTTCTCCTCAGACGTTTGAACAAGGTTGGCTTAGGTTGTGGCCTTGTCAGTGTGTTTGGCGGTACAATCATTGCTAATTTTCCATCCAACGAGGTATGTTCCAATTTACTATTGCCTGTGAGATTCTTGATTATTACTAACTTATCGTTTAGCCTTCCCTCTTAAATTTGAGCTTGTTATAATCGATATTTATTGTGTTTTACGTGTTGATTTATTATTTACTGTACCAAAGTTTTGGAATACCTTTAATCAGAAAACCACAAATTTTTTAGTTCTTCATGTGCATTTCAGCAGGCTCTCACCTTTTGCTCCTTCTGCCCGTTTTCTGATTGAAATAAGCAAATATATTATTGACAGTTTGTTTCATTATAAACCGATCAAATAAAATCCCGTGATAAAGTAAAAATTACTTTCATTTTTAACCAAAATCGTTGTGTGTTTTTTTTCTAGTTATAGTACATAGACAGAAAAACATCCATTTTTTTCACAAAATGCAAATTATGCTATGTTTTTTAAGTGTAAACTTAATTACGCAAACAAGGTATGGGTTCAGCACGATCTTCTGGAATGTGATAACCGCCGTCAAGGCCCTTGTATGAACACCGCAGACTGATTAAGTTATTTCCATTAAATGTCTCTGAATTAAATAAATTCTCGGCTTGAATTTTACCTCTTTCAAAAGCCCAGACTTGCAGAGCATCATCGGTTAATATTTAGACTTACAATCTATATTTTTGGAGTTCTCTTTGGATATGACATGATCTGACAAGAGCCCGTAACTTGTTAACTCGGCATTTTTAACCCTAACAAAGAAATATGCCCGAACTAATTTCTTAAAATTAATATAGCTTCTTTAAAATCAAATTTCTGATTTATGGAACCAGCTACCTTTAAATATTCGTTGTTCTGGTAATGTTAATATTTTTTAAGTCTAAAGCTAGGAAAATCCTTACAGATTCTTAAGTATTAGCACTTGGTTCCTTGATGTTTTTTAGCAAATTATATCACATTTTTATATTTTATACTTTACATAATTTTTTTCTGTATTTTTGTAATATTATTTGTATTGTTTATCAGTATTTATATAGCTCACAGGTGATCTGTTTTTATATGGGATTCTGGACTCCCTTATGGATTACCCCTTGGCTCTTTTTTAAAATTGTATTTTGTCAGTTTATGCCATAGATTTGTAATAAGTAAATATACTTTTATTGACTAACAGCAAGACAACATGATTTACGTGCACGATGCTGGCGCGGTTCTGTTGTTTGGAAGCGGTGCTCTGTACTGTTGGGTCCAGTGCTGTCTCACCTATAAGTTAACTCAGCTGGGAATCAACTCCCAGTTCCTCTTTGCAGTTCGCTTCATTCTGACATGCGTGATAACCGCGTTCGGCTCGATTTTTTTTGTGGCGGAATTATTCGCTTACGAAGAGTTTCGTCACCAGACTGCTCACGTGGTCGCTAACTGGCAGCCCTCAGACCCAGGCTACAGCGTCCACGTTCTAAGCAATGTCAGTGAGTGGATCGCAGCACTGTGCTTTGGCTTGTTCGGTATCACATTCTTCGAGGAATTCCAGAAGATCTCTTTGCACGTAGAATGCAGTGAGAAATATGTCCAGGAACGTCAAAGCAGCCCATTACTTGAGTATGCAAATATAGACAGTGGTGATGAAGAGTAATTACATTGATTATTGATTTATAATTCGGCATACAGTCAACTCTTTCGATCTCTAAGACGGACACCTGCGGGACCGGCGACTTTCCGTCTTAAAGAGGTGTCTGGCTTTATGGGAGTCAAGGTCAGAGACGTGACACCTGTAATTTTAAAGCTGAACCTATTCGCAATGAATTCACGTGTGTTTAACTTGAACGGCACAGCTAAAACTGGAACATTGTAACAGAAAAGTGGAATTTTTTTCTCACTGTGCAATCAAACGTTCTTTACAAGCAAACGTTCACGGCTTCGTGGTCTCAAAGCGTAACAGTATACACTGGAACAGGTGCAAGACTACAAAATATCAAACACTTTCCAATTTACTGTCATGTAGAGCACCTACATTTTTGTTTTGAAGTATTTTTCACTTCATAAAGCACTTCTCAACTGTCCGTTGGCGGTTTCAGAAGTGTCTGTTGTCCGTATTATGGAGTATAGTCACAGGAAAATGACTGAAAAACGGCAGGGAACAACATGCACCAGGTGTCCGTCTTAGAGAGGTGCCCGTTTCATAGAGGATTCCGTTGAGAGAGAGTGGACTGTACGACTGAATAATTTATTTATTGAATTTAGGGAATTTTTCTCAATTACCATCATGATAACAGCTCTGCATGGGAGATCTCACATCTCAGTTATATTAGTCAGATTTTCACCAATTTCTCAGCCATCAGTCAAAATTTCATGGCCTATCAGTGAAATTTTTTTGCCACATCTTACAAGTAAAATTTTTTACCACATCTGAACCCCATACAGAGTTTTTATATCCTTAAAGTCCAGCACGCAGTGATTTTTTTACGTTTTATTTAGGGATTTCCTCAGTTACGAGCGACTTTTTTTAAACTATTTGTAATTTGATCAGAAGACTACCTGTTTCATCAATGCCGGGTTCTGCCGTTGGATAATGTTTAGTTGTCAAGTGAACGTTATCTCTCAGGGGCTGTTTACAAGGAGCTAGGGAAGAGGATCCTAGTACTAGGAAGATCCTAGAAGGCGGAACTACCTAACGTCATATGTTTTCTCTATTCAGTTTGCATGCAAAGAGTCGTACTTGTCCCTAGCGCTAGGATCTTCTTAGTTAAGTACTAGCAAATCCTTGCTGAGAGGTACCTAGTTCCGTGTAAAAGGCCTTCGCGCGAGGAAGATCCTATATTGCTAGGGATAAACCACTCATAAATGGCGGCGTCTCGTTCTTTCTCTACTATTAACCAATCGGACTGAAATTTCTGCATGTAAACCCAACGAAAAGTTGTTCCGCCATCTAGGATCTACCTGGTGCTCGGATCTATCTTAGTCCTTCCATGTAAACAGCCTTTTAGTTTCAGATAAACGGCCATGTGCTGTGAACTAAAAGAGAGTTTGTCAGATAAGGGTTTGTAGCAGCTGTGTATCTTTATTGAAGAACTGTTGTAAAAAGTTTATTATTCAGTGGTCACTAAGAGGGCAGGGGATGGGTAATCGATAATTTGACATTTGATCAGAATTTGACAGAAAGTCAAGCACGATAAAACCTTTAATGTTGCTTAGACCAAAAAACATTAATTCTCATCGATCTTGAATAACGGAAACTAATAAACATGCCCATTCACTTTCGTGGTTTTTGTTCATTAGATCTCGCTAAAGTGAACATTCAACTTATCGAAAGAACCCTATTCATACGAAGGCCTCAAATTGGCACCGACTTTGAGAACTATTTTGTATTTCAAAATTTGCAAAGGGCTGGTTTCCTTGGATTTACCGTGCATGACATTTCTCGTTTGTTTACTCCTTTTGGATTATGGGCCGGTTATGGGGATTTTCAACTTAAATCTTAATTTTTCACAGAAACCATATTTTTTCTCTTGAGAGATCGAGTGCGCGCCTGGAAGTACTTGAAACCTCGGGAATGATTTATCGACCAAAATCCCTGAAAGAAAGAAAAAAACGGCTGTGGCCAGACTAATGTCAAATAAATTATTTTAATAGGACAAACTGATTTTATTTTATGACACAAATGCCTGACGTTTTATTTTCTTATTGATAGTTTTTCAACGTGTAAGCCGTGTAAGGATCAGAAAGTTTTTACCGTGGTCGCCTTGGCTACACGTGTATCGCTAGAAAAACGGGGAGCATTCCTCATTATCATTTTTGAAAGCATGCGTGATGATCAGCCACTGGGGAAGAAAATAGGAATTGCCTAGACAAGGCCCCGTATGTCCTAACAAAGAACTTCTAAACGGTTATCTTTTTTCGTAAATTGAAGAGAACTTTCACACTTTTAGACTGTTTTTAAAACTGAATTCATCGAGAATTTAAACAAAGCACCAAGTCGATTTATGTATAGCTTTATGTGAATGAACATAATTCAGGATACTAAGTAGGATTTTATCCAAAGTAGGCTACGTTTAACTTAACTTAAGGATTTCAAGAACCACCTTGTACAGCATAATAAACTTTACCACAGGAAACAAGAGAGAGGAAAGTAACTGCTCAGTATAGCTTTCTTTAAATGTTCACACTGTAAGATCTAGATCTTCCACAGAATCAAAAGTTAGAACCACTTTGTATACTTCTCAGAGTAGCTTTCGTTTGAATGTTCACACTCTAAGATTTCTTTCACAGACTCAAAAGTTAGAACCACCTTGTCGACTACAATTTATAAGCACAGGATAGTAATCAGCCTAGTAATCAGTACTTTTCATATGAATGGTCACACTTTATTTAGGATTTCACCCACAGACTCAAAAGTTTCAACTACCAGCGACACCCAACGACTGTTTTCTGTAACATATCTTTCGGAAAAGCAAGTATTGCCTAGAATTTTTATTGCTTGAGGAAAGCTAAAAATTTCTAGAAGACCGTTCCATTCCCGTACAGTTTTCAAAGCTTTTCTGATAAATTCCCTACGCTTTTCTGAAGTCTGATTTTTTACATTTGACACCCCAGGTTAGGCTATTTTCGTAGGAAAACGGAAACCTCGGTTGTGAACTGGAAGAATTTTGCAGTGGGAGTGGGGAAATATTAGAGTTTACATCACCAGGCTTGCCAAGAGAGAATGATCATTCTCTCTTGGGCTTGCTTATGCAAGAAAAAAGACGCGTCTTGAATAAAACTAAGGGCCTGTTTACATAGAGGTGTGGAATCCCAGGTAGGTGAGGTAACCCGCTTAGGTGGGGTAACCCGCCTGTCCATATAATCTCTTATTTACTTTTATTACGTTTACATGATAGGTGGGGTGACCCGCCACATGTTACCTCACCTACCTGGGGTCCCCCACCTTCATGTAAACAAGCCCTAAAACTTCTCGTATAAATGGCACAAAAAAAGCCTGTGGCGTGGCGTCTTAAATAAGGTACGACTTAGCTAAGACGCATTCCGGCATGCTCGAATAAATAGTGCAGTTAGTGCCTTATTTTAGAGCAGTGTCTGAGGTAAGACGCATCTTATACCTTCTGTATAAATGGCATTACAGTCGGTGATTTCTTAGCCTATACCAGGCAGCAATGCATTTCTCTGTTACAAGTTTCTTTAAAATAGCTTCCTTCCGCTTTCTATCTATGCAATTATCTATTTACTAGTTATTACCGTGTGACACGAAATTTTTGCGAGAGTTTATTTTTGCGGATTGGCGATTTTTTGTGTTTGACGGGAACCAGGAAATTTTTGTGATTAGGGCAGATTGGTTTTTTTCGCTGGGATTTAATTTTTGCGATTTTAAGAAAGTACCCAGTACCCAGCATTAATAATATTTTCGTTTTCGTTAATTACATAGAAATACATATCAGTTTTCCGAACACTACTACGGTATGCGTACCCCATGATGTAAAACCAGCAATTCATTGTATACCGTTTTGTTTCTGAATGAAAGAGACAAGTTTTGCAGACACGATTTCTTAATACTGTATTTTTGTGTAGCAAATTTAAGTTAGAGAATATTGACTTTGGATCTAGTAAGTGTTTGCGGGAAAAATGTTTGCGGGAATTCTTATTGGCGGATCACTGCAAAAATCGCAAAAATTTCGGGCCACACGGTATTTATTTATTTCAAATCAATGGAAACAAGGAAGCCAAATGAATAGTTATTGTGGCTACTGCCTCCCGTTAGGAAGCGTAACCACAATTTCATGGCGTTGTGAGTAAGTCCGTAAGTCGGTAACTTGCACAGGAAGCCCACTATCTTGGTCAGGTTGAAATTGTGGCCGCGCTTTAAAAAGCGGTTTAAAAAATGCTTTTGGCGATGCATTTCGACGGCAGAAGTGTTTTGCAGAGAAAATGGAAGCGATTTGGACCAACAGCTTTAAAATAAGAGGAAAATCGTTGTATAAAAACATTCGTTATGCGCGTATTAAATTTAAGACTTTTCACACAGAGTTCTCAATTATTCTGAGTGTTGTAGTGGTAAGGTGAAGTCGCGAGGAGCCGATGGCGCTGGTTTCGGATCCTGTAACGTACCCCTTCTTTTTTCCTTCTATCTTTTTTTTTTTTGTCGTTTTTGTCTTTTTTGTTTTCGCTTTTGGTTGACACCTATTTCAATAAAGGTTGCTTTGGGAATCGTGCTTTGGTTTTTGAAAGCGGTCGCACGAGTGATGTGGTGGTCCTTCATCGTCAACCCGCTATGCCTCCAGTTCTTGCTTTGTGGCAAGTTTTGTTCTCTTAATACAACAATCAATGCGCATGTTATTGAAAGTACAGCGGACATTAGCCCTCTCGGGGTTAACATGGACGAACACCTTAGTGAACTGCGTATGAAAGCTAGCCAGAGAGTGGGCGTCCTCTCAAGATTAAGAAAGCTGATCCCTACGGAAGCAAAATTACTTTTATATAAATCCTCGATATTGCCATATTTAACATATTGTCATCTTATGTGACACTTCTGTAAAGCCTCCGACGCCAGAAAAGTTGAAAGAGTACAAGAGCGGGCCCTTAGGATCGTGTATAACACACATTCCGTGGAGTACTCTAATCTTCTTACCGTGCCAATCTATCTAGCCTACAAAATCGGCGTTTACAAGATCTTGCTACCTTAATGTATAAAGTTAAATATGGTTTGGTACCTAGTAATCTCGTTGTTATTTTTAGTGTTAAGTCATCCAAATATCACTCAAGAAATATGCATTTTCATTTACCCAGATTTAACAGTGTAAGTTACGGGAAACATTCTATAAGGTACTCAGTTGGACCATATATATGGTCTAGATTGGACAGCAAAATCAAGGATAAACCTACTTTACAATCCTTCAAGACGAGCATACGGCGTATTAACCCTGTGAATATTATAAGTGAAAATTGTGGCTCCTGTCTTATTTGTAGTACTTAAGAATTTAAAATATTTTAAGCATTTTTCTGTGTATTTCAGTGGGGATAAATCCGTAATCTTTTAACTTTTAAAATTTTACCTTTTATAAATTTTAGATTTTAGAGAATTATAAATTCACCTTATGATATCATGTATAAAATCATTTTATATTTTTTTCCTATTATTTTAGTGTCCCAATTAGCTTTTATAAGCTAAAGACATCGACACTTAAATAAAGTTGTTATGTTATGTTATGTAGCCATTGTTTGGTGGTCACTCAAGTAAAGCATTGCATTGTATTCTGTGTTTCAATGACCAAATCTCAAAGCAACCTTTATCGAAATAGGTGTATACATTTCTTTTTTTTACAGCGATATATTCTACAAAACTAAAACAGCAGCCACATGCAGTCACAGACTGCCGTTTATTTTATTGAGCTGTCGTGTATTGTATTGTTAGAAGGGTGCATCGGTTAGTCATGCATCAGGATTATGCCTGTGGTTATGCAAAACACTTTTAATGTAATTTCCAGAAGTTTGTAACTGACATAAGAGTGTATAGCATAATACAAGGTCAATTTAATTTGCATGCTTTGTCTTATTTCATTCTCATGAGAATCGTTCTTTGTTATAGCTTGTGAGGCATATTTTCGATTTCCATTTGGGTAACTAAATACAAATCTGAACTGACTAACTGCATCCGCATCCGCGATATAGTTTGATTTCCAGTCATGGTTACTATATCTTCTGGCCTTTGCTTTCTTCCAATCTTGTGGTCATTTCTGTTGGTCGTCACTGTGATAGTCTCTCGTTTAATGGCCAATAATACAGAGTTTGATGACTCTGTTCACTCGGCGAGCGCCTTTCAATGGTCGCATTCGATTTTCAGTCAACTTCTAGATTTGTTGGCCTTGGTAGGACTTCTTTCGATCTTCATTCGCTACTTACACTTGGAAGTGGTCACAAGAGGTCTTCCGCAAGAGACAAATGCAAGCATTGGACGTATAAGACTGGCGTCACTGATATTTGGCATGGGAACTATGACTGGAATAACGGTCATTAGCAATTTCCGTCAACCAGGGGAAAAAGTAAGATCAATTTCTGTTTCCATAATTTAGAATGACTAAAAAAATTTGAAGCCATTGTCAGCAATAGACTCTCCCACGTTTTTTTTTTTTTCAAGTTTTAATGAGGATCAATCGGCAGAAAATCCGTCGACACTTCTTAAAAGAGCGTCTTAACATTAGTATGGTGCCCCCACCATACAATATTAATATACTATATTTTGAGATACAGTGGAGAAAGGCTATATTTTGCAATGACAAAGCACGTATGACTTATTTTAAATTAATGACGTAACTGCTTACTCCGTATTAGCTTGGCGAACTGAAGTTGGAATGAATTTGTTGAATGGCAAGCGTAATGACTGTTGGAATACTATTTAACATTATGTGGAACGCAACAAATGCAGAATGATTCAGGAATGAATTCGACCAGGATGCACATGCCTTATTTTTAGAAACATTGGGGGCGCTTCGCTATTTATTTCTTTGATATATCAGTGCATAGGCATTCCACATGATTATGCCATTCCTCGAGCCATCTGCAAACTCATGATCAGTTGGTCACCTACCGTGTCGCGGATTTTAGCTTGGTGTTCTTTCAAAATGCTGTGATATGTCTGGTGGTTTCCATTTACACATTCAAACTATGCACGACTGACCTTAAGTGGTTGGCCAAACAGTTACAGTGTAGCCAAATCAGAAGCTAAAGCTTAGACCAACCTGAATACAGGAAAAATTGCATTGTCTCGTTCAACATTCCTATAAAGCTTCTGAAACAGAACGGAGAATGAACCAATTCATTCTCCAGTCCCTGTTGAATTTCTGCTTTCTCCCATTTTAGTTTATGTAAATGTTAAGTACTCATTGCACAGCAAAATCGAGGTGTTATGGTAACACCAAAAAAGTGTAAATTTTTGCAGCTGTGTGAACACCAAATAGGTGTTCAGTTAACACTACTGTCGTGTATATTTACACCAAAATGGTGTAAATATGACCTACATACGATCTTGAATGCGTTTAAAAACACCTTTGCAGTGTTACAGCAACACTGACCTGGTGTTTATTTTCTCTATATTGGTGTTTAGTAACACCAAAATTGGGTTAACGTAAACCAATTTTGGTGTTAAAATACACCAAAAATATGTCTCCTTTACACTGTTCTGGTGTTTTTGTTACACTAAAAAAGAGTAATGATGACACTGAATATGTGTAAAACCCATTGCAGCTGTGTGCACACCAAAGTCAGGTAAATTTACACTACTGGGAATTTTACACTGTATTAGTGTAGATCAACACTTCCAATTGTGTTATAACACACCGTTTGAGTGCTGAACCAACACTATTTGTAACTCATGAAGAAGTCTTAAAAGTAGACAAAGTAACAGCTACGACAACAACCTGTAAATTTGCTCCCATTTAATTGCTTTACCCTGATAGTAATAAAAACTTTGTTCTCTTCAGAATTCAGTAAAACAGCACGAATTAAAACAAGTGTTAAAAACTAAGAGGGCTGTACACCGTAGGTCTTTCTTTTCTAAGACTTTTTAGTTTTGCGGAGGATGAGAGCACACTGCATGAGAGAACGATTTTCTCTTGTAACCTTTTTTTAAAAATTCAAATATTAATATAGTCCTATACAGAACTACAGAAGCCGGAGAGATGAAATTTGAAACAACGTGGATCTTCTTTTTAAGAAACGTTTTTGCCACCGTCGTTGTCGTCGTTCGGCTTATCTATTGATGTGAAAGGCAGATTACACAACAAGTCGTGTAGATTTAATTTTAGTTTGCTTTAATTACGAGCTTGGAACTGATTCAGTTCATTCATGAGCTGTAATACCTTAGTCGGTATATTAACATTGTCCATTCAAAACGTCTCTCTGGGACAAATGAATATGAGTGTCTGCATTCTTCCGGATATTCTATATTACACACAACATATATTAGAGTGAGCAAGGCGCTGGTATGTCCTCGATTAACCTTTAGAGGGAGATTCCTTTCCCCACTCAGGTATATATCATCTGGGGCTTGCAGTTGCCCCTCAAAGATGATGAAGTGCGTCATTCCCTCCTTGCCGTTCTCGGCAACTTTATTAGCATCAACACCATTCTATAAAGAGGAAAAAAGATGCAAAAGAACACTTTCAATAAATGTGTTTTCTCAAATGCAGCATAATAAAAGTCAATAAATATTGAAATGGAAAGTTTTGTATGTTCATCCAATTCTTCAGATGGCCCGAACCTATTTATATGCACGTTGGGTATGTTTTTGAATCGCGTTTTTCATTTTTGGCATCCTAAATAAAGAATAGTGCAAATTTAAGAAAATGTTGTCTATTTTTGTGTAGGTTTAACACTGTTTGAGATATCAGCTTATGTTTAAAACCGAATTTTTACAAAAACTGTCAAAAACATCATAGAAATCGGTTGAATGGTTCCTGCCGAAAAACGAATTAGGATTGTAGTACAAGCATGAAAGATTTAGCCTGATTAAATGAGGACATAATGTTTGCCTTATGCTCAACTTAATTCTGTTTGTGAGACTCCTTCACTGAATTGTTTCACTGCAATAGGCATTTCTCGATAAAAGGCAAGTCCAGTGTAACTTTTCCAAACTTTCCTTCCCAAAGGGTTATTAAATTTTTGGAATCACTGTCCATATTCACATGTACTTTCTGTTCCCGTGGAATCTCTAGGAATGAGTTTGTTACTGCCACAGCACTATCTGAAGAATTGATTGACTTTGTTTTATATTTCATCTGCAAATGAAGCAATCTTTCTTTTTCACGTTCTGTTTGACGCCACAGTTGGTGAAACTTCTCTTGATTTTTTTTTTTTTGACAGAAGACAGTTTTTCTTCGGTTGTCTGTCTTTTCTTTTTTTTCTAAAACTAGCTCTTCATGAGCGTTTTTCTTTTTTTGTTTTATTTCAAGCCTTCTTCGTTTATTTCGAGCTCGTCTCTGACGCCTTTTTGCCTCATCAGATCTTTTCCAACTAAAAAAAAAAAAAAATGCCGCGAATAATAAAAATTTGTTCAAAGGGGCTGGAAGCATTACTGTGAGTGTATTTCCTTTTTCTTAGTCTTTCTTCCGTCCTTTCTTTCTTTTTTGTTTTTCTATCCTTCTTAAGTTTTTCTGATAATTTTAGATAACTATAATTATTACCAGCTATCAATTCATCATGTTCCAAGTAATGAGCGGGCTGGCCTCTCAACTTTGGAGCTAGTTAAAAGCGGAAAATCCAACTTTACATAGCTATGGAAACCCACAACATGATGAATTGAAAGATAAAGGTAAGTTGTTTGGGAATATATATAATTGAGAACCTTACAGACATATTTTAATAATACTTTTTGCAGCCTCGATTATTGTATTACTGAACAGAACCTTACAGTTTTTGGTCTCAGGCACTTTTATCGAAAAAGACAGTATTGAAGTATCATGGGTAAAATGAATAGGATGGCTGAAAATAATATTTTTCATTACACGTATCTCCTGTGAATGATTGAAAACGTTTATACGTTCTTTTACATTGTATATGGACAGCACACATTGGCAAATTGTGTAGGTGTAACATGAAATAGGTAATGATGTGTTTAGAATTTGCTTACTAATCCAAAACCTCGTTCCCAGGATTCTCTCCTAACCGCTCCGTATAGGTTGACTAATGCATTGTAACTGAGTCTTCTTTCTTCCACTGAACCTAATTTCCCACCCACCCTACCTAAGAAATATGTCAGTATTAACTTGTCTATGTTGCAAGCTTCCCATTGCTAGTAAATTCCCTATATATAATATTGTCTCTTTTGTTATAGTTTGGATTTTCCATAATTGACCGGATTGCAGGAAAAAAAGCTTACAATATAGGACCACATGCACAAAATTTGCAAATCCCTCCCCTTCTACTCCCCTAGCCGTTTTCATATAAAATGAAATGATGTTTGTGACAGTCACTGGCCCTTTGGAAGTGTAAATAGGTTCTCACCTCTTTTTATCAACTGTTGGGGTGCTAGATGCCTCGCCAACTGTTTCAGCATTAACGGCTTCTTGTACAGGTCGCGCTTCGGTAGACACTTCGTGAATTATCCGAACTTCAGTGCTTTTATCAAGTCAAGTTTTCGTACCTTGTGAAGAAGATTAGCGAGAACGCCAGCAGGGGGCACGAGGGTCTTCAGGGTCTCCTCATTCATGCACAACCGAACCTGTTCAGCTTTGGAAGTTAAAAAGTAAAGAGTTAAGAAAGGAAAATTAAAGTTTTTAAAGCTAAACTTTCAGGCCTTAATTAATATAATGCGAAGTAAAAACGTCAACGTGTTCCGTTATTTCGCGCCAAAAGTGCATTTTCAGTTGGGAACTTTTGTTAGATGGGGAATCAAAAGAAAGATGTATCAGAACACCGTTTTACGAATTGTAGGTTCGTGTCACAGTATATGAGGGTTTTTTTCTTTTAAAAGCAGAACATATTATTTAGTTAGGACAGGCTATTATCTTACCTTAAAAATTATCGGCAAATGCCTGAATACCCCTCCTTCTTCATCCACTCTTGAACATCTTCGCATATAAAAATAAGTGAAGCCGGCTTGGTTTTACCCTTAAAACAGACAGACTAAATAATTTAACTCTTCCGTGCAGAATCTACAGACGGTGAAATGCACAGCGACTGCTTCGCTGTGCGTGAATATGTGAACAGCACGCAACGTTGAACAAGACACGAAACCTTTCCGCTCTTCTCTGATTGGACAAAACATTACTTGATAAGTACCGTCTTGAAAGGAATGTTCACAATGCAATCAAATGATTAATGAGAACGTTTTAGGACTGAGTTGTGATTGGTCGTATCCGCACACAAAACATTCCGATGTTGTTTCGCTTGCCGACGTTGATAGACGCGTTTCAATAAAACTTACAAGATCACTTTCGTGAACCTCACGCAGCATACAAATATAAAAATGACTGGTGTTAAGCAAATGCGATGTTTTCGTGATGTTTCGAAGGTTAACTTGCTTATAAGACAAATGCCGTCTTTTTAGAATATTTTAATTTTGCACAATTATCTTTGTTTTCACCTTTCCGGCGTACAAACACTGAAAACACGTGCTTTCAATTAGTCACGGAAAGCACGTGGGGCCCTGGTAGTAGATGCTCGTGTCACGGTGTGTCTGTGTGTATGTTTTTTTTTTTTTTTAGGGTTCTCTGCCCGTAATAAAGTACGTAAGGATAATTGTCATTATTAGATCAGTCAATTTTTGAAGAAGAGGAAATTACATCATCCTTAATAAAGGATTCACATAACTTTTAGCACCAAGAAGTATAACTACTTTCATTGCTGGAGCACTGCCACACATCTCATATTTTTTTGAAAGGCAATAGACCTATTCGGTCTATTCACGTGAGCAGGGTGGTTATTTTAAACATTTCTGACCTGGGTTATGCAATTGATAATTTCAGATTAAACTCCGTGTTAGTGTTTTGATACACGATTTGGTGTAAAATAACACACCAGTTGTGTTAAGTTCTTGCAAGATTTCTGAAACACAGACGTAGTGTAACTTTACACCGCCAACGTGTGCCACATTTCTTGATTACACCATTTTAGTGTGTTCATACACTGAATTGGTGTATCTTTTAAGAAACACTCGGCAAGTGTTATGACAACACTAATTCAGTGTTAATGTATATCTCCCTTGGTGTTAATTTACAACCTCGAATTTGCTGTGTGGCAAGACCGCTTGCTTCTTCAGGCAATATTTAATTAACATTCGTTTGCTTAATGACTCTTTCACAGGGTAGCAAAGGCTTAGACACATTCCACCACACTGGACGAATTGTTATTGGCCTTTGTGGAATAACTTACTGTTCACTTCAAGCTTTCATAACGTTCCAACTTGCCAAACTAGGACTCAGTACTTTCAAGCTGTTTATCTTCCGCATCGTCATCTCGATCCTTTTGTGTGTCATTGGACTTGTGCACGTGACTATGGAGGTGTGGCTTACTGTTCGGTTTTTGAAAGAAAGGGAACCTTACAGACCTTGGTATTCCCACAGGGGTGAAAATGAAGATTATTTTCTAGACGCTTTTAGTGATATTAGCGAGTGGCTGACGTTTTTGCTATTTGCAGCCTTCTCTTTGTCATATTTCATGGAATTTTATGATTTGGGCCTTGAAATGACATGTTTCTTGCCAGGTTACAAAACTCAAGGAGCTCGTATTACCGAAAAGGCGAAGTACACTATGTTAAATCGCCAAGAGATTGAAAGTTCCAACGATGACTGAATTCTTTTAGAAAAATGAAGAAATTAAGTCGTTATTACTGTTACTTTTTAGGAGATAGAAATGAAAGAGGAAGCTTGTGTTGGTAAAGAACGCAGAAAAACAGGGGAACCCAACGACAGTGTTGTCCTAAATGTATTGAAAACACTTTTTAGGCTATCCAGAATACTTTTAGATCTTCAGAAACACATTCTAAGCGGCGCTATAAAATTCACATCTGTTCGATCATCCTAGGGCAACTTGAGTTTGTTCGAAATTACTAGGGCTTCAGTATCATTTTCCTGAAAATTTTAGATGCAATTTATAATTTTTCGAAATTGGATTGGGAATTTTTCTGTCCTCTTTCTATCCGCACTCTCGAATCCGAAAATTTCAGATCGGTTCCTTTTTCTGCGAAAAATTAAACGTCAGAAAATCGTAGGGATAAGCTTCGGAAATTGTACACGAATGAAACGGTCATCTAGAAATTCTTAGGGCAATATTCCGGGCAATATTTGCTTCTCCGAACAGATATTTTACAGAAAACAGTCGTCGGGTGCCCCTGGATAAACAACTCAGCTGTTAACATTCAATGTGGTGTTTTTTTGTTATTTACATTTGCATGCGGTAGATGAGACTAGCTAGTATGATAAGCTGCGAGAAGATGTGGACTTCTAACTGGAATTAATAATACACTGATGATAATTTAGAGGTATTAATCTCCACTGCTGTACCTCAAACCCCTAGTTCTCGAACCTCCCGACGCTTATATGTTTATCATTCCGCTAAAGGATGCTTTCTCTTAAGACGTTATAACCGTGTTATCGTTGTTCAGTCAGTTGAACCTTCATGTCTGACCACTTTTTATAAGCGATCACCTCACATAATCGACTATCTAAGCAAAGCCCCTATATTTTTGCACTGAGCATACACCACGAAATTACTAAACTGATTTGCTTCTTTGTAAACCCATGTTTTACGAGAATAAAAGAATGATTTGACAGAAATATTCTTGTAGTTGTCGCGAGTAACATTAGAACATAGCTTGGTTTAGAAGGTAATAGCCATTTCAATTGAACAATACAAAACTAAAATCCTGGTCTGCCTGGTCCCAGTTGTTCAAAAGATGGTATAGCGCTATCCGCCGGATAAATCTCCATCTACCGGATAATGCATACAACGTGTTGGTTTTCTCTTGATAGTGATTCATCCAGTGGATAGTTCTATCCAGCATTTGACTACCGGGGCCTGACTGTAATAAGAAAGAAAATTCAGTGATAATTGGAGAAACTTTGATTTCCAGATATAAGAAGAAAAAAGTAATTAAGCACACACTTGTCCACTATTTTTTGTCCGTGTATCTGCCACTACAGTCTGTCCTCCCGCCCAGGAAACTCCCTATAATGGCCTAGAGGGAGGTCCCTCCCGAATGGGTGTTCAGGTACATACAGTAAAAATGGTTGTGATTTCACTTGTTAAATGCAAAGTATATAAAAGGGTAGGGAAATCTTACTATCCGATTTCGGTCGTAAAAAAGACTCAAAAGGGCTAACAGATGTATTTTATGGCCGTGAAAAAATCAAGAAAACGTTCCCGTTTCGTGATTTAAAGACAGTGCATTTACAGCGGGGCCACAACCAGGAGTAGTTGTGTGTTTTTTTGATGCTGGGTGTTTCGCTAGATTAAGATAAGAGTATGTGGAAACTTAGTACTCAGGCTCTTCCCTCTCGTCAACTTGTTTTATCTGTTCGCATTCGTGAACCAAACATATAAGCTAAAGAGGTCTATTGACTCGATCGCGGTCTCTATCGCCCTAAAAATCGAAGCGATCTTGACGATCCAGATAATTATATGCCGGAAAGATTTTTTTGTGCGCTTTATTAGTTTCTCTAGGCCATTTCCGAGTTTTTCCAAGCCTCTGTTTCAAGCGAGGCTAAGTGCAAAGCCTTTGATACAAATTTTATTCTCATGCAAATGCAGTCAAATCCCGCGTTACGAAAATCTCAATATTTTTCTTTGTCCCTGGGGAAAGAAAGCCCTTTCATTTTCTCTAAATTCAACCCGCTATAAACGTGGATACCCCGTTAATACAGACAATTTCTGTGGCCCCCTCAGTGTCCGTATTAATAGTGTCCGTTTGACTCTAACATCTAAAACTAGCCTATTGGTAATTTAATTTGGCAAAGAAGGTTCTTATTTTTGCTTGGCAAAACAGGATCTTATATTTTTGGGTATTAAAGAGAAAAATTTCTAGCAGGAGGTTCTTAATCCACAAGGTTCTTGTTTTCTGTACTGTTTTTAAAATACTTCCTTGATTGACTCTGAGGAAAGCTTAATTTTCCGAAGGATTACCCAAAAGCAACCCAACAGCTAGAAGTTTTTTTTAGTAGTTGAGGTAGAGTTATATAATTACCCACTGGTTGTCTAAGGAAACTGGACCTCTGGATGCTACTTCGGGAAAACACTATAAGAATACTTAAGTTGGCCAATGTTGTGCATAAACGTGTTGATGGCTTAAACTTAATAAAAAATCAAATCTTGAGTGGATACTTACTGCACGAGATCGAAAATTCAAGACTACTAGTAGACCCACGATACATGAACAACCAAACGGCACGGAAACCTTGTTTAGCCGCTGCACCTTCGTAAATAACCGAAGGTCTAGCTTGAAACTGCCTTCATTTTCAAGACAAAAAAATCGTTAGCAATCCAGATAAGGCTACAAATGACATAAGAAAACCAAATATGGATTCTTCGGGCTCAGTCTCTGCCGTTTTACTGATTGAAGGCAGGGACGGGTAGACATGTTCCAAAGAAACTGCTATGATATATGGAGTGATTGGCCGCATTTATACTAGAGGACGTCTTAGACGTCCAGACGCATTAAACGTCTGACTGTTAAGTGCGTCCCGTTTTTATACTAGACGTCTTAAACTTCTGAGAAGACTAATTCATCTGTTAAGTGCGTCGATCGGACGCATTTAACTTCAGTGAGACGTCTTATTCGTCTGACGTTTAATGCGTCTGTCTTATTTCCCGTATTTATACTAGACGTCTAAGTCATCTAAGACGTCTTAAACGTCTCAGACGTCTTAGACGTCCTCTAGTATAAATACGGCTATTATTGTAACACAGATCAGTACAGGATAAAAGATTGGCAAAAGATGAATCACGCGCGCAAACGTCGTCATTTTTGTGGTACTAAATCTCGGCCAAGTCAGGATCAAGGCTCCAGTACATTGGCTATCTTAAGGGACAGTTCCAAGGTAACTCCTTTTATCCAAAACAAATTTTACACTCCTGGAAAGAATACCTCTTCATGAAGGGGTGTGATATTAAAATATCACACCCCTTATGAGCCAATCACAACAGGCACTTATCACCAAACAGCTGATTTAAAGGGAACCTCCACTTCAACAAAAAGATAACTTTAAATCACAGGAAATAACTGTTACAGTCAAGTCAATCTAAGATATTTTTAAAGAAAGCGTTTGTGTCCGAAAGAAATAACTTTTAGATTCGCCTATTTTTGTTTTAAAACTTTGCGGGCGTCGCAATCTTGAATAATTGTGACGTGTTACGGTTGCCCTATTGTTATTAAGCAAAAGGTCTTTGTGTCAGAACAATAGAGCAACCGTAACACGTCACAATTATTCAAGATGGCGGAGCCCGCGAAATTTGAAAGTGAAAATAAGCGATTTTAAAATTCACTTTTCCTGATATAAACACTTTTTTTAAGGACAGATTTCGAACAAATTTGTTTATCAACATAATTTTATTCGATTTAAACTTATCCTGTAGTAAGAGTGGAGGTTCCCTTTAAACTGACCTCATTCAAATTACTCAGGAAATTGTTTTCATCCCTAGTGACCCATATTATAGTGCGTAAAATCAACAGGTTAACTCTTAAACACGAAAAAGTTGATTCTGTAATGAGCAATTACAGTTAAAATTACTCGAGACGGTGACAGATGCAATCCACAGCGACTCTTTACTGATGTTTTTCATTATTAATTAAAAGTGGTTATTTAATCATAATTTAAGAAAGCTACTCTAAATTTTGAATTGAATTAAATCTTACTCTGACAATAATGAGTTAAAACGAACAATCAGTAAAGTAAATGATTAGATTTTCGCTACGGATTAAAAACAAACTTTACTTTACCTGAAACGTGCAGCCTAAAGTTTCAAATTTTTTAAAATTTGTAATAGAAGTAAACGTTTTACTGTGCACTTTTGTTGCACCGATGCATTTCAATAATTTGAATATTCCTGCCCAACATTTGTTATTTTAGCTGCTTTTGTTTAATAACTTTTTTCAATCAACACGTTGATTATTTAGCAATCCTATTGGAATGAAATGCTCCGGGGACGTTAATGAAGCTGTTTAAAGCTGTTCAGAATTACTCATTGACATGCAGTTTGAACATTTTTTTTAAAACGGCAAGCCATTACAATTATTTTATTCTTGCCAATTTAATGCCCCTCTTCAGTTAACGGAAAGCAACGAGAGATGCACCAGGGTGAGTTCTTTCACCATACTGTGCCGGTAGTCATGATAACTTTTACTAGAGCAGTTCACCTCTTACCGATCTTTTTTCCTATCCTGATCGTCGTCACAATTCTTACCCCATATATCATAGCGGTATCGTTGGACCATGTCTATCCGTTTTTGCCGTGCATAAGTAAAACGGCAGGATTTGAGCCAGAGGGATCAATTTTTGGTTTTCTGATGTTTTTAGTGGCGTTGATCGGACTGCTGACGATCTTTGCTCGATATCTTCAACTCAAGGGATTCAGTCAACAAGCCGGTTTTGAGGCGAATGTTTTGCACAAGGTGAAATGGTTCAACACAATTTCTCTGCTATCTGGTGTTTCATGTATCCTTGGCGTTGTTTTGGTGGCAAATTTTCGTTCTTCTGTACCACAAGTGAGTACCACGGCTTTCAGATAATCTAATGTCTTGCTGGTGTATGTACTGCCCGTTGAAGAATAATTGACAGAGCAGAAAAAATTCACGGACATATGCCAATATGGATAGTTTCAGTCTTGTTGTCTGAGCGTTTATAGGATATTTGATATACAGTAAAAACCCACGTATAAGAAACTAGATTTTTCCAACTTTATAGCCTACTACAGGGCATATGTGATATGGAATATGTTGCTGTATTAAATATTATCTAGCATACAGTTTAGATGATAACCATGCAGTAATTTTATCTTTCCAAAGTACTACCATGCATTTCTTTCACGCTGCAGTGTCCATAAAATTCTGTGTTACATTTTGAGTCTTACTGAGTGAAACCTAGACTTAACTTTCTTTCTTCCGCGTGTATTTTCATCTCTGCCTTCATTTTTGTGTAATAAGAACCTACTGAAAATCTTAGGCTAAATAGGTTCTTATGAAAAGGGGGTTTAAAATAAAAATTTTTGCCTAACCGGCTTTTAAATTTTAGGGTCTTATATGTGGGTTTTTATACTGTATAGCATATCTTCAGCATTCAATCGATCTTTTTACTCCAATTTGCATGAAATGGCCAGATTTTGTTGTTTTATGCCGTAAAAAGTACATTTTTCCAAACAAAGAAAAAAAACTTGGCAATTTGCTTAACCCATTCGCCCTCAGGGAATTTTTGCCGAGAAACGTGTTTGGAAGCTAGTCGAGCGGTTTCCAGGCTGGTCACTACCTAGCTATGAAAAACTAAAACTTACCACAAAGCCGTTTACGGGTCGGACACGTCGCAGCCTTCTGACCCAATGGTGGTTCGGGGGCGAATAGGTTAAGATAAAAAAAGAAATAAGGAAACAATAAAAAGGAAATAACGAAGTGAAATCGCAAGTTTTTTTTCGCACAAGATCTATTTACGGTATCTCCATATTACTGGGCAACAATTTTGTTTACACATACATGTACATGTCCCCTCTGGCTTAGAGTTTTTTCCTGCTCAATTTTTTTTTTGGCTGTCCCTGGAACAAAAATATCAACTGGATTAAATGTCTGCTCAGCACAAATTTTTGTGATACTCAATTTGGAATTTAGGGACCGGTCATAATTTGTCCCCCCGGGGGAGGGGGGGGGGGGGGAGGAGTTTGAGGGGAATCACACGGTTTTCAAAAGAACAAGGGGGAGGGGTCAGCCCTAATTGACAGGCACTAGCGCCTGGAGAGAATTAATTGTTTTTAACCTTTCTCCCTGGAGGGACTGATCTTGGACAATACTCCAAAGAACCGAAAATGTTTGGAAATAAGAGAGGAGAATTTGTTATTTCGTTGCTGAAATATCTAGAATGAACTGAGTGAACTGATGTTACTAACTACTTAAAAAATGGGTTATCGCTGTCACAAGTCTTTCCTCCTTTTCGGTCGATTGTCGATCGGTGCTCGACTGAGCCGGGGAACTTTACCATCTGAACGGCCTGTAACAAGCTAACTCGGTAATAATGAGGTGTCCGCATTAAGCAGGGTTTGACTTATTTGTTACCTTATCAACTTTTTCTCTTTAGCCAGTCAAAGCCATAGACAGAGTTCATAACGCTGGGACTTTAATGCTTTTTCTTGGCGGAGGTGTATATTTCTGGTTTCAAACCCTCATCAGTTATCACGGTATTGCAGTTAAGCTCAATAGCAAAAGCATGTTCCTCTTCCGGTTAGCTGTATCCTGTATTGTGACCATCACTGGCGTGGTATACCCGTTCCTCAAAGATTTTGCCTACACAAAGTATAGTGGTAGAGTGCAATTAAATTCAGTCACAGCGGCCCACTGGAGTCCAAATGAAGGTGGGTGGGAGGTACAGGTGGCCAGTAATGCTGGAGAATGGATTGATTGCCTGTCTTTGGCGATCTACGCTGCGTCATTTTACAAAGAGTTTCAGACGTTCTCTCTTGACGTCTCGTATGTTGAAAACGCTGAATTGGAGAAAGGATGGAATGGAAAGTACTCAAAAATAAGACAAAGCAAAGAAGAAGAAGTTTGGGACGAATAAAATACCATCGACTTACATTAAATTAATTGCGCTCGGAGGCGTAAAGAGTAATGGGATAAAATAATTGGACTAGCCTGGGAAAAAGGCGGCGGCTACCGCTTGGCTTGCTTCGCTCGCCGAATCCCCAACTGAATTAAGTAACAATTTAATAGTAATGTAATTTATATCATCATAAAAACGTTCATAGGTAGAGCTGGAGTAGGGGTATGGTGATAAAAGGAACATAAGCCACATCAGTTTACCACTTCCACATCGTCCCATTATACAGTTGGTTTTCCCCCAAACCTCGTTTGCATGAGTATTGCCAGTTCTCTTGGGTTTTACCATTGTTCCAAAAGAAATTAGAAACACTGAATGCTTATGCAACTTTTTAGGGGGAACTAGCAAGTTATTCTTCAACAAATAAGATGTGACTTTCTCTCCTTATCTTCACGTTAATAGTTGCAAACTACACTATTTCATGCTAGCTACAAATCACTCTCTCAATTACGTTCTACCAACTACCAGAAAACGCCGACTTGCTTAATTCAAATCAATGCTCATACAAGTCTACTGTGAGTGGCTAGAAGAGACTCATGAGCATTGAACCATCGAGGTACTGACTTTGTCAAAACGATTTTCTTTCTTAAACTGAAATTTCACCTTTAGGCTCCGGTTGTCCAGTCAATAAAAAACAAGGAGAGCAATATAAAAGATACAGAGAATTAGGCTTCTAAATAGAATTCTTACAACAATAGTGAGGAAGGTACTAAAATTACAGTTTCAAATCAGAGAGAAATGAAAATTTACCTTTACTAAAACTTGTGAGTTAGGAGATATTCTATACCATTATTATTTACATATTTTTAATTGCAAGTAAAACCAATCAACCGCATAAATTCGTTTAAAACGACCGGTAAACAACCACGGCTAAAAAATAACAAAAATTAGGATAGGAGTAATTTCCTGGAAATCCAGACAAAGGGTCAAGTTAAGGTTGAAATATCAAACCAGGCAATATTCCTAAATGTAAAAAAAGCTTTTAATTAGTCGAAACCTTAGTGGATCATATTTTAAGATAATTACTGGGAGGGGTTGCCGTCGAATCAAAATAATGATTAACATTTATTACATTTAGCACTTTATTAATTACAGTTAGGGCCGTTTATTAGATTTAGGCCTTCTACAAAAGTTCACTGGTTCTTACACCGTGGTAAATCCCAAATCTTTGATCATGTTTGATAGCAAACAAAAGCTTATTCTCTCTTGTCGCAAATGTTGGTAACAAAGCCCTCAAACGGAATAAAAATTTACCACAAATGGAAAAAAATCTATTTTTCAGCTTGCTCCATCAGAGGAGGCGGATTCAGAGGAAGGTTGAGTTAATTTTCCCTCGTCGGAAATTAAAATCAAACCCCCATGGGAGGCCAATGTGGGTATGGCTCGAGCCGAAATTATCCCCTACGGAGGCCATACTAAAACACCATTGTCATAAATCTCTAGTTTTCTGTACTATTTAAACTCCTTGATACCTTTCTCTGTGGTTAGCGTCACGGCCTTTTTTTGTAAATTTCTTTATGCACAACCCTAAGCGATACATGTAATATAGTGACTTTCCATCCTAAACACCCTAACTTTGACCAAAATCTGCAATTTACACTCCTAAGCGAGACCACGAGCATCCCCGTCACTTCTATATGGGAGTCACTCTCCTTCCCCCCGTCCCGCCAATGGGGGGATACACGACCTTATACGCAGGCCACATAGCAATCAAAGGCATACGGGACCAAGGAGAAGGCCGCCCAGGGTGGGGACTCCCATATGAAAGGGGCGGGGATACTCGTCGGAAATTTGAATTAGACCCCTAAAGGAGACCAATCTGTGCGTGGCCCAACCTTTTTTGACCGCTAAAAGCGATCATTTTAAACTTTGATTACATGAACTGAGTAAATAAAACGAACTGAAGATGTATAATTTTTTAACATTTCTTCGAGTGCAACCCTAAAAGAGACCTTTACGGCCAAATATAATGGTGTTTTGCCCAGAACACCCTAAGTGAGACAAAATCTGAAATTTACACCCCTAAGCGAGACAAAGAGCATCCGCGCCCCTTTCATATGCGAATCCCCCCCGCCGGGTATGCCAGTTAACATAAGTGTATTTATATACATACAAGCGACACCACCAGTACACTCTCAATACATGAAACATCATGAAACGGCAAGGAAACCTTGTTGAGACACTGCACCTTCTTGTACAACCGAGGGTTGAGCTTGAAGCTCTCTTAATTTCGAGTTGGAGATGACGACAGGAAAGCGTTAGCAGTCTAAGGAAAGCTACAACATGCATAGGGCAACCACACAATCTCTGTGCGTAATCGATTGACGTGTTATTTTATAGTAAATGTACTGCATGGATTTACCGTTTGCGTCACCTATAGAGAAATATCGCTACGTATGTATATAAATCAATGTTAAGCAAACGCTGAATTACCTTACCTGTGGTACTTGTCGTCCTTTGGCCTCAAAAGCGGTTTCTTGAGCGATTTTGAAGGATTTTGAGTTCGCGGTTTACTGTTCTCGTTGTACGAAGCCTTAAGTTATGAAAAGCGATTGACGTGCTTCAGTCAATGAATCCAAAAAGACGATAAAGAATTTTTCAGATTACTTAGTTCAGTCATTTCGTCATGATACAGTGAAAACGCTTAGGCTTACCGTTACCTCAACTTTGGGGACATTGTGCGTACCTCTGAAAAAGTCCTGTCTGCGCCGCTCAGGCCGCTGAAATGTATTCACTAAAGACAACGGCTTGATAGCCGTATTGAGAATTTTGTTGCTGCATAATGCATTTCAATAACTTGAATATTTCTGCCCAACATTTGTGATTTTGGCTGCCTTTGTTTGGCTTTTTCAATCAACACGTTGATTATTTAGCAATCCTATTGAAAAATGCTCCGGGGACGTTTAATGAAGCTGTTCAAAGCTGTTCAGAATACTCATTGACAACTTAAAAAAACGACAAGCCATTACAATTATTTTATTGCCAATTTAATGCCCCTCTCCAGTTAACGGAAAGCAGCGAGGGATGCATCAGGGCGAGCTGTGGCAGATCTAGGGGGGGAGGGGGGGGTTAGGGGGGTTCGATCGAACCCCATAATTTAAAACAGCCAACGTCAAAAACTTGTAAAAATATATAATAAATTCAGTCAATCTAAAATGTAATGTATTTGTAACCAAGTTAAGCCTCTGCTGCTCAATAAAGCTAAAACGTTTTCTCCATAAAAAACAAATGCATTTTTCGTTCACTGACATTTTCCCTGACATTAACCGTTTGCTGCGAATAGCTTATAATTACTTACAACGAGCGAGAAAAAAGTACAGCTTTGAATTAAAGCTTTTCAAAGGATATTTACGCACCACCATGACAACGGAAAGACTGTAAGGCTTGGCTACGATGAACATTCATTACGAAAGCCCATTGACTACGATGCTGTGGTTCAGCTTTTTGCGGAAAGATACAGAAGAATGCTTCTTATTGATCTCGTCTTTAACGAAACACAAAATTGAAAATAGATAACACTTATGCAGTATATTTTTATCATATTTTTCTAAATGCAAATTTGCATCGTTGTTACGCAGCTATAATAGTTATATTTTGATGCAAAAAGAATGGCATTTTCACTTTAATAAAATGAGATATTAAAACACGATGACGTTGCCTCAAAATGGCGGAAATCGAATTTCCGAGGACTTGAAATTTCAAAATTTTCCGGGAAGGATTCTCCCAGATCCCAGATCTACAAGGCGGCGGCCCTCTTTCATCGAACCCCTTATGCGCCCCAGGGCGAGTTCTTTCACCATACTGTGCCAGCAGTCATGATAACTTTTACTAGAGCAGTTCACCTCTTACCGATCTTTTTTCCTATCTTGATCGTCGTCACAATTCTTACCCCATATATCATAGCGGTATCGTTGGACCATGTCTACCCGTTTTTGCCAAGTATAAGTAAAACAGCAGGATTTGAGCCAGAGGGATCAATTTTTGGTTTTCTGATGTTTTTAGTGGCGTTGATCGGACTGCTGACGATCTTTGCTCGATATCTTCAACTCAAGGGATTCAGTCAACAAGCCGGTTTTGAGGCAAATGTTTTGCACAAGGTGAAATGGTTCAACACAATTTCTCTGCTATCTGGTGTTTCATGTATCCTTGGCGTTGTTTTGGTGGCAAATTTTCGTTCTTCTGTACCACAAGTGAGTACCACGGCTTTCAGATAATCTAATGTCTTGCTGGTGTATGTACTGCCCGTTGAAGAATAATTGACAGAGCAGAAAAAATTCACGGACATATCCCAATATGAATAGTTTCAGTCTTGTTGTCAGAACGTTTATAGGATATTTGATATACAGTAAAAACCCACGTATAAGAACCTAGATTTTCCCAACTTTATAGCCTACTACAGGGCATGTGTGATATGGAATATGTTGCTGTATTAAATAATTATCTAGCATACAGTTTAGATGATAACCATGCAGTAATTTTATCTTTCCAAAGTACTAGCATGCATGTCTTTCACGCTGCAGTGTCCATAAAATTCTGTGTTACATTTTGAGTCTTACTGAGTGAAAGCTAGCCTTGACTTTCTTTTTTCCGCGTGTATTTTCATCTCTGCCTTCATTTTTATGTAATAAGAACCTACTGAAAATCTTAGGCTAAATGGGTTCTTATGAAAAGGGGGTTTAAAATAAAAATTTTTGCCTAACGGGCTTTTAAATTTTAGGTTCTTACATGTGGGTTTTTATACTGTATAGCATATATCTTCAGCATTCAATTGATCTTTTTACTCGAATTTGCATGAAATGACCAGATTTTGTTGTTTTATGCCGTAAAAAGTACATTTTTCCAAACAAAGAACAAAAACTTGGCAATTTGCTTAACCCATTCGCCCTCAGGGAATTTTGCCGAGAAACGTGTTTGGAAGCTAGTCGAGCGGTTTCCAGGCTGGTCACTACCTAGCTATGAAGAACTAAAACTTACCACAAAGCCGTTTACAAGTCGGACACGTCGCAGCCTTCTGACCCAATGGTAGTTGGGGGGCAAATAGGTTAAGACAAAAAAAGAAATAAGGAAACAAAAGAAAAGAAATAACGAAGTGAAATCGCAAGTTTTTTTTCGCACAAGATCTATTTATCTCCATATTACAGGGCAACAATTTTGTTTACACATACACGTCCCCTCTGGCTTAGAGTTTTTCCTGCTCATTTTTTTTTTTTTGGCTGTCCCTGGAACAAAAATATCAAATGGCTTAAATGTCTGCTCAGCATAAATTTTTGTGATACTCAATTTGGAATTTAGGGACCGGTCATAATTTGTCGCCCTCGGGGGCGGGGGGAGACGAGGAGTTTGGGGGAATCACACGGTTTTTAAAAGAACAAGGAGATCAGCCCTAATTGCATGACAGGCACTAAGGGGGGACCACGAAAAAAAAAAGGAGAAAATTATTTGAGGCGGTGGGGTCAATTTATAACTTTTTTGTTGATCTTGTTCAAGCACGAACTGTGATACGGCAGATATAACGCCTGGAGAGAATTAATTGTTTTTAACCTTTCTCCCTGGAGGGACTGATCTTGGACAATACTCCAAAGAACCGAAAATGTTTGGAAATAAGAGAGGAGAATCTGTTATTTCGTTGCTGAAATATCTAGAATGAACTAAGTGAACTGATGTTACTAACTACTTAAAAAATGGGTTATCGCTGTCACAATTCTTTCCTCCTTTTCGGTCGATTGTCGATCGGTGCTCGACTGAGCCGAGGAACTTTACCATCTGAACGGCCTGTAATATTAAGCGGGGTTTGACTTATTTGATACCTTATCAACTTTTTCTCTTTAGCCAGTCAAAGCCATAGACAGAGTTCATAACGCTGGGACTTTGATGCTCTTTCTTGGCGGAGGTGTATATTTCTGGTTTCAAACCCTCATCAGTTATCACGGTATTGCAGTTAAGCTCAATAGCAAAAGCATGTTCCTCTTCCGGTTAGCTGTATCCTGTATTGTGACCATCACTGGTGTGGTATACCCGTTCCTCAAAGATTTTGCCTACACAAAGTATAGTGGTAGAGTGCAATTAAATTCAATCACAGCGGCCCACTGGAGTCCAAATGAGGGTGGGTGGGCGATACAGGTGGCCAGTAATGCTGGAGAATGGATTGATTGCCTGTCTTTGGCGATCTACGCTGCGTCATTTTACAAAGAGTTTCAGACGTTCTCTCTTGACGTCTCGTATGTTGAAAACGCTGAATTGGAGAAAGGATGGAATGGAAAGTACTCAAAAATAAGACAAAGCAAAGAAGAAGAAGTTTCGGACGAATAAAATACCATCGACTTACACCAAATGAATTGCGCTCGGAGGCGTAACTAGTAATGAGATAGAAATGATTGGACTAGCCTGGGAAAAAGGCAAATTAAAAAAAGGGGTGAAATCGAGGGGTGGTCTGGGAAGGGGGAAAAGGCGGCGGCCACCGCTTGGCATGCTTCGCTCGGCGAATCCCCAACTGAATTAAGTAATAAATTCAGTAGTAATGTAATTTATATCATCATAGAAACGTTCATAGGTAGAGCTGGAGTAGGGGTATGGTGATAAAAGGAAGATAAGGCACATCAGTTTACCATTTCCACATCGTCCCATTACCCTCAAACCTCGTTTGCATATGTATAGTCTTGGGTTTTACCATTGTTCCAAAAGAAATTAGAAACACTGAATGCTTATGCAACTTTTTAGGGGGAACTAGCAGATTATTATTCAATAAATAAGATGTGACTTTCTCTCCTTATCTTCCTTTCATAGTTACGAACTACACTACTTCATGCTAACTACAAATCACTCTCTCAATTACGTTCTACCAACTCCTTAATTCTTATATTGACCGGAAAACCCCGACTTTCTTAACTCAAATCAATGCTTATGTAAGTCTACTGTGAGTGGCTAGAAGAGACTCATTAGCATTGAGCCTTCGAGGTATTGACTTTGTCAAAACGAGTTTCTATCTTAAACTGAAATTCCACCTTTATGCTCGGATTGTCCAGTCAAGAAAAAACAAGGAGAGCAATATAAAAGCTACAGAGAATAGGCTTCTAAATAAAATTCTTACAATAATGGTGAGAAAACTACCAAAACTACAGTTTCAAATCAGAGAGAAATGACAACAATTATAGATATTAGCCTTTTAGAATTTACCTTTACTAAAACTTGTGAGTTAGGAGATATTCTATACCATTATTAGTAACATATTTTTAATTGCAAGTAAAAACAATCAAACGAAAAAAATTCGATTGAAAAGACTGGTAAACAAGGATAGGAGTAATTTCCTGGAAATCCAGACAAAGGGTCAAGTTAAGGTTGAAATATCAAACCAGGCAATATTCTTAAATGTAAAAAAGAAAAATTAGTGGATCATATTTTAAGATAATTACTTGGGGGGGGGGGGTTGCCGTCGAATAATTAACCTATCTGTTTTACAAACAATTCATGACAGGAGAAGGTTTATTTTGATCAGTTTTTTAAAAGTCGAGAGTTGCAATGTGAATGTAACGAAACAACTAACATTAAAGTGAATCTTTATCGGGACAAAATATCAATTAGCTTATCATACAGTAACCATTTAAGAGCATAAACATCAACGAGAACTGAATAAGTCAAATTAAAAGCAAATGTAAAGAAGTATTTATGTTAATGTATTTTTTTGCATTATTTAACAAAATATCTTGTACTTACCGTATTTCAGAGGACATTGATGGAAAGTATTGTGCATAAGCAAAAAGGTTTTTAAATGGAATAAACTGATTTTTAGGGAGCCTGTAATGTCACTTTAAAGTTAAGAAACACCAACTTGCTGGAAACATTTTTTCTATTTTCTTCCCTTATCAAAACCACTGCCATAATAGTGAGTAAAATCAACCGAAAATACTGAATAACGATGATTGTCCTCGCAGGGATTTCGCCGTAGTCTGCTACCAGCCGTTTTTAGTGTCGCCGCGCAACACTTCTCCCCACAACTTGACACTTGGACTCTTGCCCCCCAGAAGACACGTGTTATGGCGTGATTCTGTGCGTGTTGAGTTTCCTAGGTCAGGGCTTAAATCAGAGGGCGCGGATATCTTTCATCAGAGCTTTCCCTGGTTGTTACGCCATACTGACGAGCCCCAAAAGGGCGAAACAACTGTCTATGGCTACAATCCCGCTCTGTTTTGAGTTCTTTCGGTGTCGTGTTGATGTCTTGCAGACTTACTTTTCACGTGGTACGATCAGCATTGCAGTATTCTGCTTGCAGAATTTAAGATGTCTACTTTTCATTTTTGTTGATCAGGTCGTTATAGATCCTACGTTCTTCGGCATATTCGTTTGCGGTCCTTTGCAGTCCATTGTGGTTAATGTTTGTACTTTATGAATTTTGGGGCCGTAGATCTTTTATAGATCCGATATGCCGTAATTCTTGTATGGTTCTGTCCATGTTTTAGAGGTTGGTTTTGGCCAATCCTTTATTTTCTGTGCGAGATAGCAACTTGACACTTGGACTCTTGCCCCCAGAAGACACGTGGTATGGCGTGATTCTGTGGATGTTGAAAGTTCTAGGTCAGGGCTTAAGTCAGAGGGCGCGGGTACTTTTCATCAGAGCTTTCCCTGGTTGTTACGCCATACTAACGATCTCCAAAAAGAGCGAAACAGCTGTCTATGGCTACAATCCCACTCTGTTTTGAGTTCTTTCGGTGTCGTGTTGATGTCTTGTAGAGTTAATTTTCACGTAGTACGATCAGCATTGCAGTATTCTGCTTGCAGAATTTAAGATGTAGAATATTGTATTTTTCAAAAGAGCACCGCGGCGCTTATTGATTTTCCTACTTAAAGATGCCAAGGTTATTTGAGGGCAACGCTCTTTGCATTAAATTCAATGCAATTTTTTCGAAAGAGCGCCACGGTGATTCATTTTGGAGCTTTCTGGTGTTTGAATTCTCCTTCAATTTGTATTACATTTGAGGGCTTTATTACTTTTGCGGGTTCAACCAAACGATTTGCCAGACACAAATCACTTTGGGAAAATGGCTCCGTCCTCAAACAAGCAATTCGAACGAACTAGGGAATCAACGTAGTTCAGCAGAACGATGGACCATTAAAGAAATTCGCCCATTATTAAATTCTGTGCTGACGTATTCCCTGCTCACATGTACAGAACACCCTCTATAAAGCTTTTTTTAAAGCAACGTATTGTTTTAATAGGAACCCCTTGGAAAGAATATTTCTGTCAAAAATGCTGTTGCGCTACACTATTATGCGAAAAATAAAATACAGAGCGAGGGCGGGTGAAGTGTCAACTATTACCAGTTACTCATTAGCATGAATATAAGTTCACTCAGAATATTAAGTAATTCTTTGAGTAGAGGTAAAATTACCCAGGCGAGACCATTGCAAAATTACCAATTTATATAGCGCGTATTTACATATTCTGATCAATGGCGCTTTCCAATCAGATATTTAAGAGAAAACGAAAATACATTACCGTGAGAATAAAATAAACTAAGTTACAAACTATAAAAATACTTCTTAAAAAGATAGGTTTTAAGTCGAGATTTAAAACTGTTACACTGGTCTCCCATGGGGCGTTTGATTTTAATTTTCGACGAGGGAAAATTAACTCGACCCTCCCTCTGGATCCGCCTCCTCTGATGGAGCATGCTGAAAAATCCATTTGTAAATTCCCCTCGAAAATATGAAGGGACCGGTATTATCTACAACATTGGGAGCAGCTTGGAAACTCTGGAATGGCCTACCAGTGGAGCTTCGTCAAGCAACATCACTTGGGTGTGGTTCGAGCCTAAATTATCCCCTACGGGAGGCCATACTAAAACACCATTGTCATAAATCTCTAGTTTTCCGTACTACTTAAACTCCTTGATACCTTTCTGTGTGGTTAGTGTCACGGCTTTTTTTGGAAATTTCTTCATGCACAACCCTAACCGATACATGTAATATAGTGACTTTCCATCCTAAACACCCCAAGTTTGACCAAAATCTGCAATTTATACTCCTAGTAAGCAAGACGACGAGCATCCCTGTCACTTCTTCGTAATTTATAAAGACGCTCAAGAATGGACGCTCAAAATAAATACCAAAAAATCTAATATCATCATATTTCGTGGTAATGGACAAAACAAAAACAAAACACATCTCAAATACGCAAATGAAAATATAGAAATTGTTGAAAAACAAACATACCTAGGAATAGAAATGACATCATCTGCTCGTTACATCTATGCCAGGGAAATTTTTAGCAAAAAGGCTACCAAAATTGTCTTCACAATTAAACGATTTCTCTCGAACATTGATCCTTCAGCGGTCAAGGTAAGGAATAAACTTTTTGATGCCCTTGTTAAATCTGTACTACTTTACGGCTGTGAAATAAGGGGACTAGAACTACTATCTTATAAGACACATTTTGATAAAAGTAGAACTGAGCAAGTTCACGTTAAATTCTGCAAGCAAACATTAAATGTCCCATGGTACACAGAAAACACAGCCTGTAGAGGAGAACTTGGCCGATACCCTCTATCTATAGACATAAAGGCTTCCCTTTTATGTTACTGACAAAAATTAGGACAAAAATCAGACAACTCTCTGATTTAAACTGTACAAAATTACTGCCATCAGAGCTGCTGTGTAGGGAAAGTAATATTTGGCAAGTGTACAGGGTTAGGCGGGTTCAAGGGGCACCTAGCGAGAATATAGTTCAAAACTACTTAAACATAGCATTGTTAGACGTATTTTAGTATTTAAACAGTAGATATAGCCATATTTTTATCCCCTAAAATTTTTCATCTGTTCGGATTTCTTTGCTGAAAGTCTAGTGATGCGAAAATTATACTGATCAGAACTTACCATTTCGAAAATTTCAGCCAGAAAAAAAGGCTACCGAAAATTATAGGTGACCTTTTTAGGGTAAAAATCCGTTAAACATGGGCAATTATACCATTTTGTAGATGTTCGAAAATCCTAGGAGAGGCAAACAAGCAAGAAATTTTACAACAAATGTTCCGAAAATTCTAGATCTCAAATCGTCTTTCGAACAGATATTTTCCGAAAATTTACTTGGGTGCCCCTGACCGAAATTTTAAAAGCTTAATTTGTTTTGATTTATGATTGACAACTTTCTCTAAAACAAAAACGACAGTCTATGATTATAATTATTTGTCAATTTAATGCTCCTCTTTAAAAAGCGATGCGAAGGGTTCTTTCACCATACTGCCCGACAGCCATGACAACTATTACTAGAGCAGTTCACCTCTTACCGATCTTTTATCCTATCCTGATCGTCGTCACAATTTTTACCCCATATATCATAGCGGTATCGTTGGACCATGTCTACCCGTTTTTGCCAAGTATAAGTAAAACAGCAGGATTTGAGCCAGAGGGGTCAATTTTTGGTTTTCTGATGTTTTTAGTGGCATGGATCGGGTTGCTGGCGCTCTTTATCCGATATCTTCAACTCAAGGGATTCAGTCAACAAGGTTTTGAGAAAGATGTTTTACACAAAGTGTCATGGTTCAACACAATTTCTCTGTCACCTGGTGTTTTGGGCATCATAGGAGTTGTGATGGTGGCGAACTTTCGTTCTTCAGTTATTCAGGTGAGTTCCGCCACAACTTGCCCAGTAGTACAATTTTAATATATATTTTATCTTTAATATATCTTGCTGGGTTCTTGTCCGTTTCCTGTAGCCTGTTGAATTCCGGTAAACAGAAGTAAAACACCAAGGAAGCAAAAATCTTTCAAGGATATACCTGATATGCCGGGATGGTTTCTCGTTGTCAGAGCAGCTTTTCATTCTTAAATATAATGACCCCAGGAAGGTCTTGCCACACGCGAATAATTGAACAGCTAATCTTTTATTCTTTCTAAAAAATAGATTTCGCAAAAATTCGTCTAAATCGAACACAGCGGGTGTAGTTCAGTTTTTATCCTATTCGTTTAACCCAGGCAATACTTTGAGCATATGTCGGTATGCTGAGCGTTTCGAAGATATATAGCATGTTTCGCATGCATTTTGTGGCAACGGGAAAAATAATAGAAATATAAACTTAGGCAAAAGTTTCATACCCTGTCTAGTCGAGCAAGTTTTATCCCATCTATAAATTCATCTTCATACCATATGTTGGTGACAATATTTTTGGCCCTGAATGGATTAACGGCACATGAAAAAACAAGGAGAGCCAAAGCACGACAATTGAAAATGGCCGCGGATCTAAGACGCTTTATTTAGTGAAAATTAGGATTTTAGGACTAGGTTTTGTTAATTTTCTAGCGTTTTTGTGTCCCTTGGGTACTGACTAATTTATCAAGTAGAAATGCATGCTGCAACTGTATTAAAAACAATTTGGGCGTGGGGGGAAAGCGTATGCGCGGGAAAAGGGACAAGCATACTAAATAGTTTCATATTTAGGCCCTGTCCACACTAATGCGTTTTCAGTTGTCATCAAAACTGACGCATCGATCGATCGATTCGCATCCACATTACTGTTTTGATGTATTTTCGGCTGTCCAAACTGATTCGTTCGACAGCGACAGAATTGGATGTTGTGACGTAAGTTGAACTCTATGTGCATCCGCTACAAACACGTCAATTTGATGCGTTTTCGACTGTTCCCACTAATGGACGATTAGTATGCGTTTTCGTTGTGATCTACTTTCAAGAGCGTTTTCAAATCGATGCATTTTCGATGAAAACGCTCAGCGTATTAAGCCTAAACGCATCGAAATGTATGCGTTTTCAAACGAAAAAGCATTTAGTGTGGACGAGGCTTTTTCTGACAAAGATATGGTCACAGAAACCCCAGGAGACCCCGTCCCTCTCTCCTAGCAGCGTCCTTGCCTCGGAAAGCATTCAAGAGCAACAAAATTACCTGTTTCCTGAGGGACCGGCCAGTCATAAGAATTGCCAAGAGCCATTATGGCTCTTGGAATTGCCAAATACGGCTGGTGAAAGTCAGTTATATTTGTTACCTTTTGATTTTTTTTTTCTTTAGATAGTCGCAGCCATATATCAAGTTCATAACGTCGGGACTGGGATACTCTTTATTGGCAGTGGTGTATATTTCTGGTTTCAGACCCTCATCAGTTATCACGGAGTGGCAGTTAAGCTCAATAGCAAAAGCATGTTCCTCTTCCGGTTAGCTGTATCCCTTATCATGACCGTCTCTGGCGTGGCGTACCCCTTCTTCAAATACACAAAGTATAGTAATGGAATGAGTGGAATCGAAACGGCACACTGGAGTCCAGAAGAAGCTGGTTATGCTGCGCACGTGATCAGTAGTGTAGGGGAATGGATCGCTTGTCTTACTATAGGGATCTACATTGCGTCATTTTACAAAGAGTTTCAGACGTTCTCTCTTGAGGTATCGTATGTTGAAAACGCTGAATTAGAAAGAAAATCGAACGGAGGGTACTCAAAGGTAGGACAAAGCAAGGAAGACGAGGTTTCGGACGAATAAAATACCATCAGAGTATTACGCAATCAATTGCGCTTGGAGGAGTAAGTGATGGGGAAAAACGATAAGAAATTTACATGGCTCATGTCTTCAAGAGGGAAATAAAGGAATTTCCCATCGAAATAACAAATTAAACAGTAGCAGTAATCCATAGCGTCACTAGCCTACGAGGACGCTGTGCGGGTTTGGGGAGCTTTAGGGAGGGAGCCTGCTCGCAGGCCAGTGATAGCGTCATGCAAACTTTCAGGTAGGACTAGTGTAGGGGTAACGTGAAGACGTCGAAGGAAAAAGAGTCAAATTTAAGTGTTTTTGTGACGATGGGGAAGTTTAACTGTAAATGTAATCATGCAAATAATTTGTGCTGCCGTAGTGCTTGGCTTCCATTTGAGATTACAAAGTTTTTTAAAACCTTACCACAGGCAATTATTTACTCAAGGAAGAAAAATAATTTCTCAATCGAACCAGTAATACCAATTGTCAGCTTTGAAATTTGTCGCACTGTTTTTCAGAAGTCATTGATGTAAAGTGTTGTGGACAAAAACAATATATTTTGAAAATGGAACAAAAATTGTCAGGCAATCTGTAACCTACTAGCCTCCCACGCAGGCGTTTTTAGGGGAGCTCGTATTTCTTCCCTTTGTGGGGAGGGAAGAAATACGAGCTCCCCTAAAAATGCCTGCGTGGGAGGCTAGTAACCTACGCGCGCGGCGTGGAATGAGTTCTCCATAATTATTCTTACCTTACTACGCTTACTGCCAGTGAGACGGAAAGAACCAACTGTGCAAATTTCCTTCATGGACAATTTCGCGCTGCTAGAGCCAATTCAAGACCGTCTACTCGAAAATCGATTGATGCTGGGGGAGGGGAGGCACTGAACGGAAACTTGAAAATAATCTCTTGAAAGGGGTGTTTCGCGAAGGCCCTCAAAGGTTGATCTGGTAAATACAAGAGAGCTTTCCTCGTGACCGTCATTAATTTCATTACGCATGCTGAATTGTACGTTTTGTATTTTAAACTGACATTATAAAATAATATTTTGAAAGATAAATACATGATAATGTTGGTTCCTTATGTGTACATCGCGGACCACCGACGTCTAATCCCAGTCAGAAGGCTTCCGGCCTACAAAGACACCCTGAGATGCAAAATAGTGAAATTGTAGTTCTTTGTTTAAGTCTTAAGACCTGAAAACCATGCGCTGATCGGTGGCACATACCCAAAGGCCAAATAAGGAGTGCACAGGGCCGTTCCCCTCGGGTGAATGCTGCGTACGCCAAGACAAGATACTCCGCACTTAATCACCAATAATATGACGTGTGCGAAGAAAAACGTACAAACACTACATTTTTTTCAAAGGTTTAAAATCAGTTCAAGTTTGTGTTAAGAGTTTCGACATCGCTTTCCTTCTACGTCTTAGTTAAAGCGTTTCTTCTGTGTGCACAAATCAGCTATCTCAGTACTTGATTTATAAAGATATATGCGCTCCCTCGAACAGATGGTGCTGAACCCTTAGTAGTCGTACCATCCAATCCTGAGGCATGTTATATATGTATATACGCGGGTAATGCATTAGGGGAAGAATAAAACAGGAAAATGATCATGACCAGTAAGACGTTTAACATCAGCCCCTTGACCAGCGTGGTTTTAGCGCTGAAACAATTAATATGAAAGAGGCCCAGCGAAAGATTGCAGAAGGAAGCCCAGTACTAAGGGCCATTCAGGGTCACTCAAGACTTTGAGTTGGGGTGGTTTATTCTTGATTTACATTTTGTTTTACATTTGATTTGGTTCACGTTTATTTTGACTTTAGAATGGAAATAGGTCATATACTGTATCAAAGAATATAATATAAATGGATAAAACCAGAATGAAATGATGTACTTAAATGTAATATTCCACGGCAAGAATGAATAACAAACTGAGTTGTAAACGCATTCATTATTGAAAATTTTAGTTTCTACTCAAATCAGCTGCTTTTTCCAAAAGCGCCACGTTGTGTATTGTTGATAAATTGGAGATATTAATTTCTTCTTAGTTTACATCGCTAACTTATGTCTTAGTCAGTAAGAAACGGGGTCTATAAAGAAAAAATATTAGGTAACAGAGGTAATTTAATTGACTCGGGTTCGCTAGTGCTTTTTGGCCAAACATGATATTTTTGTAACATACAAGTATTATTTATCTTTTTTGTTAAACAGAGTTAGTTTCAGCGTCGCTGTATTTATACTGCGACATGTGTACAATCGACATTAAAGGTGTCTTACGTGGAAAAACTGTAACTATAAAAATAAAAGTAAAAAAATCGAAATGAATCCCGATTTTTATTCTAAGATGTCAATCGTTAATCACGAGCGGGGTGTCATTCCGTCTTCGGTTAAGTTTTCAATACACAAACATGAAAACTTTCCTCCGCAATTGCGTAGACGAAAACGTTGAGTCAAGAACTGAAAAAAACGTCAGTGACCAGAAAAAAAATACTGCCCACTAGAGATAAATAAGAATTGTTATTTAGACCCAGCTTAGCTGACACATGCATGGTAACTGATAAAGCATTTTTCGTTTATCCCTACGAGTACAAAATTTGGTTGTTTTGTCAGTTTTTCGTAAAGAGAATTGAATGCATTTCTTAAGTTCTTTTCAGGGGTTAGTCCATATTAGTATTTCGATATAATTACTTTTGTCGCAAGATGATTGGTTCGCGGTGTGCGGGCGTTCTTATTTGACGCTTGATTTACTTGCTTTTAAACGCTGATTGATCTTCAAAAGAATTAGCATAACGCTTCTCTTAGCCGAAGCTTATTTAGAAATGCAAACTGCGATTACTTGGAGAATCCTCAGCGAATATTTATCGATCGCCATGACCTCGCTCTACTGACCCGTTGATTTTACGGACCGACCGTGCGACATGGAAAAGACAAGGACGTGTTTTAAGCCCGGACTTGGTTGTTGGGTGGTTGTATGGGTCGTTATTGCCACTATCTCTCTTGTTTTATCATATGCCATTGCTCGCTCGAATGGACATATCTCGTTCTTTGTTCCAGCTATAAGTGACACAACTTCAAAGAACCCTGAAGGAGCGGTTTTTGCCCAGTTATTTAACACTACGGCCCTTATAACTTTGATTTTGATCGCTATTCGCTACTTCCAAGTTAAAATGATAAATAGGCAAGTGGATGGTGGGGAATCGTCGCATTTATCCCAACTCAACTCACTGAGTATTGTTTTCGGCATTGGGGGCGCGCTGGGCGCCTCACTGGTAGCGAATTTCAAGTCTGTAGAGGTAAGTTTTCAAAACCAGTTTTGTTTCAGTTATTTTACCGTCCATCTTATTATAGCTAGCGTTCATTCTATTCAAGACTTTCATAAGAATTTTGAATCGTTAAGTTATCATGATTTTTTAAGTTCTGAAAGTCATTTAATTTGGCGGTAAATTTATACAGTTAAGAAATATAGATTAGGAAATTTATGCGGCTTTAACGCGCGGGAACTGAATTTAGGTCATTAAACGTAAATGTACCGAACTCCCGGACATCCAGATTTCTTCAACTGTTTTTTTCTGTCGTATATCATTCTAAAGGGATTAAAATTGTTTGCTTTCAGTTGTCGAATGTACCTTTACTGTTAGTAGTTGATCTCTCAGCTCAGATCCGCTCGAACGAGCTAATGACTACTTTTATTAACCAAGATGTTTTTCCTTTACAAGTGCTCATCCACGTACAGGAAACTGTCAAAAGCATTCAGGAGTCCTATGAACTTTGAGCAAACTTTTTCATAATTAACCTTTTTTTTTGCATTCAGCCAAATTTTAGCACAACCAGTCATTCAATCTCTCCGACTATACATTTGCTTCAAAATTATTAATTATTCGACTTCTATTCAACTTCGCTGAATGGACTGAATGGTTGCCTAATTGAAAATCTTTCTCAGCCTTTGTAATTGTGCGAAAATTTACGCTATAGTTTTTGGCCGTTTGACGGCTTGGTTTGCTCGAAGTAGAGCGCAATATTGTTTTCATAAGACATAATTAAAATTAATACACCAAGAATAAAAAGAAAAGCAATTGGAGATGTTTGTTATTTTCACCGGAAGGTTGGTTTCTGCGGAAACTTTTCTTTTCTCCTGTTACCTAGAAACTGCCACGCTGCATAAAAAAAACTGTGTTATTCCTTTTTAATCTTAATGTAGATTTTAAAAAGCCCTCTCTTCCTTTTCCTGGGAAGGCTAGCTTTTCCCAGAACGTAATTAGTTTCAAAAATTGGTGCAACTACAATACAGACTACATTCGAAACCGTGTTTGTTATTGACTTGCTTGGCTGGGCAGTGATTATGGAAAACGAAAAATACATGAGATGGGAGTCATTTGTGGCTCGGCAGTAGGCAGAAAGAACAAGGTAAACGTAGTAACAGTGGCAGTGGACCAGTAGTCTTATATTTTGGTCCGTTTAGCAAGAGAGTGGATGGCGGCCTAGTTTACTGATATAATTGGTGGCTCATCTCATCCCACAGTCGATTCTTCTGAAGTTCAGTTTCGCTCGGGCGTAAGTCGATTCGCCCGATGACAAACAACACGGATTATCACATAAGTTTTTTAGTTAAGCTTGGATTCTCAGTGCTGCTATTGCCAAAAAAAGGTCCAGCGATCTGAACGATCTTAGCCACGATCTCGATAATCACATGAATGTTTTGTGTGAAGCTTACTTAGAAATACAAACTTAGAAACTGCGATTATTTGGAGAGGCTCAGCGAATATTTATCGGTCGTCATGACTTCGCTGACCCGTTGACTTTACGGACCGACCGTGCGACATGGAAAAGACTAGGACGTGTTTAAAGCCTGGACTTCGACTTTGGACCTATATAGCGTTTAAACTAAAGCGTCAAGAGAAAATACAATCCTAACCAACAAAGCCGTGATGTTTGCTTCGGAAATAGCCGGCAATTCGGCAGAGCTCAGATAACCAAATGAAAGCTTGTTTCCGCTCATCTGATAATTCTAAAAAGGAGTTCTGGCGTGCAAACCCTTGTAGGGACGCGTCCATCCCAGTATAGATTAGAGTTAAGGCAAGATAATTTCTTTTCTTACCAGCCAAATTCTGATGCTTTTCTCGGAGAAGAGAATTTAGTCACTAGCAACGCTTCTGCTTTCCGGATCGATTCTGATAATTCAAGAGAACTAAACTTAAATTAAATTACATGTAGAAGCACAAAAGCGACAAACCTAAGCTTTTGTTTCGTAGGATATTTTTGAAAGGGCAGGAATTAAGTTTTGAGGTGCTAAGAAAACAGAGAGGTGAGCTTCGTATTTTGTTCAGAGGTGTCGATAACAACAGGTTATACTGGCAAAAAATCTAATGTAAAACTCAACTAATTTCCTACGTATGGTTCTAATCCTGGGTGACCGGTGCTTGTTATGCCGCTTTCCAGCCCCTTCCACCCACGCCATCACCTTCCCGCTTCTAATATTAAACACAGTGTGTCATGATATGATTCATCCCGTCTATGCCTTTTTGTTATTGCCATACAGACAATAGTGGACGTTTCAGCATCTGTCTTGTGTCCGGTCAATAATCCACATTTCAAATTTGGCGATCGATTGAAAAAGAGTTTGTGACGTTGGCTTCGTGTGGCGCAAACAATACAGAAAATACGAATGAAATTAACAGTTTTAAAATCAAAATATATGTCAACAGCCAGTTTAGAAGAGTTCTACAGCTGTAGGTATAAACTGCCCAACTTCAGCTGTCTAACAAGGTTTTTAAATATTCTTAGCATCTGATAATCATGTCTTGACTAATAATTATAAGTTCCACCCTGATTACTGGCAGGATGTACTTTTTAAATTTCTGACATCCCGTTTCCTCGTTCGCCTTTCAGGCTCCAGTTTCCTTGGCTGTAACTTTTCATTTCCTTGTTTTCAGAAACTAGCGGCCGCTGACAACATCTTTTGTTTCTTTGAACGGAAACAGAATGCATTCGTAACAGAAACGTACGGTGATCAGGATTTTTAATTAAAACTAAACTTCCATGATTCAAAGCAAATACTTTTGAAGAATCTGTATTTTAATTCCAGGACCAATGTCACCAGTTCCCAACTCTATCAGTAGTTTGGTACATTTTTCGATTCAATATACTGTTTACGTCCACTGCCGAAAATATCAATGTGATTTAGCAGCAGCTGGCTGGGAGGAAACGGAATTTACTTGTAATTGTTAAATTTAAACTTATCGAGTTCTTCCCCGTCCTTCAAAAATCAATACTGATTTTGATTTGTTCCTTTAATATAGACACTGTTTTTTCCTTCATTTTCTTAGATCAAATTAAAATGACGGAAATGATAGCTGAAGCTACCAAACTATACATTATATATTCAGGGGCACCCAACGGCAATTTTCGGAAAATATCTGTTCGGAAGGCGATTTGAGATCTAGAATTTTCGGAACGTTTGTTGTAAAATTTCTTGTTTGCCTGCCTCTCCTAGGATTTTCGAACATCTACAAAATGGTACAATTACCCACTTTTAACGGATTTTTACCCTAAAAAAGGCCACCTAGGATTTTCAGGAACCTTTTCCTGGTTGAAATTTTCGAAAAGGTAAGTTTTGATCCCTATAATTTTCGGATCACTAGACTTTCAGCTAGGAAATCCGAACAAATGAAAAGTTTTTAGGGGATTAAAATATGCCTATATCTACCGTGTAAATACTAAAATACGTTCAACAGTGCTATGTTAAGTGGTTTTGAACTATATCCTCGTTGCAGGGTGCCGCTGTATATTGCCCGTGTATCACGTTCTGTAGTTGCTCCGCGATCCGTAGCTTTTAACACAAAAATGACAAAAACAGAAGGGTCTACTCTTTATCATACAACATAGCACCTTAATTCAGCGCGGTTAGTCAGTTTGCTGGGAATTTTCTCGTTTTTTAGCGGGGAAGCTTTCGAGCCCTAAAAACAAGCTAACCTAATGCAACACGTCCTTCTAAAAGTTGATCTGCGCGGGCAGAAAACCTGTCGATACTTATAGACTTAACAACTGCGGCACCGAAGTTATTCTTATAAGACATAGTTGCTGCTTTGTAGCAGGGAAGTTTGTTACTAAAATCTGCATGTTGAGAAACGACACAGGATACAAGATTTTTAACGCATGGTTCCGAACATAAACACATCATCTTTCCCTTTAATTTCCAGCCTTTCTGACTCATTTGGTCAGTCAAATCCATAGCAAAATAAGCGTTTCTTCAGTTGACAATGTATGTTCCGGGTCGAATATTATTTGTGTACCTCTCTCAAAGCAGGCAATTCTGAAATTCAAGTTGTGATCTGCGAATCTTACGGATTTTATTTAGGGAAAAACCATTTACTTTATTTTCTTTATTCTTTCCAAGGATAACGATGACGCGGTTGGTATTGTTCACGTGATCGGAGCCGTGATCCTTTTTACCAGTGGTGCTGGGTATTGTTGGACCCAGACCGTCGCCACCCATCAACTGACGAAATTCAGCTCTGAAAGCAGACCTGTCTTCACCGTTCGCCTGGTCATTTCATGCGTTCTTACATTAAGTGCCCTAATATTTTTTATCTGCGAAGGGCTAACCTACCATAGTTCTTTGAAGCACGAATCTTCTGTACAGATCGTTGGAAACTTGTTTGAATGGTTGGCTGCGTGGTGCTTTGGGCTGTATGCCTTGTCGTTCTTCAAGGAATTTCAAAATCTATCTTTGAGGATCCAATGTATACCTAGATGCGGTGGCAAGAGCAGCGACGCCCTTAAGTATTCTACCATACCTGTCTCGGGTATTGATGAAAATATTACGGACAGTGATTAATGTATAAGTAACTAATAGGTAACAATATTAATTTTAACTCTGTCATTTCCACGCATGGAAAGTTAAGAATCAAAACTGCTAATTATCACATTACCCCTCAGTCATTGTACTGGATAAAAAGATTTAAATTGATTAAAATCAACTATTTGTTATTAAGGATTAACAAGACAGATCAGTACTATGCACGAAGCACTATGTGCTTGCCTTAAAGCTTAATTCAACCCTTAACTTTTTATTTCAGGCAGCCACACTTAACTAAAGCTTGCGCCTTTACTCATTGATGACTGAATTTCAGCTCAGTCTCAGTATATGACAATTTTAAAATCATTTCAATTTATTTAAATTATCAAGTGTGTAAATATGAAAATGTAAATCAACCCAGTTTAATTTTCATATGTTTTGCGACTGTTATTATTTAATGCTACGAATTGTGAATTATTTTTGTAAGATCTATAGTTAGTGTTTGTTCTAACTTATTCAAGAGTTGTGGCTAGCGTGGGATTATAGGTGTTCGTGCTTGATGCTGAAACCTTGCAGTCTTGCACGAACAATCGCACTAGCTCCAAAAACATGCAATTTGGATTTTTTCTGGTGATAAGAGGAATAATGGAATAAAAATGTTTTCCTGTGGAATTGTCAGTACCTCTCTCCGTGCATGGAACTGAATGTCGTTCAGAAAGGTGGTCATAAAATAATAATTCCTTATTTTACCCAGGGGCACCCAACGAGGATATAGTTCAAAACCACTTAACATAGCATTGTTGAACGTATTTTAGTATTCAAACGGTAAATATAGGCATATTTTTATCTCCTAAAAACTTTTCATCTGTTCGGATTTCCTAGCTGAAAGTCTAGTGATCCGAAAATTATAGGGCTAAAAACCTACCTTCTCGAAAATTTCAGCCAGGAAAAGGCTCCCGAAAATTCTAGGTGGCCTTTTTTAGAGTCAAAATCCTTTAAAAATGGGTAATTATACCATTTTGTAGATGTTCGAAAATCCTAGTAGAGGCAGGCAAGCAAGAAATTTTACAACAAATGCTCCGAAAATTCTAGATCTCAAATCGTCTTCCGAACAGATATTTTCCCGAAAATTGCCGTTGGGTGCCCCTGTTTTACCCTCAGTAGTATTTATAGCAGGAAGGCGGGTGGGGTCGACTTGGGAAACGGGAATACGAGCTTTAATACGAGGGAAGGCGGAGAGTTCTCCATGCTGTTGCTGAACTGTTCCGACTGTCTTTTTTTAAGTGTTTTTTGCTGAGACTTTACTACTACTGTACATTCATTGTAGAGGGATCATAGACTTGACAACTCGCCTAAACTTTAATTCTCAGCTTTTGTCTTTCATAGATCACAAAAATCGAAAGCGAATTTTATGAAAGCTTATAAGTTCATACTACAAGGGACAAAAGAAAACAGCTAAGTGAAACCACAGGAAGAGCGGATTTTTATTATTTTTCCTCGGTTTTCTATTGTACTGCGCGGACGCCCCAAACCATTTGTTGCAGTTGCGGTTAGCTATTGCTATGTTTTTATAAGTTTATCGCCTCGCCAGCAAGTTTTTGCCCTTGATCTATCAAATATCTCAGTTAGCGACGGTGATGCCGTGGTTTTTGGGGGAAGGAGGCAGCGGCTGATGAAATTAGGTATTATTGATTATTATTGTATGCGACTCGAAGGGACGTCTGAAATTCAGGCTAATGATTTTCTTTCTGGTAGATTAAAAAAGAATTGATGATTACGAAAAGAAAAAAAGAAAAGAAAAATGACACTGTGATTCCCATACCGGGAGTCGAACCCGGGCCGCCTGGGTGAAAACCAGGAATCCTAACCGCTAGACCATATGGGAACTACATGAAATGGTCAACGCAAATAAATGTATTTGAATACAATTGCTGATGGGAGGTTCAATACTTTTTTTTCAATGTTAAGGCAGCTCAGCATTTTAGTAAAGCTTCGCTAATCAATCATACTGAACTAAGTGAAGCGAAAGTGAGTAACAGAGACGAATCTAATACAAAAAGCAGTCAAGCAAGACTGGCACTACAAAAGAGCTATAATAGACAGACCCTTCCTGAGCTGGAAACAAATCAAGCAAAATACTTTAGATAAAAAGGAGAAATGTCGGTAGTCAGTAATATTTTCCTCGTTTTGTCGGAAGTCAGTTATATTTTTCGCCTTTTGTCGAAGCCGCCCTTCCGAGGGGCTCGTATTCCAAGGGCTTAAACGCGGATTGAAATTTGCCTTTCAAAATCTGTCGGGCTCATAAATTAAGAGTTACGACGTTTTTACATCCTAAAGATAAAACGGCTTTTTCAACAAGGCATTTAGAGAAGTGACAACACAATAACTCACCTAGAACAGTGTCCAAAACAACAAGAGACACTCGTAGTATTTAGTCCGTTAGCCAGAAATCTAAAGGATGCCTTAGTTTAGCGTATAAGGACAAATCCCAAACATATATATGCTGACAGGGGCTTTTGCAACCACGTGACAAGGCCGCCATTCTATACAAGAAAAAAATTTTGCAGAATTTGCATGGAAAAAGAGAATGTAGAAGCGGAGGGAAACGTTTTTGTTCTTTAGTGTCAACTAGCATTCAACATGGGCCGCCTTGACGGTCAGTTGCAAAGCCTCAGGCAGCATACAATAGGAACTGCTTTTTTGCTTCAAAGACCCTCACACGGTGTTTTTTCAACTTTTGACTGGGACCATTTGGCAAAAATCCGTCAACACAGCTGCAACCAAAGTCTTAAAATCTATCAAAGATATTAGCTCTGCAAAGTCAAGGAATTTTACAGACATTTCTCGCGGGCAACTTCCTGCCCCCACCATACAAACGTCCGTAAAATTTTGCTACCTTAGCTTGCAGAGCAATATATCGTCGATCCCTTTAGACTTTTCACCCTTAAACTTGGTACGTTTTCTTATTTTAAAGCGCTCCTTCCAGAGTCAAAACTATAACATATCCGTGATCTATTTTGGGGGCTCACATTTGGTGGTGCTCAACGAAAATTATAAAAGAAAAGAAGTCAGAAAATTTGATAAGAAATGTCGATTGCTGAATTGTCAATGACCTTGTGTTTTGGTTTTGTTGTTGACCAATACTACTCATAAATTGTATTGGCTATTTAGAATGCAAGAAGAAGATTCACGTCAGGTTCTCGTCAACTTGTATAAACGGAAAATTTATTGGAAATGAAACTTGCCTTCTTCTTTAAAACCTGCATAAAATTCTTTGACGTCATGTGCTCGTAGTTGTTTGATTGGCAGGCATAAATGGCAAATAAACATAACATAAATGGGGCAGGTGGCATCCAGGTTACGCTCTCCCAACAAGAGGCGAAACAATTCCTTCTCCTCCTAAGAGAACTGATAATTTTGCAGGAGATTCAGTTTTCCTCAAACATCCTGCCCGTGTCATCATGGTGAGGTGTTGTAGAGGCATATGGTTGGGTTTTAAGAAGCTCATCATACGATGTCTGGTAAATCGAGCTGGAATGCAGAAGAATCATCTACTATGTTGTCGGAAATGCAACGGTGAGAAATATACGTCTAAAAAGGAAATTCTGCCAAGTAATTTTACAAGTTAGGAATGTAGTTTGCTGCCGTATCATGTTTACTTAGGTCCTCTTACAAAGAGGTTCTTTGCGAAAGGTTAGTTTAATCAATGCAAGCTTTTTTCTATCCAAGAGCATATTATATGGCCAAAATGAGCGTCTTTCTAGCGTAAAGTACCTGTTAGGTTTATTTAACAACCTGCTAGATTTGTGTAAGCGTTACTACGCCTGGATCGATGAAAAGCAAAATGAATCATGCATTTCACCAATTTTGTTTGCCTCTATAGTTGCCGATTAACAAGAACTCAGTTTTCATTATACCAGAGGACCAGTTACTTGGGGATATTATCTAAGAATTCTATTAAGCGTCTTCTTTTTTTGCAAATTGAGCCCGGTGGATAATAGGAACGTAAAGTCAATCAAGGCTTTTATTACTGATCTGCGCTATACTGTTTGAAATTCAGTGATGAAGGTAGCCTCTTTTGAAAGCTTGCAGAGAAGCAATTTATTCAGTTTTGCGGCTAAGAGAGGAAGCCGTCGCAAAGTGCCCTGACTCACACATCATTATTATCATATTCCAGTTACAGCGTTAACTTAAGTTAATTAAAATCCTCTCTCCGTGAAATTCATCGGTAGAAACTATTGCCGACTTATGATTCTGAAGCGAATCAAACTTCATTTCCAAAATAAACCGACCATACTGAAACTTTCTTAGTTTATGCTTTTTCCGGGCTTCAGGCGACAAATGCCTTGGAAAAACTGTTGGATATATTGTCTACCACTCTGAAAAGTAACCTGAAGCTTGGCACTATACAAGGGCACCCAGCCAACGACTGTTTTCGTAAAATATCTGTTCGTAGAAGCATATATTGCCTGGAATGTTTTATAGCTTTCCACTCATGTACAATTTCGGAAGCTTATCTAATAAATTCCTACGATTTTCTGAGGTTTAATTTTTCACATTTCACTGCCCTGGTTAGGCTACTTTTCGTACAAAAAAGGAAACCTAAAATTTTTGGATTCAAAACCGGCTATTTATGGAGAGAGGAATCAGAAAAATTCTCGCTTTCGTAATACGTTAAATTGCATCTAAAATTTTCGGGAAAATAATACTGAAGCCCTAGTGTAATTTGGAAAAGACTCATGTTCCCCTATGAAGACCGGATACATGATCCAAAACTATCAATGACATCGCAGCACACTCTACTTTTTTCATGAGTCATGGACGAAGACCATTCAGTACATTCTCACAAAACATCACTATATAATAAACATGTTCAAAAGGGTATCGACTAGTACGAGAGGGAAAGTATACTGGCATATTTGAGAAACATCAAGGCCATCAAGTACGAGTCACATTAGAAGCATTCTAATAGGAATATATTTCGTAAAAGTGATCAGGAAATGCAAACTTTTAATTCTTTTCCAAGAAATACAACCTTTAAAATTATTGAAACCTGATGTAATCACATACAACAGTTTGGACGTCTTCTGGATAACACATACTGATGAGATGCTGAGTATGGAAATGAAATTTACTGGATTCATGCATGTTGTTTTGAAAGTCAGCGTGATGAAAATTTTCAAAACTAAAAAGGGTTTTTCCAGTGCAAATATAGAATAACAAATGCTGTGAGTAGCTTTAACTGTTACAAAACTCGCTGATAAGAAAATAAGGACCACTATTAGCTAATTGCATTGTTGGAATCAAAGAACAGGTGGGTTTTGTAGCGCCCAAGCAACCTTTAGCTTAAAGGTGTCTGAATATCTGGAAAAAATGACGAACGGATTTAGCAGTGTACTGACAATTATAGTTAGCGCAGCAAATGGCTTTTCCTACGGTGCTGGGGATATAGTCAGGGGCACCCAACAACGTATGGTTTCCTCTTAAAAACATTGAAAACACTTTTTAGGCTATCCAGAGTACTTTAAGATATCTAGAAATGCATTCTCAGCGGCGCTATAAAAATATTTTATTAATTTTATTTGTTGTTTTCCAGCTTGTTGTGGTTCCTGTAACAGATGCTGTTGTATCTGCCTGTCGCGTGTTCCCTGTGCCTCACTGATTGCCTCATTTATCTTGGCGATCGGTTTTACTGGCTTTGCTCTTGGCCTCAGCGAAGGTGTCAAAAACCTTAACATATTTCTCAAGATGGATATAGTGTAAGTGCAAACCATTAACATCCCTTATCCATCCACTGAATCGGAGTTGGAAAACATGCTTTAGAATCAAACTAGCGACCTTTATGACGGTTTTTAACGTTACAAGTAAAGGTAAAAGTCTTAAATTTAACGTCGATAATTCGTAACGGTACTCATTAGACTGACAGATCTGAGCCAACTGTGCACGCATTTACCCTCTCCCCCCACCTCTCATCCATCAGTGCTCCGTTTTACAGGTATTTAAAGCTACTTAAAGTTAGACGGGAAAGGAAAGAAGTTGAAACAAAGATTTGAGGTCTTACCTGGGAATCGAACTGGATCGGAACAGCATGCTCCAGAAAAACCGTTTCAGAAAATAACTGAATAACTTCGTAAAGCCCTTGCTTAAACAGAAATTCAACTTAACCTCGTACACCTGCACTTCTCCCTTTAGTTTCATCATCTGTTTGTTTTTACCGCACATTTATGCTTAGAAAACCTGGATAAGTTTCAACCTGCCTCTTGGAGTTTTACCTAAGGATGAAATACTGAAACGAAGGCCTTATCATTGATATTTACAGTGACCTGGCCTCATTAGGGATCATGTTGTTTGGCGTATTTCTGGGGTCAGTCTCGGGACTTGCTCTCTTGCATGGATTTGCAGCTACAGGTCGCACTCGGTTCACAATTTATAGAGGATGGAAATGTCGTCTGCTCGGACGCTGGTGCATCTGCTTTGTAAGTCTATATCTCTATCAGAAAATAAATGCTAAGCAGAATTTGGTTAAAAAGTAGCAAATTTTGGAAAACAGTATATGAGGGATAACTTCCTAGGCCTCAAAGTTCTTGCTGCGCGGTCAAATGAATTGACCGAGCAGGCCTGAAAGATAGTCTTACAGAAGCGAGGCGAGGTTGGGCCGAAAAGAATCTAGGGACAGCTCAGACGGAACCTCTAGCTAGCGAGGGCAGAAAATTATAGAAAAAAAGACAGGTGCGATTTAATAAAGTACTGTACTGAAAAAGTTCAAGACTGTCTTTAATTAATTCCAAATGGAAATCTCCTTCGCGTCAAATAATCTTTGTATACACGTGACAGCAATAAAAAAGCTGACTCATCATTTTTCCTTTATTTTTTTCTGTAGCTGTTTGGATGGCATTATTTTATGCTCTTTCTGTGGTTGTTCCTCGCTCCGCTGATGCTTATTCCTCTTATATTCATGGGAATCTTTTTTGGAGTGTGTCAGGTGAAAGTCGTCAAACAACTCGGAAAGACCTGCATTAGATTTGAAGAATATGGTAAGTACAAATGACGGTAATGGGTGGAGTGATTAAACCTGGAGTGACCAGTGGATTAGCTTGGAACGGGGGGAGGGGGTGGGGGTAGGTCAGGAGGGGTCACACGGGTCGAAAACCAAGCTGTGTGCTGTGTTTTTCTAAAAGTGACATTTTTCGGATGCGCAGTGAGCTTGAGGGAGGACAAAAGCCTGCAAAACGCTGCATAGATAAATGGATCATGCGTCAAGAAAACCGAATACTCTATCGATCTCCTCATACAAGTACCGCTAAAAATAATTTGATGCGAGGAATTGTTCAACAAAGTGAGCTTTGAAACGAAAGTTTTGGAGAAAAATTTGGATATAGGACGGCCGAAATTGCACGGTTGCATACCAAGGAACTGTTTCACAGAGAACGATATAGAGACCTTCTCGCGAGCCGGCGCTAAAACCGCCGGCTTGAAACATCGTGTCGATGCCGGTCGTAAATTGTTACACAAAGATCTTCCAAAGGTTATTTTTAACACGTTTTGATTTGTTTGGTGCGATTTGATGTGTAGGTATTGGAGATCTTGTCAGTCCAGAAGAAGTTTGTGGCGATGACTTGCTGTTATTCTGCGAAGCGGTAAGGTTTAAATCTCTGATTGGCCTGCAAACTAGACGGCTTAGAGTAATCAGAAAGTATTCTTTAACACTGGTACACTAGTGCTTTAGGTACAGGGGACCACAGCCCCTCAGGCGAGTCTCACCTGTATATCAGCTAAGCCTTCTTGGTAATAGACACCTGTTCATGGCCGCGACATCAGACGCTCCGGTTGGTGCGGCTTGTTTCGGGGTACCCTGCAAACAGAAGCCCTTCTATTTTTTTAGATATCTAAGACGATCGAAGGGCCTCTGCTCGCAGGGTAGTTTCGGGAGTGTCTACGGAGCGTAGATAACTGGCCTGGTGTTTGGTCTCAGGTCAATGATTCCCAGAAAAGCGAAGAAACTTTCTCACACGACGAGTTGCAGTATTTAAAAAATTTCCTAGAAATTTCTCCTATGAGCGTTCTGTTTACATCCAGTCTGATTACTATTTTTTTTAAAATGTTTGTTTATTTCTCAGATAACTGGAGCCACTCCGTATTTCGCTGCTGTTTTTGTTGGCGGGCTTTTCATTGTCGTGGGCGTGGTAAGTGGCAATGCGTCTAGTTAGTACTTAAATAAATATTCCTAAAACTCCTCTTTCGCATTCGTCGATGATAGCTGCAAATTAATGGACATCCTTAACTTTTACAGTTGAAATAATTACCAAAATACTTTTCACTCTAAGGGAGCACCCTGAATACCAAAAAAATTAAGTAAATAATCGGTATGTAACCTGCAGTATATTAGGTAGGTAGAAGGGGTAAATGGGAACTCTTCCCAGTTTCCTTTCGTGTCCAATTTTATTTCCCCTCTAAAGCTGAGGCTGTACTGCATGAATGGCAAGAAATCAAAATGTTCTAAACTTTTTCCAGTGCAATTCCAATTTTAAAGGTCATCGAATGGACACGAATCCTCTTCCAATTTGTTTGAGTTTTGATTTTTTTTCTCATAGTTCCACATGCTGTTCGTACTAACAGCAAACTACGCCCATGTTCATGACCAAAGAAGAGTCGAAAAGGCCTCAGAATGTTCCACTTGTCGGACATGCTGCACGGTAAAGGACCCAGACCGTTACGAGGACTGCTTCCCTGAGCCCCCAGTAGAAGAGGTCCAACTTGCTTTGCAAGAGAAATTGAAGATAGATGCGGGGGACCCTGAAGGAGGTGCCCACCCACATAACCATCCCAAGTGGAACTATGTATACGACTTCGAAAAGGCGCCGCTAATGTCCGGCAAAAAGTACTAATCGATTCCGGTTTTTTTTAAAGAAATTGACACCGTTCAAATTTGTTCCCTTTCCTCAAGAACAAAGGGACACCTCGTCTCATTCAGGATGGTGTGTTTGATACCCTAAAATGGTTAGATGATTAACAAAGATAAACAACTCGCAACACAAAAATAACCTTTTAAAGCAGCTTTGCAAAATAATAAACTGAACATGAGAAAAACTGGGACCGGAAAAAATTATATACTTGTGTAATGTGCTCAGCCATAGTTTTGGAACAATGGTTCTTAACTTGACAGTTCGCGTAACAATCAGGACAGAACACATGCAAAGAAAACCGCTGTTTGAGGAATCGTTCACACGAACAAGCTAAGGCTTCACGTATGAACATTTCATTTTGCCTCATCGTATTAAACAAAAAATGCAGGGTGCGTTTCTACCACGTGTGTGACATACAATTCGGGCAAATATTGTCATGTACACCAGCAAATTGTCAAGTGATAGTCTTATCTTAGATTCCCCAAAGTGACGCACCCTTGATTTTCTTTAAATAAAAAACGTAGTACGTTTCTACGAGAGGAGAGAAAATAAAAACCTTTGAAATAAAAAAAAGCTAAAAATACTACGCAAAAAGCTTTGTATCTTTTTAACTACTTTTTACTTTTTATTGCCCACACAAAAATGATTTATCTTTCATAGCAAATTAAACCGATAGCTGATAAATATCATTTTATTAATATTTATGACTAACTACAGGAGCCCAGCTCCTGTTAGCTGTAAATCGCAAATAAAATTGATTTGGAGATTCATGGCCCAAAAGCTTCCTCACTACTATAAAATTAAGTTAATTCTCTTGTGCAGCGGTACTAAAAAGTTCTTTCGAGTGGAATGGCTTTCGTCATTTTTGAACAACCTCGACCCCAGGGCTTTTCCTTTCCGCCCCTTCCCGACCCGACCCTGGGGACGTAGCCAGCGTAGCCGGCGCTTGGAAGTAATGGGCGCAAGAAAAAAGGGGTAGCGCGAGGAAGCGCGCGCGGGATATGGGGACGAGGCTGATTTTCAAAGAGTTCTCTGCTTGTGAATATAATAGAAAACTTGATTTGAAAGCTTTTCAACAAAACAACAGTCTGTCTAAGAAACGCAAATGTCTCTCTACTATGTCTTTCTTTCGATTAGGCGACCGCACTTTGTTTGTCAGAGGAAATCATCATAGTTTCCCTCTTTCATCTTACTAGACTCCAGGCCCACTCGATCGCGAGCCATCAAAGGTTTCATGGCCGTGAGCAGGCTGTGATAGAGGTCTGGAAACAATATTTCCTGAGCCGCCAGAAGCTGCTTTGTTCGATGACGCTCCTGAAAAAAAGAAATACAACAAAAGTTAAACATGAAAACAAACAAAAAGGTAACAAATGCAAAAGTACTGACCTTAGGTGCTTCAAAACAGGCAGGACAGTTCTCCGCAATCACAGGAAGTTTGACCTGAAATAACACAAATTTTCACGATAAATTATGACATTATCTCACATCTACATCCTATCTACATGTATTATTTACTAATAATTTCTTAGCTCCGGGGAACTCTGGTTTTGTGGCAATAAACATTCCGGCTGGAAAATGAAGAAAGTCTGCCGAAAAAGGGAACAAACTTTCGCCTGGCATCGGTCTTTGTCAGGTACTAATTATGTGTACAAATAATTCAACATTACCTTTTCCGCAAAACTTCTCAATTCCTTCTCGCGTACATAAACTAAAGGCCTGATAACACGCAAATCACATTCCCTAAAATGCAAAGACATTTATTAATTAGCTTTATTTCCAAAAAAAAATTAACAAACGTTGAATCTGTAGTCGGAGTTTACAGTGAAGCATTCAAAAAAAAAATAACATGTTCATAACAGAATAAAACCAAGTAAAACGAAGGAAATATGAGTGATTAAATAAAACCGCTTCATGTAACTTTCAGGGAAGAGCAAAACAAGACAAGTAGTAACCTTTAAAACTAAATCTGATTAAAACATGAACAGTTTTTTGTGCACGAAGATTTTTGATGGCCGGATTTAGAATGTGAAACAAATAATTGACAGGTTTGTTACATATATATACTTACAAGACGGTATAGTTCGCTTTCATTGTTCGCAACAGACCATTGTGAAATGCTGACATCAAAAAGCTGAAAATAAATGGACAAATTTTCAAGGATCAGGTTTGCGAAAACCCGTTTTTCTTTTGTCGCTGGCTGTGCTTTCACATTCATAAAAAAAAATAAAACATGCGGAACAAAACTTAACTCTGCATGCTGCCGTTTCACGATTGCCGTAAAGGCGGTACTTAATCTCTCTTATGGCACAGAAAACAATTTTAATTTTGTTAGGGACATTTATACAGGGAGGGAGTTGGTGTAATCCAGAGAGGGAGGGGTAAAAAGGGCGGGAAAGTGGCATATAAGACAGGTTATACTCTTTTCAACGTAGACTTCTCTAAAGGGCAAGCAACTAATTTTAACCAATTCGTAGCCTGTATACATCCTCCCCTCCCCTCAAACAAAATCGGTGTCCCTCTCCTCGATTTTGTTTTTAGGGGAGGGGATGGTGATATACAGGTTACCATTTGGCGGCGCAGACACCACTCCTGACAGAGCCTGAGGATGTTATACAGGGTGGATCCCCACATATCACTGGCTGTTAACAAAAACAGGAAAGAATTTTTATCCGGCTCACCTTTCAGCCAGATCATCAAGATGCTGTCCCATAGCGAGCACGTTGTATCCTTCGCGCCTTGCACATGCGTACAAGCGTCCGCGCTTCATCCGGGAACAAAAACTACATATAGACTCACAAACAGTCAGCCGAGCTGCTTGCTGTATGATTCCTGTTCGGAAGAAAATTTCAAACAGGATATACTGTTTTATGGGGACAATTGCAAGTACACAAGATGGAGGAACCTGTTTGGTTTCTTCTGTTTTTTTTCTTCACTTTGAGTTCTGTGTTTTTTCCTTAAGTTAACTTCAATGTAATTTTTGTATTTTTTGAATATTTTACTGGACGAAATTAATCTACGACTACCGCGAGTTTATAAAAGAGATTTCAAAAACGAAAAATGCTAAATTTTTAAAGACTTCAACGTACAGAACACCAAAATGTAAAATGGCTGTTCGTCTGCCACAGTTTTTTTTTTTATCTTAATACAAAAAGAGTTTACAAAGGTTCGAATTGGGAAGAACAAACGGTGAAAGCACTAACTTTGTTTACAGGGTTTATAGCTCGACATACCTTGCTCTTCAAAAAAGTAAGGAACACCAAGGGCCGCTAAATACTGGACCAGAGGTTTGGGGTCATATCCAGGGGATTGAGGGTCCACAGTGGTGGCTCCAAGTTCAAAATTGATGCCCTAAGAAAAAAGCCATACCATGAAAACAAAATCGATGTAATAATCACCAATTGTATCACCATATACTGTTCAATGTTAATCAATTATGGTAGAAACGTTTGCAAATATCCTCTGAATTCGAAAACAGGCAATAAAAGTGGGTGGGGACTGGGTGGTGACAACCTCGTTCCCAAGGGACGGAAAGAAGAAGGAGCCTGAGAACTAGGTTGTGGTGAAGTGGTGATGAACGCGACGAACTGCAAAACTGGGCGGGCTTAACCATGAGTTAGGCTGTTAACAGTTGTATCTTATTGCCTCCGCTGCCAACATAGCGGTCTGTGCGCAGTAAAAAACCGCCACCTGCATTGGTCGCGCTAACTCAGATTTGTCCAGCAGATCATTCATGACAGGCTAGGTTTCATGGTAGCATACCTTAGATTTGCTGTAAAACTGATATTGATGTAAAGTGTGAAGTAACGAAAGCGAGTCCTTGCCTCCTGACAGACACACTAGCACTCTGTCTCCATTGCGAATCATCTCGTACTCCTCTAAAGCCTGCAAATTAAAGAGAAACCAAAAAAGCTTACTACAGTGTGAGCTGCTAGTGTTAACTGCCGGTTAAACAGCGAAATTGTACGATTTTTCCTTTTTTCCCCTTTCCTCTTTATTCGTTAAAGAAACTAAACTTTTGGCGAAGAAATTTGCAGCCTCTTCATACAACTCATACAATGCATTTTTACACCCAGGGTAACTATGAAGTTCAAAAAACGGGGCTATGGCCAGAAGGAGAGAAAAGGCAAAACGAAAGGCACTGAAAAAACGGAGAAATATGAGATTTTTTTACACAGTATTAAATTCTGATGGTAAAAACGTATTAGCCCGTTCGAGGCTATCTGTTTGTGGGGATGAAGAGGCAAGCAAAAGGAAAAGCTAACGAATATTCTCGTTCCCAGAGCTTCCTCTTCCTCTTTGTCAGCAAGGTCTGGCATCAGGAACTCGTTCTCAGACCTCGCAGGCTAAGAGGGACGGGAGGGTCTGGGGACGAGAATAGCGAGCGCGCTGTTCTCTCCCTCTTCCCAGTTTCCGCCGGTTTCTTCACCTGCCCGCTCTCCTTTTCGCTTGTCCCGACAGAATTAAAGCCTTGAACATGCTCAGAAATTATCGGTGCAAAAAGTAAACAGCTGCCGCGTGAATTATTTCTAATAATTGTTTTCATACCTGTGTGGCTGGTTTAAAAATACTCTTGGGAGGATGATGAAACTTGGGTTTACCCGAGGTCACTTCATTTTGTTTCTTCTTTCTCGGTTTTCGGCGACAAACAGCCTCTGAAATCGTTATAGCCTCACTGCCTTCGGAAGAAGGAACTATCCTTTCCCTCGAAGAACAAGCGTTTAGGTTTAATTTCTGCTCAAAACTGTTTGATATTTCACTTGTTTCACTGTCAATAAGGGAACCACAATCGTTCTTCGGTCCATTCAAAGATGTCTCACTCACAAAAGCACTTGTGATTGTCTTTTCCCCTTGCTCAGGAAAGTTAAGTATCCTTGTTTCGTCAAAAACTTTTCCGTGATTCCTTTTACGTGAGAGCAAATCTTCACTTGCAAGTTCTGTATCCATGTTTTCAGCGTTAAATCTAGGTTTATCCCCTGCGCCTTCCAAAGATCTGTTGCAAACACTTACCAAAGTGGTTTGATTTTCTTTTAAATCCACAGAGCCAGGCAAATCTCTGAGTCTTTCAGCATCATTTTTGCATTTGTCACCACTAGAAATAGAAATCTCCGCGATGTTTTTACTAATTGCATTTTTTGCAATACAACCACAGTTTGTCATTCCGTTCAAATCTCTTTCCTCTGTGTTTTCTCTCAGTGTAGTACATTTTTCTATGGGAGCTACAGAATTCCTATCAGAACACTCCATATAATGAGCCCCTGTCAAATGAGCGGCCTGCGGGACACAAAAGCCATTCTTCCATTGTAATGGAGTAAAAGCCCCCTTTACCGGATAGTCTTTAAGTTGTTTACCGTTGAGCAGCTGCGCCGCTTCACTTGGAAGCAAAAACCAGCGTAGCTTTTCACCTTCCTCGCCCAAAAATAACGTTTGATCACAAACACTGTTGATAGCCTGAGGAAAGAAAATAAACTTCTTAGGGTAGACTGAAAATTTGTTGTCACCAACAACACAGATAATTGCCTTGTACAGTACTTCTTGATAAAAACTTTCTTGCAAATGATCAAAAGTTTGAACTGACTAACTCATACAACACAACAACAGGAAATAACAGAACTAAGGCCGGGACGGAATTTTGAACACCATAGAGTTATTCTGTTTATGCTTAAAACGAAAAAAATAGTCTTTACCTTGTTTAAGGTCGCTTTCTGTAGGATTTCTTCAGCTTTTTTGAGGCAATCCTAGATGTTAAAGAAGACACTAAAGTCAAACCCTTGATTCTTAATAAATTATAAATAAATATGGGTAATGAGAACAAAGAAAACCACTACAATGCCACGATGTAGTTAATTGCCTTAACTGTTATTCCCAGTAACTATTTCGTCCCTAAAATACTAAGCAACGGTCACTGATAAACAGCCATTTTTTAACATCAAAATCAAGCAACATTATAGAAGCTGATTGTGAACTGCTAATTTAAGAGGCTGTCCGCGTAAGAACCGATAAGGCAAATTTTGGTCTATCACGCATTGCCCTGATTTTTTCAGTGGAAGATAACTATCCTATCCCATGAAGAAATATCACATTTATGTGGACCAACTCAAGTTTTTCTCTATTTTACAGAAAGATTTTCTAGGTCACCTAAAACTAGCCAGTTTGCCGTCGGAAGTGGTGCGATTTTAAGGAAACTTTAAGGCTCTTGCAAACCTACCTTACAAAGCCGAATAAGCTGATTATTTTACACACAAATGTTTTATCTCTGATTAATAGTTTCAAGGTTTAATTCTTGCATTCCTCGGAAAGTTGGCTGAGATATGAGTTTTTTAAAATGACCTTTAATTTGCTTATCGGGAAAAGTAATTTGCATAACTAGAGCTGAACGGTAATTTCGCAAAAGTGGCACCTGACCCAGACTCAAGTCTATGATAAAACAGAAGTACTAAGACCAGTCTACTTCTTAATGCAATAAAATTTGTGGGCACTCCTCTTTGCGTGCGGTACAAAGTTCCGTTAATGTTCCAAAATTCGCCATTTTGACAGCAAAACTGGAATTGTAACGGTCTGCATCTGGTCGACTAATTTCCACAGCTTTAACGTTTCTAGTTATCACTGACTGTCATTAGACCCTTTAAATGTTGGACTTTCGAAAACATGTGGAGAAAACTTAGTAATCGCTTTTTCTTGGTTTTTTTTCTTGTCGACGATGAACGTGACTTCATTCTCCGTATGCAAATTAGCCGTAGATGCGTCTTTTCAACAACTTGACATGAAACATAATCCTTACATTTCACATTTCTAAGGAGAAAAATAACTCTCCTTTCCATAGAAAAACACAAACCGTCACTTAGAATCTCCTTAAGGTCTGGTTTTTTTTGTTTAACGAGGAAGAAACAGCTGAATAATATATCATGACATATGTTTGCGTGGCTTAAAATAATTCAATTACTGTGGCCTGTCACGCATTCCTAAAAAGGGGCGGTCGATTAGAAAACAATAGCGTTGAATCGATCAATTTTATTATATTTTCATCTTTTTTTAAATGGTAGTTATTGATAATAATTAAAAATAAGAGTTAACTTGCAAGGTAAGTCCTCTTGTCACCACAATAAAATTTGTGGGCACTCTTTTTTGCTAAACAGACGTTTGTACACGGCACTATGATGAAAAAAAATGCCCCACACTTTTTCTATCTAAATCCATGTATAGCTTTGCAAAAGGCAAATTAGCTGTAAATTTCAGTTTCATTCAAAGATCTTTAAAGCATTTATCGGTAGCAGAATGAAACGGGAAAAATAGTTTCTTTTTTCAGTGAATACACGCAAAAGGGATTATCTCAGTTTTTAGTTTTTGTTAGGGTATAACATCCGTATTCCCAAGATGATCTTGTTCTGGTTTCAATCTAATTGAATCATAATGCAACAGGTGTCAGTTTCAAATATAATTATGCCAATGAAATCGCCGAAGAGATCAATTGTGAAAAAAGCTGTTCTTTTCGCGAGATCGTCAAGACAGAGTGTGGTCCCAGTAGGGGTGTGGAGGGAAATGTGTTGGTCGCAGAGTGCATGAATGATATTACGTCGCACTTAGCCAGCTGTCACTTGTCTAAGTGTAGCAAAGTCAATGACTGAATGAACTCATTTTAGCGAGAGTAGAGGTTTGGTAGGTATTCGGAACTGAAATGACAATATGCCCAAGGCACAGACACTAAATAGCCTGTGTACAAACCCCCCACCTCCCCTTGGGAAAAATCGGAGAAGGGGCCCTTTCTCCGAGGGGGTGCATGGGGGTGGTGTGTACACACGCTAACGCTAAAATGACAATCTGCCCAAGGCACAGACACCTACTTGGCAGGTTTTTGCGAGCGCCAAGGTCTACTGTGCTGGAAAATGAGCCCCCAAGGGATTGGGAGACGGCGGAAATCGAGCCTAAGGTCTTGTCAATACCCCGGTCACACTCTGGATCATACTGACAAAATAACTACTGTGGCAGGAAATAAGTCAAAGTTTTGCTCCATCACGTAAGTATCATTCTTTTTTCTTCTTCATGCAAAAAATTTCTAAACGTACAGAGATATTATTATTTCTCCATTTAAAATTTTATCTTGCGATGTTTTCTGATGTTCGTTTCCAGTTTAGTTGCGCTTGCAAAGATAGTTTATTTATTTCTATTTTTTGACAGCCGTGTATCTTGCTCTAATCAATTGTTACCTATAAAATACTATACATAGAGGTTAATCCGTGTGTTGTAAAAGATAGTTTTCTGATGATTGTTTGAAGAGCATTATAAATGGGGAAAAAAGAAAGAACTTTCTACACGGAGTCAGGATTCAACCTCGTTCCTAGGGCTTTCCCGCCCCTGCCATTTTCTAAGAGGAATGTCCTTGGGACGCGTGTGAAATGTATTTCATTCTTGCAATAAAAACAATTTTCTTTAACTTAAACAGTGTTTAAAACATGTCTCTGGTTTTGTAAAAATTAGTGAGACTTAAAAGTACCAGAATGTTCAGTTCAACTTTTTATAGCCGATTTGCTCCTCCTGTGGCAAGAAACGTAAAAAAACTTGACGCCAAAGGGTCGAGAAGAGTACGATTGAACAGTCAGCAACCATGTTCACACGTTTGCCGGAGAGGTTTATCGGACAAGGTTTCTCTGTTTTTCTTGTTTTGAAAACATTTTCATTAAGTCTTAAAAAATGCCTCCAGATTGCCGTTTTTTTGTATTTATACCCTCTTGAACAATGTGCTCCATCAAAGTGCTCCTCCTATCTCTCTATTTTTAACCTACTTTACCATCCACCCTCTCTCCCTCCGATTCCACCTCTACTTTTACAAGCATTTATACTTAAAGGGGTGAAATTTCTCCTCTGTATATTAATTTCTGAAAACTTAAGTCCTGCTACTTTTTCCTTAAATTCTTAAACTTAGTTCTTTTTTCTTTAAGTACCGCCAAAGGTGCTGCTAAGGCTGCAATAAGCGCACTCGCCCTTTTTTATACTTCATCTAGTGAAAGCCTACCCTTTCACATACCTGAAGCCGGAGCCTCCCCGTATGGGCCATCGTAGGGAGTTCCCCCGCCCCCGTTCCAATTCCCATGTTGGACTCTAGGCCCGTTTGAGTCAACACCTAAACATAGTCCTAAGTGTAATTACAATAAGGCAATGGACGAAATAACCAATGTAATGAACTTGAATATACATTGAACTTGACGATAGAGATCTGCTGCAAGAAGACGAGGTGTTCGAAAGGCAAAAACTTGTTGCAGGAATCGCTGAAGAATAATTGAGACCACAACACCCTCATGATCAATCAGAAGCTTTCAACCTATCTGTATGTCAAAGAAAGATCAACCTAGTTAGTTCAAAGTGGTCAGAGAGCCGTAGGGCAGCTGTCTCCCCTGGACCTTTTGAGCCAGACAAATTAAGTCTGTGGATGGATTTGTTTTCTTTAGACTCAGTTATTTTGATTATAGTGATTTGCTATTGTTTGCCATTTTCATCTTCGAGGTCATGGGCTCCTGTCGAGGTCTATTTTTCGGAGACATATTTCATGACAAGTGCTGAAAATAGCATTTCGGAGCCTCCAAATTTGAAAATTTTTCTGGGGGAGGACACCCCCAGACCCCCTACAAGGCTCGTGCCTTCGGCTCTCGCGATAATGCCCCTCGTTACAAAAAACCTAACTACAGCCCTGGGGAATGCTAAAAAAAGAATAAGTTGTGTCACTCTGAAATACCATTCAAATCCAGGGAAAGAAAAAGGAGACTACTTTTTTCTACTAAGTGACTACTTTTAGGCTAATTGTCGTGTATTACACCATGGGCCGTCATATTAAACCCTATCCTAGTGGCGCCCGGTGATCAGACTGGGTGGTACTGTCTCAGTTAAAACGGTCGTAGAATGAATAAATACAACAGCACGGTATTTCCCACCCAGTAAAGAATCGGAATTAACAATGATTAAATTGTATGATTATCAATAACTATCACCTCAAAAAAGATATAATAAGATAAAAGAACTGATCGATACACGGTCACTCTGGGGGAATGCGTGACGAGCCACAGTAATTAAATTATTTTAATTCGCGTAAACATATCTTCTTCTGCTGCTTCTTCCTCGTAAAAGAAACAGACCTAAGGGGATTCTAAGTCATACATCGTTCGTGTTTTTTCGTGGAAAGAAGAGATATTTTTCCCTTAAAAAAGTGAAATACAAGTATTATATTTCCTGTCAATTTGTTGAAACGACGCATCTAAGGCTAATTTGCATACGGAGAATGAAGTCATTTTCATCGTCGACAAGAAAAAAAAACAAGAAAAAGCTATTACCAAGTTTTCTTCTCATGTTTTCGAAAGTCAAACATTTAAAGGGTCTAATAACAGTCAGTGATAACTAGAAACGTTAAAGCTGTGGAAATTAGTCGACCAGATGCAGACCGTTACAATTCCAGCTTTGCTGTCAAAATGGCGAATTTTGGAACATTAGCGGAACTTTGTACCGCACGCAAAGAAGAGTGCCCACAAATTTTATTGCATGAAGAAGTAGACTGGTCTTAGTACTTCTGTTTTATCATAGACTTGAGTCTGGGTCAGGTGCCACTTTTGCGAAATTACCGTTCAGCTCTAGTTATGCAAATTACTTTTCCCGATAAGCAAATTAAAGGTCATTTTAAAAAACTCATATCTCAGCCAACTTTCCACAGAATGCAACCATTGAACCTTGAAACTATTAATCAGAGTTAAAGCTTTTGTGTGTAAAATAATCAGCTTATTCGGCTTTGTGAGGCAGGTTTAACAGAGCCCTAAAGTTTCACCAAAATCGCACCACTTCCGACGGCAAACTGGCCAGTTTTAGGTGACCGAGAAAATCTTCTTGTAATATAGAGAAAAAATTGAGTTGGTCCAAATAAATGTGATATTTCTTCATGGGACAGGATAGTTATCTTCCACTGGAAAAATCAGGGCAATCCGTGATAGACCAAAATTTGCCTTATCGGTTCTTACGCGGACAGCCTCTTAAGTTGGTTGGTGGTTGCAACGCAGTTTTACCACTCTCGATTTTCGCCGTTTTTTCGAGTCCGGTCTCAATCACAGGGCTTTACTTGAATGAAAAAAAATTCTTTCACTAATCCAAAAAGTCCCAGAGAACTTAACCAATTGAAATTAAAAGGAAATGGCTGTGGCATGCACCAAGGGCAGGAAACATGTGCGAGCAACACATGATTGGTTCCTTCGGTTAAGAACTCAGCGGCGTGAGATTTTTAGCCAATCATAAAGCGTGATGATGCAAAAGCAAGGAAAACCGCGTTACGACTCATCCCATGTGGGACTAGTTTCCTACCGTGTGTGAACTCGGGGCTCCTTCCGCGCGTGCGGGGGATGATGGATAAGTCATGTGACCCTCTGAGTAAGTAATTGAACCAAGCCACTTTCGGTCACGAAATACCTAAAAAAAAAGAAGGCAAGGCTAATAGCTGTCAAAAATAGGAGAAGGATCAAGTCAAACGGCTTACAAAAGTTCAGTCTAACTGTTAAGAAATGGGAAACAAAAACAAACACACAAAGAAAAAGCATCTTTAAAGAATTGCGTGCATGTCACCTGATGTTTTCTGTGTTTCCACTCTCCAGTCTCAGGGTTAAACATGTACTAAAGAGGACAAACACGAATGAAATGAGCAAAAAATATCTAAAATATACACGGGGGAAGAGTCCTACGTTCTCCGGCATATTCGTTTGCGGTCCTTTGCAGTCCTTTGTGGTTAATGTTTGTACTGTCTGTCACTAGCCTGCACTATATATGTTAAAAACCTTCACCCGGGTCACTTTCAAGATTAATTACCAGGAATCAACTTGTAAGGTTACTTTTGGGGATCATTTTTCTCTCCCATTTCGTTACTTTCAGTCGATCGTTACTTTCGCCGCCCCTTTCCTATTCCCTGTCTTCAAGAATTTGCCAGCTTCCTCTTCGTCCTACCCACCACAAGAGAGCCTGATGACAGGCCGAGACCCTTACCATTAAAAACTGACCTTTTACACAAATATTTAATTACCTGTGATAGAAGTTTCCAGCCATGTTCTGCCACCATCTTCACTGCTTTTATAACAAACTCGACAGAATCATCTGACATAAAATAGGGCAAATTAAGCCGCACAAAACCTGGTCTGGGAAGAACATGTGAATTGATATTTATTTCACGAAATTTACACGTGTACTTTGTTCTAGTTAGTTCAAAGTCATAATAAACCCAATTGCAATTAGGAAGCCGTACGTTTTGAGGATCAACGTCAATTAATTGGATTTGGCGCGGGAAGACATGAAGATCACAACGATGATGTTTTGTTGGTGATGAAGATGTCGATGATGATGATGTCAACGATGATGACAATGATGAGGTTGACGATGATAACAACGATGATGATGACTGTAATGAAATTATCCCTAAATGAAGTTCCACAAAATTAAGAATAAGGTCAACTGAGTTCGTGCCCACTGCACGAGAAACGAAAGGAAACGACTTGTCAAAATTGGAAAACGTGCTTTGTTCAACGTCACATGATCCTTAGTGTTCAAGTGGGGGACCCCTCTTGGGAATCCGTACAATCATGATGATGATGATGATGATACTGATGATGTAAAATTGTCTCAAACACTTACCTCAATATTTCTCGTTCAGAATATTCATGGTATCGTCGGAGGTGAACTCTGTCTAAGCGACTGTTTAAGAGGAAAATCTTAACATCATTGTTTTCATAAGGAATATAAAAAATAGTATTGTCAGAACTAATTAAACTAAATGAAACTGTGAAGGTTTAGAAGTACAGAATAGTTATACTAGTACCAAAAAGAAAGCAATGATTTGGTCCTGAAGAAGGTGAACTTCTGATAGATCACGAGACAAACAATTGAAGCAATAATCACGACTGTAGAACTTGTAAGTTCAGAAACTGTAATGATCAAACACTATAGGCCACAAACCTGTCTTCCAATATGAGGTTTTCAATTTCTCTTGCTAGTGCCTCGTTAATTCCCAACAGATTCTATGACAAGGGTAAAAGGCAAAGCCGTTTACAGCGGATAATTAACTTAAGGAATACGCTAATACGAAATTTCAGAGTACCTGTGCATAGGGGCCAGCACATGCACAGCCTCCACGGGCCTGTATTCCGAACAGATCATTCAGGAGGGCACATACAAAGTTGTGATGTAAGAACAACCCTGAGATTGGGTGCCTGATCAGAAATGAGAAGATCGGGAGGCGAGACACTGCTGGATTCCCCAAGAGAACAAGATTCTCACTGTTGTTCCATGCTGACAGGGCTCTCCTGTTGAAAAACAAAATTCTTTCTGACGTTGTTGCTATCAATTCATTTAAAACTACCACTCCAAAATGACGTGAAAGTATACCCAGTAAGCCTTTACAATGAGGTGATAATGTAAAATGCATAATCATCAAAACAGCTTAGGAATACCCAAAATCCATAAATTATCACGATCACAACATAGCCTCCCATGTAGAGTTCTTTCGGCTCGTCACGCAGTCCTCTCCAACATCGGGCAGCATGTGTGACGAATCACAAAACTGCTTAATTCAAAACTGGGTCTTGTACTTATATTATTTTATATTTTGTGGTTATCAGTACCAAAGAAAAGAAGAAAAATGGCATATGTACATACTAACCTACATAAATCTTCCTCTCTGGTCATGATGGCAGTTGAACCTATTTCCTGAGAGAAAAGAAGGCCCCTTAAGTTTAAAATCATTTTTAAAACTAAAAATAACTTTTTCAGTGAAGAAAAAAAATGCAGTACACATGACCTACCCCACCATACTCATTGCTACAATGTTGCTGGTCAAGGGACTACTCAGTGATACCGTAGAAGAAGAGGCCGGTCAAAAAAAATTGAAAATCAAAAAGATCTCATACAAATCAAATAACTTTGCAGAAGCATAAACAATAATAAGGTATCACTTGAATGGTCACACTTAAGTTCATCCACAGACAGAGTATTGCAGAGAGTTTTCATTTGAATGGTCACACAATAAGATTTCATTCACAGACTCAAACATAGTTAAAAGCAGTCTCGGACAGTACTCAGCTCTTGTCCTTTTATTATTAGCTACTTCTCAGTAACTTTTACTTGAATGGTCACACCATTTCAGTTTGTCAGCAGACTCTCAAGTTAGACCAATCTACACCTGTCATTACATCACATGTCTACATGTCCTAACTATGGTGACCCTGAAATTATGTGAAACTGTTTAATATTTATCCTGTACCTGTTTCAACTGAAAGACCAGTCCAGCTCTGATGGCACCCACAATAGCTGGTGTTCCAGCCTCCTCCCTCATCTCAATCTCCTTTAGGTATCTATGAGAGTTCTCTGTCACCTTAAATTGCGAAAAAAAAAATGGTCATATACAACAGGGAAGTGGGGTAGGGGGTAGGGTGGGACAGTTCTACAGTGGCCAAGTTGCTTATGTAGTAGAGCCAGTGAATTCAGTTCTTAGTAGTTCAAACAATGTTTACTCTGTTTTTTCTTCCCAAAGTCAAGCACATATCTATATTATAGCTAAGTTGAGAATAATGAGCAGCACAGCTCCTTCAAAAATGTTCTTTACTTACAAAAAAAACAGAGCCTCCACCGCAGCCTGAAGGAACAGGGTTCCTAAACAAACTTTTCTTGGCAATGAGGATCCCTGAAAAAGGAAACAAATTGTTCATTTTCAGAGTTATTTTAAACAAAATTATGGTACTGAGATTTATGATGTATAGATGTTGTAGTTAAAATCCATTCTTGGGATTAACCACTGGTCAACCTCATTTGATTCAGACTTTCCTTTGCTTTCTAGCCCTAATTATTCATAGGAGACAAACGAAATTATGGTTTAACCTAAGAACTTAAATTTCTTTACTTACAATGTATATACTGATACTTTAATGGTGAGAAGAAGAAACACTGACACTGTAATAACTGTCAGCCTGCCATCACAGGTAGTAAAAATTGTCTGGGTTCTTCTAATTTATTGATTGTTCTGGTATTGCAGCTGGTGGTGTGCCAATCATTTCCCATGTTTTGTCATGTTCTAAAACATGGTACAGAGGCTTAAAGGGAATTCTTTTAAGGAGATTATTCTGACTATAATCAATATTATTGTTCACGTGGGTCAATCTGATTATTTCCGATGATCAATTAAGATATCTCAGCACTTATTGCAAAAGCCTCTAAGGGAACAGTTACCAGTCTAACTTAAAAATAATCAATATTTGATGGGAATGGTGAGTGCTATAATGTCCTCATTTACAGTTTGTCCTTGATATTTTACTTTACCTGGTGTTTCAACTCCACCGACTAACTTGTGTGTTGAAATGAAAATGGCATCTTTGTACACAAATCCCTGATCATCACTACATAAAACAAAACATCCCACATTTATTTATTAATCATAGCTGGATGACATTTAAGCTCAGTTATCAAGAATATATCAAAATAATATTGGCTACATTTTCATTTCAACCAGCTTTTAAAACTGAATAAATTATTATTTCCAGCATTGCGTGGAGTGCATTATGCTTGTTCATGATGGTGTGAGCAAAAAAGAAGGTTCCTGAGTCAAACTCAACGTTATCAAAAGCCAAAAATCTCAAATTATCTGTAAAATTACCAAAATTAAGTGTTTGACAGTTGTTGACTTTTGGTCTCTCCAATAGTATTTTAAAAAAAACTGATTACCTGGTTACCAATGGATTCATGTTGATTTCCACGTATGGAGCTGTATGTCATGTAAGACACAAAAGAAATACAGTCAAACATCTTAAAATGGACCCCCACTGGGCATAAATAACCAACAGGACATGCCCAAGTTACAGAGGTGTCTTTAAGTAAAGGCAGGGATTGTCCATAATGGAGAGGCCAGTCTGCATTATGGAAGTGTCTGTATGAGCTAGAGGGTACACTGCAATCAGCATATTAATAGTCCAATATTATTGGAAATACCACTGCCACAAAGCAGAGTATTGCTTATTACTATGGTGATATTTATTTCAAACAGGGTGATCCAGTCAGAGTCAGAGAGACTGTGTTATGAATTCAATAGTTTAAATGTGCCAATTCTTTCCAGGATAACAGCAACAGCATGAAGCCAATTACCGAAGAAATGTACTTTTTTTAAGCACCTGTGCCACCTTTTTCTGCCACTGTCTTCATCAGCTGTTTGCTCAATTCATAATGGAGTCACCCTAATTACCATTTCACTGTTTACCTGCAGTGGCATAGTCCCAGAAAGCCAAGGCTCCATGCCTGTGCAGACAAGCTGTAACAGCATTGGTGTCTGTTAGAATACCAGTCACATTAGATGCAGCTGAGAAACAGCCAATAAGCTGCTTGCCTTTCGAAGACATAGCCTAAAATCAAACATAACTAAAACGTTAGGTTATTGCTTTATATTATTTTGCAGTTGTTATTATATTATTGAACAGGTTCAATTTGATCCCTTATAAAATGTTTAACTCTCCTGGCAAATAGGTACGCATTAGAACAAAACAAAAAGAAAAATTTGATATTTGACAAAGTGGCACTTAGGGGCCATTAAAATGATACCAGAATGACTTTCATTCCACAATTTATTCATGAGTTTCATTCCAGAGTGACGTTTGTACTGCATTCACATGATAAAATCAAATGGCTTAGCCTGTAAGGTGTTCTCACTTGGATGGTTTTCACACCAAATCAGATACGCTTACGCCACTTTCCCCAGAGTACACAATTTTTGGAATGAACTCATTCCAGAATGACTCGTAGGGGAATGAAATGTTGTTTTGGTATCATCTAAACAAATACAGAGAAATACACCTATGCAGAGATAAGATGAACTCATTCCAGAATGAGTCATACTGGTATCGTGTGAAAAAATATCCCTTCAAATGTTTAAAATAGAAACACAAAGTTGAACCTAGCAGCCATGTAGTATACACACAAATCAGTGGAGAATACCAGCAGCAGTATCTAGAATTTCACAGGCCAAATCCCCACTTCAAAACTGGACCAATGGCCTCAAATTTCCTTTTTGTGTCATGCTTATTTAAAAGATGATCAATATTTATGTTACAGGTCAAAATTAAAGTCTGGTTAAAATCTATTTAACATAGGTTGATTCTTAATTTTCTTTCCGTCCCAGCACTAATATTCATGAATAATTAGGGCTAAGAGACAAAGAAAACTGAGAATCAACAAATGTTCAATAATTTTAACCTCAAATTAATTTTGACCTGTAACATGTTCCGTGCTGTAGGGCTTTGCACACCACCAAGGTGAAAATCAAGCATGAGGATGCATTAAAGAGTACTTAACTTAAGTTTATTTCATTGATTATCAAAAAAACCTGTCTTTATTTTTCTTAAACTGAAGTTCTTTGCTACTTGTCTACAGCATTTTTTATTGAAATTCATAAAGGAAAGTTGTTGAATTTATCTCAATTAATGATTACTTTTTTTACCATGTTGCATACCTTAAGTTTAAACTCCAAATCTGTGAGGTCAACTAACCCTTTTGCATCTTGCTTGATCCAGATAACCTACCATTAATAAAAGGTTTAGAACCACTTAAAGTGGATTTAAAATTGTCATTAAAGTATTCCAAAATATATTTTCATACCTCAGCACCTAATTCCTTCCAGGGGAGAAGATTTGAATGGTGTTCAAATGGTCCCACAAGTACCACCTTATCAAAGAGAAGAATGTTGTTACCTTACATTTCCAGAAATAATCATGGTAATGAAGTTTGCTCTAGCTCTTATCTAAATGCAGAGCTGCAAATAAAGTTGGTTATTCATCAGACAATGTTTGACTAAAACTTGCCCATTTCTGATGAAATCTTCACTGTGGTCAGACGTGATGTCTGAACAAACACAACAAATTAAGAGACTATCATATTGCAGGTGAATAAAATTCTACCTTGAGGACATTGTTGCACCAACAAAGTAACATAATTGCAGTGAATACATGGCAGTTATCAGCATTTCTGCAAATCCTGGGTCTACAATGCACAATTTTCCCATCCACCCTTGATTGAGTCAGACCACATTTTTTGCTTTATTGACCAAGAAGGTGACTTTAATAGCTGGACACATATGTTGTTGTTCAATTTTGTCCTTGCATGGTTTAAATTATATTTCCCTTTGTTTTGGGGTATGGTAATATATGATAATGAGTTTGAAATAAAATTTGATCCCGGGATAAAATTGAACCAGAACACATACAGTGTGCACGTCATTCCAACAACGAAAAGTTATTTGCAGCTCTGAAATACATGTAATTCTGTCAAAAATGAAGTAACATGGAAATTACCAAAAAAAATATTGGCGTAATATATATGGCCAGGGTTTGAACCTGCAACCTCTTGTCTGGTAAAGTGGTGCTTTTTCAACTGAGCTAACAGGGTGGCCATCACTAAATTATTACCAGTACTTTTTTTAGCCAAGAAGCACACTGTAGAAGTAAATGTAAGTACATTGCATGAAAGGAAACTTGCATGAGTCCAACATCAAGCCAATGATCCTCGGAGACCCAGGGGCAGACAGTGGGGGCAAGGGAAGGTCTAAACGGGTGGGAAAATATGGCACAAAGAAAAGTAAAGAACGGCGAGAAGAGCCCCTGGGGACAATGTCTTACCAGACTAGTTCCAAATGGTCGCTGCCGTTCTGACTTCTGATTGGTGCCAGAAAACTGTGTTTTTCTGCCCAATCAGAAGGCAGAACGGCGGCGACCATTTGGAACTGGTCTGGTAAGACATTGTCCCCAGGGGCTCTTCTCGCCGTTCTTTACTTTTCTTTGTGCCATATTTTCCCACTCGTTTAGACTTTCCCTCACCCCCACTATCTGTCCCTGGGTCTCTGAGGACGACATCAAGCTAATGAATTCCACACATCTTTGCATTGGTGTAGGTTGAATGTCTTCCCGTTTTAAAAATCAGTATAAGTGATAAGGCAATGCTGTAAATTGAGTACTTACAGGAGGTTCTTTAAAGTCCAGTGCATGAATCAACTTATGAATGGCTCCTGTCACTCCACTACCGACAAATATCACAGAGTCACTTTCACTGGCATTCACTGCATTTCTGATGATATCCCTTCAAATAATCAAATCAGATAACAATCAAATGTTTCATGATACATACATACTCTGGTCTGATCATAAGTGAAACATTTTTACACCGAGGGAACTCTGCATGAGTCATCATGTGATATTATACATGACATGTATGTGAATCTGAGTACTATCAATATTTGTGTAACCCACAAGGATAAATCATCAAAATCATCTTTTTGTTAAAAATACTAAGCAAGCCTATCTCCTTTCATTACTGAAAAACATGCTGTTTTGGGTCCCTAAACATAAGGAAGCATACTCTATAAAGAGGGCATGATTCTAAAAAATTATTATGTGATGGTGGGAATTTGCTCTATGATCCCAAATTGATTAATCTGCAAGAAATCTCATTGTTAATTTTAAAATGCCTGATCTGGAAAAAAAGCTTATGACGTTTCTAAAGCTGTTCCTGAGAAACATCATAACCTCTAAAACTCTCTTACACTGTACAAGGTTGCAAAACTTATGGCACACATTTAATGTTATATGACAAATCTGCTCCGCAGAAAATTATTGTATACATGTAGTTTAATTTGCCTTTGGAAATACATTGACCAAACTGTCCAGTTATTCATATAAAACAACAGACAGTGTGGAGGCACTAATTAATTTTACCTTGCTTCATGGCGATACAAAGTTGTCTGTAGTGAAGTTACAGTTGTTGTAGTATGTGTGTTGCCATAATGAGGTAAAACCTGCCCTCTTATGTAATCTTCAATAAATGTCAATGACCTACAGAGTAGTTTATGAAAATATTGATTAGCCAAATCACTTTTTACAAGAATACTATCTGTAACTAGAGCTGCTTTTACAGAAACAGTGACATTAATGGCCGATTTAGACAGTATTATTTTTGCTTACAACTATTGTGTGCGACTAGCATACGTCATGACTTTCGACCATCCACACACGCACAATTTACACGTACGACGTCCACAATGGGTCAAATGAATGTTGTGGGTCTAATTTACACGACACAATCTGTCGTGAAGTCGTGATGCATGCTCGTCGCACACAATAGTCGTAAGCAAACATCGTACTGTCTAAATCAGCCTTAAGAAACACCATTTCTGCCTATGTGGGTATGCTGGATAGGTGAGTGTGTGTGCTACATGTATAGTCAGACTTGCCAAGTCTCATGACTTTGTTAAGGGTTTCATGATTTCATACCTAGCTCACACTCTCAGGAGTTGACAACTTATTTCTCATGCTTTCTGGAAATATCACACTCTGAAAACTTTTTGGAGCATCCATAATGGTTCATTTCCAAGTTAGATAGCAAAATCAATCTAAAGAAGATGCCTAGCAGTGACATTTGATTGGTAGATGTCTGGCATCTTGTGTCTTGTCTTATAGGAGGTGTCAACCGTCACGTCGGTTGATATATTGGTTGAGTATTGGGCGAGTGTCGGTTGACATATCAGTTGATATATCGGCCAAGTATCGGAGGATAATTATATCGATCAAGTATCGGTGGATGTATCAGTCAACCGTTGGTCAATAGTCAGCCACGATATTGTCGGCAGTATGTGTCAGAGTACCGTCAGTAGAGTATCGGCAATGTACATGTATTGGTGGTGTATCGGTTAAGCATCGGCACTGCCTGTTCAACTTTTTTACTGACCTCTTCTGTCGTGCTTTTCATACCACATCATACCAGTCCTACATCAGGTATTGCCAACAATACCACCGTACTCATGTCACAAAAAGATCCAAACTATCTTACAGATATGTCATATTTGGAGATGGGCAAACTGTCAAATCTACAAACTAACAAACTTTCCCTCAATCTAAAAAAGGCCAAATTATGGTCTTGTGCTAAAAAGAAGCTATTTTATGACAGTTTTGTAGGGTAATATTTGACCAAAATGGGCATAGCAAAGGTGAGTTTCCATCTTTCAGGCCCGGGCTTTCTGGTCTTGCTCAACTCTTCAACCTCAAATTTTCTTACATGCTTTGTCCGCAACAGAAAGCCATAGTTTTCTGTGAGAAAATTTCTTTTTTTTGTGCCTAACAAAACCAATCTAGTAAGAGGAACAAATGAATGATAGCTTCACCATTGGTACAGTTGAAAGGAGGCCTAAACTGAAAATGAACAGTCGACCAAGGTGTCAACCCAGTGTTGGTGATACGTTGGTGATCCATCAACAAAGTAATGACTGACTATTGAGAGCCTATCAACCGATAGGTTATAGGGGCCGAGTATCGGCCATAAATCAACCGACACTCAATCAACACGTTGACAGATACTCAACCGCTACTTAACTGACCCTTGAACAACAGCCAACTGACACTCGGCCGATATATTGACTGATGTGTCAACCGACACTCAACCAATATGTCGGTCGACACCCCCTATAAGACACACAATCCAATGTCTGAGCTGCCAACTTTTAACCTGTCATGACTTACTGACACTACATACACAGACTCACTCTAACAATAAACCTAAATCTTTCATTTCAAGGATGGCCATCAACAAACACGTTCATGTCAGCAGCAGCGAAGAAGATTGACTGTGGTGCTTAGTATTCCAGCTTTAAATGATAAATAATTTCTTAATACCCAAAATCCCCACTGGAAGTCCTTCCACTAGGAATTTTGGGACATCTCATGACTTTTTCCTGCTTCTGACTACTTTTCCCAGCTCTAGGTTCGGAACTTCAAGATTTTTGTCTCCTGTGGCTGGGGTTGGCATTACAAGATATATCCCAGACATGGTACAATAACATCATCATTCTAGCTACCCAAAAGCCAGCCATTTCTCCAGGATAAGACTAGCCTGCAGTGCAGGCGTTTTCTTTGAGAGAGGATTTGCTCGCGAAAGCGCCATGTTGAAACTTCCCGAAGAGAGGAGGAGATGGGGCGAGTCAAAGGGAGCGGGGAGAGAGAAGAGAAAACACCTTTTTTTCTCCCCTCCCCCTCCCCCCTTTCCTTCTTACGCCCTGGTCACCTTTTGCCCTCGCACCTACTGTAAGGGTTACTATTTCTACTCTCCCCAATCTTCCACTGTCATAAAATCAAAGATAGCGGCTACAACAATATTACGAACACGAACAAGGTTTCGCCCACCCAAAATACGCCTGCACTGCAGGCTAGGATAAGACATAGTCTGCCCCAACTTAATGCTACAGGTACAGTGCAAGTAATTCCCCACGTGCCCATCAGAAGGTCCCTAGGTAATGACCCTTATAAGCAGCCAGCACTGAAGAGGCTAGATGATGGGTCAGGGCCGCTGATGACAGCCAGCGTTCAAAGAGAATCTTGAGCCCAACACACCCCTCCCCGTTTGGTAAGGATGTGTCCATCTTGTGTCTAAGACAGAATTCAAGGTTAAAGTACAGAATTTAAAGCATGTGCTCCAATTTTTTTTTAAAAAAATCATTTTTGTTGTTTGCTGTGAGATTTCAGCTGAACAATAGTGAATACGTTTGAAAACATACCTTCCAGATGCCGTGAAGTCGCAATAGGTGACTGAAAATAAAATCGAAAAATTTAATTAAACGGTACCGCAACGACCAAATCACTTACAGCATCCTCTCTTACTACCAATAAAAGTACATTAAGGGTCAGCCAAACTTACCTTTCCGAGGGCCATATGGCCCGCAAAATGTAACATCTTCTCCTATACAACTTTCTTCGATATACCTGAAGAGTTCTTTGACATTTTTCTCCTTCTTAAGTGTATCATTGCTTCTTAAATGCGTGAATTCCTCGCTACTAGGAATTTCATAAAACTTCCTTGATCCGTGCCTCAGGGCCGCCATGTTGAAATTCGACAGGTTCCAGGCCTTCGATATCACAAAGAGAGCTAAGGAGCACTGGTGACAAAACACAGGAAAACCACAGGTCACCCAAGCGTAATAATGGAGAACATGGTAAGGAGAAAGACGATAACACTAGGAAGCAAAATAAGAGCGAAAATCGAGATAAAAGAACATTACGCACGAAATAATGTTCACTGGTTCAGGTAAGTGTACGCCATCAGCCGCTCGTCGCATCGGACAGAAGTCCCAAGAAAATGGAAGACATAGCGGTGCATGGAAGTGCTACTTTCAAACTACGCCTTGAATGCATTCATCAAAAGCAAGTAATCGGCTCCTCTCAAAAGTGATTACCATGGGAAGCAAGTGCCCCTGGTCTCGCTTTCGTCGTGCTCCAAAAGACCTAAAAGAGAAACTGTTTGACTTGTAACTTTATTTGCAAAATAGTTAACATGAGTGAAGGCAACCGTGGTCATACTAGAATCAAGCTCATGGCACGTTCATTATTGTAAATCAGAGACAATTGTAAAATAATGTTGATATTATTTGCTGGTAATAACACGACTTACACGGGAAAGTCAAAAAAGGGCGATTTTGCCAGCATACGTAACATGTTTATTATAGAGTTTATTACTAATTCTTTCGTGCGCTCGCCTGGGAACTCATGCGTTGAGATGCAACATCCCTTTGGCGCCTCTATTTAACTTCTGATAAATTAATGAACAGTACTGTAGTTACTCTTAAACAAAAAAAAAAAAATGAAAAAGTGTCTGGTAAACAATGGATAGGAGAGGATGGGACAGCCGAACTTATCTTGTCTGTTTCCCATGTATCACTGATTATATAACTTAGGTCCAGTAATTACATGCCGTGCGTTATTGACACTGTGATGATTTTCACAAGATAAAGGGCCTCTTCTCCGTCAAAATCATTTATTTTTCAAGACTAACAGCAATATCTTAGGTTTTCCAGCTCCACTCAGGTGGCCGATCAATTGTTTTGGGAAGCAGCTGCTCTAATACACCATGAAAGTAAAATCTCAGTAGGATCGATGGTTTTTGTAGTTTGAATTTTAGTGACGTCATGTGAAAACCAACAATAATCGGTGTGCTGCGTCCCATTGACAAAGGACACATCTTCTATCTGATATAGAGCTTTTTCGCATTCCGCGGGTCAAAAGACGAGCTCACCTATTATCATCAATAAAGAATCCAAGCTTAAAAGACCTTTAAAAAGCAACTAAATCCAAGTGAAATTTATGGCGTCAACATAGTTGTAGAGAACGTGAGGATTTCTTTTCTCAGTTTCAAGGGCAATAAAGCCTAGACCACTGGCTGGGCATAAAATAATGTCACACTGAAACGTATAATCTACAAGGCGCTTTTTAATTTGCTATTATATGAATAAAAGTTTGCATTGCTGGTCAAAACTAGTCTAGAAATAGACGAAGAACACGGCGGCTTCCGTCGCTTCCGGTATTTCAGCAAAAGACTTTTGAACAACAGTGACTGCTGTTTTATATAGCCGCCGCTCAGTTTAGAATTCTAAGTAATTATTAATGGTCTCCACAAATAGTGTTATGGAAAATTATCGGCGTCGATTAAAGGTTAGCACTCCGATTGTTTTAGAAAGGCTGCGTGCTACCCTCAAATTAAACGTGAAAACAGGTTTACAATTTTTCAGCTTTAACTTGAAAATTATTTTAGCACAAAAGTGATTTGCCTATTATCAAATTTAAGACTATTTTTTGCCTGACGTCGACGGCTTTTAGCTGTAATTTAGCAGTCCGCTTTTCAGAATAGTCCGGCTATAATCCAATATCCCCGCTTTCAGTTTTTTAATTTGCTGAATCACTTAACATTTTTATGGGGTTGCCGCACTTTAGTTTAGAGAAAATCCTTAATGGTTAGAGCCGATCAAAGCTTAAATTACTCAACGTCAACAAAGTCCCATCTCACACATAAAATTTGCTAAATTCATTTCGGAAAACTTCACCGTAAAAATGCATTGTCCAATTTTTCCGCGCGTAGAATTAATCATTACAACAGTTATAATGATCTGTCAGGATTCGTCGGTTGCAAAGAAAAACTTAAACGGATCTCTTAAAAATCTTTTATAGCAGATCGAGAGCCCAAGTGTATCAGCTTTAGAAACAGTCAAAGAGATAGAGAGAGGACAAAAATAAACGCGTGCAAATTCTGCAACTTTATCAAGTTTCGGTAAATAAGAAACTCAGTACTGCTGTTATCATTCGGGCTTCTGATCCTTGCTCAGGATCAGAAAATAGTGATAAAAGCTGTATAGTTTCCTATTGAACGGTAGTCAATACCCTAAAAATACAAAACGATGTTCCTCTAATTTTATTCCGTTTGCAAAATTGTTTTCAGTGCAACATCGTAGTGGGCCGGAAACTTGATGTTGAAAAATGGGTGCCGGTCGATAATTTTTTAGTCCATTTCTAGCACGATATTTCTGCAATCAACAATACAATTGCATTGATGAGCACGAGACTAAACCGAAAAACAAGTTTTTGGGCACTTTTTATAAGACAATAACTTTCAACCGTTGAACTGTGAGCGTTCTACAAAATGCTTTCTATATATGTTTAGCTTTGATGGAATAAAAAGAAAATACAACTTGCTAGAGTTGGGGTCAACCGACTGGAAAACTTATTGTTTAAGCTTATGTAACTTATTATGTAAAGCTTTTTGTTTGATATTTGAGAACAAGAGCATGCGGCACTACTTTTACTTCGAGAAGATATATTTATGATAACTTTGGACGGCGAGAGGTCTAGCTAGCTAGCTAGAGGCATGCTTTTTGCAAAATTTCTACCCTGCGGGGGGAAAGGAAATTGTTTGGGTTATGTTTAAACTTCAGGCTAAAATAACAGCCTTTGCCTAATTTTGGCTTTCATTTTGATTTAAAAGGATATTTGAGAAACTGATCTCATCAGTGGTGCAAGGAATCGGGACTCTGTCCTAAGCTGTCCAGGGGACATGGATCGTGGAAAATAAAGACTTGCATGTGCTATAATTAATTGTTAAAAAGCAATTAATTTTTTGGCCCGCGCATTTTTAAAATACGGTATTCAAAAAGGCTTCTTCCTTCCATTCAGTAAAATAAAGATTCGTTAACAGTTAATGAACCTTCGGTCTCTTTCTCAGTGTTCAAGGTTTCCGAAAATTACAAAAAAATTACAAATTTTTTACCACTCTCACTTGACAATGAATTAAAACTTTCACACGCTTCGCCGCCTTAAGTTGTTCCGTATTGCGTCGTTCACTATCCGACCCAAAATTCAGTCTGACTCGTTTGCTATCGGTCGGCCGAATTGGAAAAAAAGGTCAGTTTTTGCTCCGTGAGACCCAAAGTCGTACTAAAATCACGTGTAAGATATCAGTTTAGACACATAAATGCCACGATATGTTCGCAAACTTCGCGTGTAATGATAAAGATAATGATTTTCATTTAAACAGAACGCTGTTTGCTTTCGTGGGTATATTTACTTAATGTCACAGGACAGTGTACTCTTGAATTAATTAAAATAATCCTTATTGAAGATTTTTTCATTTATATTTATTTTCTTTATTTGAAAGAACGGGTCGTCAGTCCGGCTTGCTTTATTGGAAGTTACAAAACAAGTTGCGTTGTTTTTGCTACTTGGCCATGGCTATGGGCGACGAACGCCATAATGCTATGCAAAGCTAAGCCTTCACTTAGTCTCTTCGTTAGATCGCCTATCTCAAACAGATAAATTAAACTTATAGTCCACCGGTAATTTTGTTGGGAAGATACAAGAAAATGGTATCAAAAATATCAACAGCTTACGATGAAAGCAAGACCAAAAAAATATTAAACGCCTATATTCCTTATTATACAGGGATTTCGCCCGTTATTTAGCACTGTTTAGTCGACTCGTAGTTAAACAAATTCTCGTTGGTCTTGACATTTGCTTACTTGTTCATGCGAGCTCATATGCAAATTCTCTATTTTTCGCTAACACCAATGAGGCAGGTGTACATATCCGGCACAGAATATATAAGTTGACTCTCAGGTAATCCATTCGTTAAAACTATCAAGCTAAAAAAATCATTTAACGTTTCGTTTTCTATGTAAGCCTACCTTAATGCATGCACGGGGAAAAGTGATCGTAGCGCCGTTTTTTTACACACAAAAATTTAATAAACTTAAAAATTAAAATTTTCAAGCAAGTTGAATTGCTAAAAACCTTCTTATGAACTTATTCAATGCTCAATTCTAGCATCGTTGAATAATCTGAGCCATTCAGAGAGGATCAGGTTCATTCAGATGTTTCACGAACGCTTGAAAGCGATTTCTGCGGCGAGGTTAATAAACACTTTCTCGTCGCTAAAGTTTGCACGCTTGTTTTCTCTTTTTTCTGGGGCAACAATGGAACAGTAATACTGATTTCATCTTCAGATCCAAGTCGGCGTTCATCAGCGGCGTTTTCATTTACTTTTTTCTGCTCAAAATCGTTCAAAACCGATAAAATTTCTCCCAGGCTATACAGCGGAGTTTTTTCGAAATCCTCGGCTTGATTGCTCGAATCGTCTTGTGTTGCAAAGTCACTTGCACTCGATAGTCGGCGTCTTAGCGGAGATTCGTCGGTATTAAGAATCGAAAGAAATTCTCCGAGGTCGTAAAGAGAGACGTTCCCGCCCGAATCCTGACGCGGCGAGAGTCCAGGTCGTGGAGATGCTGGGTTTTGGTTTGGCGAGTTTGCGTCCGGCGTTTTTTGCTCTGGTTGAAATGACTCTGGTTCACTTTCACTGGATTTAGTCGAAGCTGATGAAACACTTGATAACCTTCTTCTCAAGGGCGATTCGTCCGCGTTTAATAAGTCTAGAAACTCGCGTAAGTCGTACACAGAACTTCTTTTGGTTTCCGGCGACTTGGCCTCTACCTTAGCAGGAACAGGAAGAAAAACATCGTCAGTTTCGAGGTCGAGACTTCTGTTCCATTCGTCCGTTACATGAATGCTAATCCCGCTTTGTGATATGTTAGAAAATTTTCTTCTAAACGCAGGCAGAAGCTGATGGTTTGGCGTGTTCTTTTGCGAGGCATATAGAGAAAGGAACTCTTTAAGATCATATACGGACATCTGACGAGGACTTGTGTTATGGCTGACCTCCACGCCCTTAGAATCTGTTTGTTGAACACCAGACGATGGTGAATCTCTAGAATAACCACTGCTGACGCTAGCACCAGGGCTCGGAGGAGAGGAGTTCACTAACGATGGCCCTGTTTTATCTTCGTGGGAGTTTTTAGAGTGGGTAGAAGTTTGGTGCTCCGGTTCTTTTGAGCTAGCCTCCCGATGAAAATAAGCTAAAATCTCTGGCAAATTGTGAGTCGATTCGCGTTTTGCCTCGTGTTCTTGTTGCATTATGTTCAGCATTTCCCGTAAGTCATACACTGACTCCCTTTTGTGTGTGTTTTTGTCGATTCCACTTGCACCCAAAGATGTTGTTTTAGTTTTTTCAGTTTGATCATCTGCCGAACTTATGACTCGAACAAGAGGAGGCACCCCAGATGTCATCGCTAGATATTCAGCGAGGTCGTACACTGACAGACTCCTCGCCTCTCTGCCATCTCGGTCGGTTTCGGTTACGTTCAATTCTCGATTATCAGATTTGGCATTATCTCCTTGCGATGAAGAATAGCTCTGTCCTGAATGAGGACGCGATATCCCTCCAGACTGTGGGAGAGATAAGAACTCCATAAGATCGTATGTAGAAGAGCGACGTGCTTCAGTGGGCTGGGTAAAAGAGAGTAGCTGTTTTGCATTGAGCGGAGAAAATACGATTTGCGGTGAAGTTGATCTGCTTGAGTTTTCACTCGTTGACAGAGAGTTGGAGTCCACGGCGTTTCCAAGTGATAAAAATTCCTTTAAATCGTATACAGATCCTTTTCTTGCGTCATCGAGATGACGCGGTCCCATTTCTTGTTTAGGAGACAGAAAAACCGGCGATGTAGATTTTTCTGGTGTTTTGATTTCTCTTGCTTTATTTCCTGATTGCTTCTTCATTTCCTTTTCAGTTGACGTCTCGCCTGCAGCTACTGTTAACTTTAGAAACTCTTTTAAATCGTAAACAGAAGCGTTTCTAGATTGACTACTTCTCCCACTTTGAACATGTTCAACTTCAGGCGACAAAGAAGTTGACGAAGACTGGTGCTTGAGATCATCTTTCTGAAGCAACCCTAGAATTTGCTGTAAATCGTACAGCGATGCCCTCTTCTCTTTGTTTTGTGATGATTGTAAGCGAGGTGATGCAACAATGGAAAATGTGGGTGTGCGGTCACCAGCCGTGGTTTCAGCTTGGGGGCAACTTTTTCCTTCAATTTTAAGCTTCACGGTTTCTTCGACCAAGTTTTGTTTCCTAGGCAGGGAAATAGAAGGCCTTCTTCGATCTACAAACTGTTTAACTGCTTCTGTGATGTCGTTCAGGGACCTTCTGCCTTTTTCTTTGCGTTCGTTATTAGCAGATTCACTGCAAACAGGCGAATTAGGGGTGCTTAGCGGTTGGTAACTTGACTTGCCATCCGTTTGGGAGCGAACGGGTTTTTTGCGTTTTGTCTTCTTTTCGTTTGATTTCAGGGTGCTTTGTAAATGGCTGAGTACAGAGCCGTCAATGTCATGAATAGAGAGGCGAGCTTGTGGTCGATGCCAGTAACTATCAGCCGACAGAGCAGTGGAAGGGGATGTAACGTTGTCGTCATTGACGTTTCCACTTGCACGAGATTTCAAATTGATCTTTCGGTAAAATAGTTCAGGTGAAGATTTTGCCAGTCTGCGTGACCTCGATAATTTCGCCGCTGAGTCTTTTATAACCGAGGCGCTTCCCCTGCGACTTGTTAGCGAGTCTTTCGATGGAGCCAGAGCCTCATAATTACCTCTTGATCTTTCTTTCGGCTTAAAAAGTCTCGCTTTTTCATGGTGGTATGACCAATCTACGCTGTCGAAAACGTTTGTGTCCATCTCGTCCGTTTCCTTGACAGCTACCGACGATATTAATTTCTTCTCGTCTTCGGGCTTTTCAGTCTTGTGTTTTCTTAACTGTTTTGCGCTTTTCCTCCGTAAAACGTCCATTTTTGGGGAAAATTTCAAATTTGTTCCTTGTGTTGACATCTCTGTCTTGTTTTCATCTGGTGCGTTCGCAAAAACCTGTGCAGTTGACGACGCAGATCGAAGCGAATCAAGATGAACGATCGGAGGTAATCTGACTAGACCGTGTTGGTCTCGTCCGACACCACTGGAAATTCGTTTCGAATTTTCGCCATCGATTTCAACCGCATTTTCTCCGGTTATCGGCGGAAGTTTCACGTATGACTCACCAAATGCATTAGCCATTGAAAATGGTGTTTCCAAGCGTAATTGCGAACAACAAAATGGTTTCAGTTGTTAAACAACGAGTTTGGTCTCATCCCAAACGTGTCGTGTACTCGGCCGTATTACCGTGTTCAACGCTCAAGTGAAAGAAATCCTACCGACCATAAAGCTAGCAATTAAATATCGAAAACACACAAAATACGCGCGAATGACGCATACTGATCAACTGGACGTCTGCTGAATATATTTGCATTAGCAAGATACGTAGCCTATTTTAAGTTACATCAGCGATCTTTTTCCTTGGCCAACGATGAAAAGGATGCAAAGCGAGGCTACCAATCGGAGAGCCAAATTTCAGCTCGCATTACTAAGTGTACTCTATGACCAACTAGATCTTTTTTCCGAAAAAGAAAAACACAATTAAGCGAAAGGCAATGGAATATTAATAGGGTCGTTGCGAACTAAGCGTTTTAAAGTCTTCAAAACGAGATTAGACATCGAAATAAAAATTGACTAAAAAAATTACTGCAACACGTAACCAATAATCGACCGGCTATCAGTGCTTATTTGATCAAGTTAACCTGCAAGACTTTATTCATCATACTGTAGCGTCTTGTTCAAATATCATTTTTGCTGAGAAGGAGCACTTAGAACGTGCTAAATTATGTCAGAAGTGTTAGGTAAAGGCGATTCACCCTTATAAAAGAAATGTTTTATTTTTTAAAGCCATTCTGAGCAGGTGCAAGAAACGGAAGCAAGCTTTGCATTTAATTCATTTTCACAAGCTTTTTTTCGGTTTCCATTCGTGTATTATACACTTAAATTCCCCCGTGAGATATTAAATTATTTCAAACGACACTTTTGGGATTAAATCTCCCTTTTTCTTTCTTTTTTTTATTCCAGTAGTTTAACTTGAAGTTATTAATTTTCAAAGAAATGAAAATTACACTTGGTCGGCGTTATTGGAATTAACATGGTAGGCAAAGTGGAAAATTCCTTGTTATTTAAATCCCTACGTGTTAGTCATTTTTCTGTGATTTTATCACAAATTTTAGAAAGTTAGTAAAATCAACCATTTCGAAGACAGACTTAAAAAAATATTTGTGTATTTTTGCCGATCTATCGTCCGTCTCCTCACAAAATAATTTGCTCTAAAAAAGCAAATTAGTAACGCACTCGTGAACGAAATTGACGTGGGCGTTTAGGTGTAGCGGAGAGGCTGATTTTGTACTCTAGTTAGTGCTGTTATGAATTCTGAACACTGCAATATTTAACAATTATTGTATGAGGCTGAGCATGATGTGAAGAATTATGCATGTGGAGGAGAATGTTATATAAACCGAGGATATTTTTTTGCAGATACTCCTCAAAAACTAGATAACATCCAGCTTATTCTCGCATTTCTTCAGTCCATTTTAATTTTTAGTCAGAAATTCAGCTATTTGTCTTTTTAGTTCACTCGCAAAAAAATAGCCTGTGCCAGGCTCTCAGTCAGTGTGGACGAGCGAAAAAAGCCCGCTAGCTATACCATCGAATAGGCTCTTGCATGACTTGATCACGTGATCAACTTTCGGTAAACAAGACAGCAGTTCTTTTTTGAAAAATTTTGTTAGCATAAGCTGAAAGAACATGTTAAAATTAAGTAACCTGAGAATTTCCAGTCATTACCTCAAAAGTAGCGATTGTAACGGCCGCCGAAAGTTAGAAGCAATTGTATGAGAAAAACAACTAAAAGAATCAATTGGCGACCGCGACGAGCACGCACATTTCCGCATTCATGTGCGAGTCTTTATAGTGCGAGTCTCCCCGGGTCAATTCCACTGTCGCGTACGCACGTAAATTTTACATGCGCAAGGAGGCACTGCATGTATAGAAGATCTTGCGTAACGTTAATTTGAAACTCGCTCAACTTTTGCGTTTACGCGCGACCTTTAATACATTGCCTCTATCTTAACCGTCCAAGGTGGCATCCCAGTAGCTCACGATCACGTTTAAATAAAGAAAAGTACTTACAGTTAAAAATGCAGTCAGTATACCAGAAAAAAAAACGTGTTTTGCTTGAACAGGCTCAGGTCCGCATGGAATCGTTGGGTAATGATGACGTTTCTACTGTTTACGCACCTAAGGGATGGTTAAGAAGACGTAAAACACAAAATTCCCAAAGGGACCGCTTGGGTTGATTTTATGACTACATGTATCATAGTTAAGTCATAGTTCGATACTCGAATGCGTTTCATGTGTGTTCACTGATATTTCCGGAGCAGCTGTTTTGAAAGTATTAAAGCAAAACTGAAATTGTCATTTCTTCCTTGTTTTTCTCTCTTAAAGAAGTATAAAAAGCTCACAGTCCAGATCTCGTGTTTGACCGAAATTATAGACCGAAAGTCCGACGCGGGCGTAATCTTACGTTTTCTGCTTTTACCTCACCAGTTGAATGTTTTATATGTGAAAATCTTAAATATGAATCAGTATTTCAAATTAAAGAGCTACACAAACACCAAGGCTACAATTGACCGACAACATAAAGAGCGGGAACAGTTGTAGTGTCAACTGTTACTAGTTTTTACGTGCGTCCGCGCGTGAATTTCACATGCGTAATACCCCGGGCTGCTGCTGAGCATTTGCCTTGCATAAATAAGGACACTGTTTTTACGTCTACTACTAAAGGAGGGTGTGTAACAAACTTTGATATGTTATGACGTCATTTCATCATCAATAAGAGGACATTGGAGGACAGACACATAGAAACTGGCCTGCGAACTGCAGACGCATAGCCGGTCGTCGCTTCTCTCCTATTTTCGGAGGGAGAGAAGCGACGACCGGAAATGCGTCTGCTGTTCGCAGGCTACATAAAAACTAGCGTCAATAAGTTTTTTGATAATAAGAAAGGCTCGAAAAAGTCGAATGGAGAAAATACGATAAAATTTATGACTTTTTTTAAAATTGTGCAATGTTATTGTCAATAACTTTTCTCCCTTGGTAACTGGCTACCGAAGACAAGTAACGGAGTTTCATCATCGGCTAAAAATTATACAGGTTGAGTCACGCCACTGCCCTGCATAAATTAGGAATTTATTGTGAAAGGCGGGTGAACGTAGCCCTGAATAGAACTGTATAGTAGTTGCTGACGGTGGTTGAAAGCCCTTAGAGTAGTTTTCAACAATGAGTCAGTCTTGTACGACGAACTGCTGAAGCTGGCTGAGCTCCCTTTACTTGTCAACAGAAGGCTTCAGGATATTGCAATTCGCTAAAGCAAAGAACAATCAACTTCAAGTCAAATACAGGAACTTTTTACGCTGAAAGCAAACTGTGATAGCAGCTATTCTTTAAGAAATTCGGATCTTAGACCCTGTTCACATGGAGTGGGGGACCCCGGTCTAGTGGGGTAGGTTTCTTTTGTTTTGTGTCCCCCAGAGCGTGAAAACAAAAGAAACCAACCCCACTAGACCGGGGTCCCCCACTCCATGTAAACAGGCCCTTAATCTGCCTCGTTTTAATACGATTAAATACGAAAAGTATACTATGGCCCTTTCCCCTAATCGAATTACGTGGAATTACGTGCTGACGATAGTCTGCGCAGATTTAAGACTGAAATTAGGAGAACAGACCTGACTGTCTAAATTGAGGATGGCCGTGTAGAAATTGCATGCTTTGTAATAATTAACTTCGAGACCCTAGCTAAGTTAATAAACAAAATTTATCCTATTATCATTTACATACATTTTTACGTGTAAATAGGTCTTAGATTTTTAACCCTCCCAGCTTTTACTATTTGTATCACTTTTTTTTTTACATTTTTTAAACACTTAGTCTGCGTAGCTGGCGGTATTGTGTGGGTGCGAGATTAAAGTTTTGGCGGTGGAGCTGTGTTCCAAAAAAAGGGAGTAGGGACGAGGCGGTTGGTATTTCTCGCGGCCTGGCTCGACTACTACACAATACCGCCAGCTACTAAGGCTATTAAACACTATTTCAATGTTAGATTTTTTTTATCTTTCTGATCTCTGTCATCAGTTATATTTGTGCTATCGCTAGAGATTCTTGACAGGTTATAAAAAATTCACTACTACTACTACTACTACTACTACTACTACTACTACTACTGCTGCTACTACTCCCGGGGGGGGGGCACTTAAGGAATTTCTGGGTGGGGATGTGCCGCTGGGACGCTGGAACCCTTAACCTATACCAGAGCTAGTTCTGCTGAATTTTGCTACCCTATACTAGAGTAAACTTCCCAAATCCCCCCTATCCTAGAGTAGCTGTTTTCCAGAAACTACTGGGGTCACTAGCACAGTAGTCTAGCCAAAACAAAACCTTATACCACAATCCCTAGTCTAGATAAAATCTTCAACCAACTGATCAGTTTCCTGAAAAATGATGCCCTATTCTAGACCCAAACGCTCTGATTTATATACCCTATACTAGAGTAAACTGCTTGAAAACCATACCCTTCACAGCGGCACATACCTATATAGCCCATATATGGTATTACCCCCCCCCCCCCGGGCTACTTCTACTGTGCGATATTCATCTTTGACTCTGAAGATGGATACCGCAAATTGTCTAAACGTCGGTCATTGTCAACAAAAACAGTCCTATTCAGAACTACGTTCACCCGGACGATCATACTCAACCTACTTAGGAATTTATTGTTTTCCAAACTTAAAGGGCTGGTTTCTCGAAAGTCCTGGATACTTTTCGGGCCCGAACGCAAATTTTCAGATCAACACCTAGAGAATAGTAGCAGAATTCGTGGCTCGCAAATCAGTCAATTTCCCTTCGTTAACTGATAGTTTCTTTGTATTATGTATCATTCTCAAAAGTAGTTTAACTTTAATCTTGGCTGCCAACACGACAAACACAAAACAGCTTTCTGGGCCCGAAAAGTTATCGGGATTTTCGAGAAACGGGCCCCTGGACCCGGTTTTTTTTTTCAAAACAGGGTTCAACCTCATGTCCAGGTTCTCTCTCCCTCGCTCCGCAGGGACGGGTAGAAGAGAACCCTGGGAACGAAGTTAAGCAGGATTAAGATGACCCAGACCAAGACAAGGTTAGTTTAGAAAACGTCGGCTTCTCGTTTATGTCTGGACGGACGAAATAGACCTGTTTAACTCGCATGTTTTGTTTTCCCAATAGAGGTTCCAGGGGAACTTGACCCTTTGTCTTTTCATAAATTATGCGTACAAATGCACGTGAATAAGACGAAATTTGAAAGAAACAGTTCTTTGGGAAAACAAAATATACAAGCTAAAGAGGTCTATTGGGGAGCAAGGGTGGCCCAATGGTGAGAGCACTCGCCTCCCACCAATGTGGCCTGGGTTCAAATCCCGGCGACGACGCCATATGTGGGTTGAGTTTGTTGTTGGTTCAGTCTCCTTTGTTCTGAGCGGTTTTTCTCCGGGTACTCCGGTTTTCCCCTCTCCTCAAAAACCAACATTTCCAAATTCCAATTCGACCAGGAATCAGGTAGACGAAGAGCCACTATGTGGATGTGCTACCTGCAAATCGTTATTTATTTATTTATTTATTTATTTAGGTTTTCGAACACGATGATGTCATATATCACAAACTACTAGCAAAACGCATGCTCTGTAAGGAATGCTATCTAGCCTGCGAGTGGGCTCGCTTGCATGGGCCAGGGGCACCCAACGAGAATATACTTCAAAACCACTTAAACATAGCATTGTTAAACGTATTTTAGTATTTAAACGGTACATATAGGCATATTTTTATCCCCTAAAAATTTTTCATCTGTTCGGATTTCCTAGCTGAAAGTCTCGAGATCCGAAAATCATAGGGATCAAAACTTACCTTTTCGAAAATTTCAGCCAGAAAAAAGGCTCCCGAAAATTCTAGGTGAGCTTTTTAGGGTAAAAATCCGTTAAAAATGGGCAATTACACCAATTTTTAGATGTTCGAAAATCATAGGAGAGGTAGGCAAGCAAGAAATTTTACAAAAAATGTTCCGAAAATTCGAGATCTCAAATCGTCTTCCGAACAGATATTTTCCGAAAATTGACGTTGGGTGCCCCTGATGGGCCGAGAAAAATTCCTCGCTGACTCCGCCGCCAAAATAATTTTCCCCGAATCCACACTAACCTCGTTCCCAGGGTTCTCTCCTACCTGCAGCTCGTAGGAGAGAACCCTGGGAACGAGGTTGAATCCGCACAAGTGAGCCTGCTTCTGTTGTTGTTGTTGTTGTTGTTGCTCCTCGCAGGCTAGATATCGATGCTATCGAATTCCCATCGTTTTAGCATTTTCATGTGTACGGGTGAATATCCAGATACCTGTGGACAGGGCCTAAGAAAAGAAAGATTTCCTCAAAGGGCGTTTATACAAGCGGGGCCCGCTCCTGGTTGGCTCAGAGGCGTCTCGTTTATGGGCCAAGACAGTTTTTTAAGGGAACATGGGCGCTTATTCGAAGAAATGTGGTGTCCGAGTAATTTTCCAGATCCGGAAATGCTGGGTTAAATTATTAATTATTAACTATACCTCGATGATATAACGAACATTTTGGTAGTTTTTCCGAAAATTCGTTAAATGAGGGTGTTCGACATAACGAAGCGTGTCTGATCTCCACTGTATCTCCGGCTGTACACCGAAAAGGCGGATATACAGATATAGATACAAATAACATTTCAGTATGGAGCTATAAATAGCCACGGCACTAGAAACTCAGAAACGCAAGAAAAACTACTACCGTACACATAAATTTTATCCTTGTTGGTCTGTTTGGCATTCATCTTTTCTCACATGCTGACATCATGTGACATTTTATTCGTTATATCCCTGGTTTACCGAGGTCAATTTTACGTTTGAGCTTGTGGATTGTGCTCGCAACGAGGATTTCGTTAAATCCAGGTTCTGTTCCATACACTCAACTGTAATTTTGGCAGGGCTTAAGAAAATCGTACTTATACTCGAGGACTTCGTTTTATAGAGGTCATAGAAGTTTGCTAAGATACTATGACCGGCTAGTGCTGTGTCCGAGGGGTATCCACAGGTACCCGCCCAAGATGCCTAGATCACTTGTGATTTGGGTATCGCCCGGCCCCTGTGCGTAACATTGCAAAATCTATTGATTCCTTCTGCTCTCTGTGTGCTGAAAAGCTGTCCCCTCCCTATATTTCAAACCTAAGCCTAAGATATCGAATTTATCGATGACATTAGAAGGTTTCCTTATACTTTATGCTCTGTAAACACTATTTTACAACTAAATTCACTGAGTATTAGGTGACAATCAGTTCCTCCACATTAGTACCACTACGGTTTCCAAAATGAAATTTTGTCAACTTATTCAGAAACCTTGTCAAAATATATTAAACTTCGCTCTCACCAGTTTTTTGTCAGTCTGAAGGTTTTGTCCTATATCGATCACTGGTGATTCTGTGGGCGCGATTCATTCAACCAAAATTTCCGGTCCAAAACTCAATGGATCGATTCGGTCCGGAAAAGTGTCGAACAAACTGGTCCACCTTTTGAGGTGGACCACTTTTCCCGGTCGGACCGGTCGGAATTTTGGTTGAATGGATCGCGCCCATTAGCTCGGAGATTGGGCTCATGACTCGCTCATGACAAAACAAAAGGCCTTTTAGCGCGGGTTTTTCGCGGGTGCTTTCTTGCTCCCCTTATTTGGACGCTGATTGTTCTAATCTTCCTATGATTGGTTGAAACGATTTCACGCGGGAAAAATTTGTACTTCAAATAGGGATTAGTTCCCAAATCCACCTCACTTTCCTCACTTCGGCTCCTGATCAACTCCAGCTTTCGTCGGTGAAATTTCCTTTTATCTGCGTAGTTTACTCTTGTGCTCTCTGTATGAAATGTCTGACAACGTAAAGACTGAAAGCCAAAACCACGATCTCGACAATGATACCGAAATTAAGGGCACCTACGTTATTAAACGCAGTAAGTTATGAGTTTCGTTGCAGAAGCAAGCACGATTGATGACCGCCATGTTGTCACATGCACATGCTTTGCAGTGATCGATTTTGATGAAATTACTTTTCTTTCTTACAGATAAGAAGAAGGAGCTTATAAAAGTGGGTAAAATCTCCGCAAGGCTTGAAAATTTGTCTTATTCCCTTAACAATGAATATCTCGATCAGGTAAGCTTGTATTGTTCAGTTGTACGTTCTTTGGCGCCAAAATTTTGAACGAGTCGAAGACAAATCACGACCATTAAGCTTACCTTACCTAAGCATTCCGTCGATATATACATATGTTGTTCTTTCGTCATTTTTCAGCTCAGTGTTCAACCCAAAAGCACCAAATATTTTATTTATTATTATCGCTTTTCTCGTCGGGAAAACCGTTAACGATTTTCGCGCCCTAGCTTAGACAAAGCTTACTGGAACACGAAAATATGACGCCAGTAACCTTCGCGAATTTTCCTGGATACCAAATTAGCATCTACATATACTAAGCTTCGATAAACATCGCTCCCACGGTTACCATCGCGAAGACTTCAATCGATCGGTTGGTGTTTGCAAATTCCTTTTCTCGAGACTGGCGCGAAACTTACCACAGTTTGCATAAAACCCGCTCACTTACCCCTCTTCATTGACATATATAATCTTGTGAAGTAAATATGAAACCGTTTCACTTCTAAAAATTTGATAAAAATTGCAAATCTCATAAAATTGAAAACATTTGAAAAAGGGATAAAAACATGTGAAAAATGCAGCTGAAGCGAATACGCCATATAGGGTTTCATCCACGGACTGAAAAGTTAGAGCAACTATCTAAATAAATAGTACAATGTGAAAGCACTGCTGAAGAGATGTCAATTGAATGGTGACATCAGAGCATTTCATCCACAGACTTAACGTTTGAACTACATACTTAGTAAGTTAATAGTACCAAGTAATGCATCAGTCAAATCCAACAGGCCTCTTATTTTAATTGTGTTTACAAGTGATTAAGCATGCAGTTTTTTTATTCTTTAGTTTACTATTGTCAAGAGAGTTATTGAAGGAATTTACCCTGGAGTCCACACGACTGAACTTGATACCCTGGCAGCAGAAACTTCTGCATCAATGACTACCAAGCATCCAGATTATGCTATTCTTGCAGCCAGGATTGAAGTTTCTAATCTTCACAAGGAAACGAAGAAGCAGTTTAGTGGTAAGTAGCATATATAAATATTCAAGAATAACTGATAAAATATAGAAAACGGTATATTTTGGGGCCAATATGCAATGGGACATCTTGACTGGTTCCAGTGTTTTCCCTAAATTTTAGCTCGGGAGGTAAGGGGTCATTCTTGACTGGTTAGGCCAAAAGATATGCACTGCTGGCGGGGGGGGTGGTGCTTTGCATTCAAGAAGGCTTTTCTTTTTTAGCATCCTGTCAACCAATTGACTGAAAAGTATTTTAAACACCTCAAAACAAAGAATTTTACAGATGAAGGGTGCCTTTGCCAGTACGGTCAATTTAGTAACACAAATCGTGAACTTTTCCTGCTGATCGAGATAGTCTAGAATTAGGGTAGAAGCCCACAAAAATATTGTTAGCCGGCAGTGCTTCAAAAGATCATTTAAATAAAGTAATGAGAGAGAATAGCTACATGTACTTTTTGTTTTCCGTATTTATTTCGTTGTAAGGATTGGCTTGGATCTCAACTTGCTATTTTTTTTAAACAACATTTTAATTGCAGTAATACTTCAAGCATTTGTGGGTGGTGAGAAGTGTTGCTTCAAGCTGTAAATTTACCGGTTACCACCTGACAAGGAGAGCACTGTGGCTCCCATCTGTCATTTCTTTTATTTCTTATTTATTGCTATTAAAAGTTTCTTCTCTGTTTTGCTAATTAAATCCTTTGAAACTTTGCAGAGGTTATGACAGATTTGTACAACTATGTCAACCCTAAGAATGGCAGACATTCTCCTTTAATTTCAAAGGAAACCTATGACATTATCATGGCAAATGCTGATGTGAGTGGAAAGAAGACAGTCATTTTAAGGCTATGTTTACACTATACTGGACAAAAGTCCTTGGGATAGTACTGCATTATTCATATTTTTCTGTTATTTCTCGGTTCCCTCTTAAAACAGTGCATCATTTTCAAAGTTTTCTTGCAGTTGTCCCTCCCCAGTATTGTGCCCTTGCTGCTCATACACTTATTCCAATTAAGGTTGCTCCTGTGAAGCATGGTGCATGGTCTATGTTTCCTAGCCTGCGGTGCACCATGGTAGTTCTTTTAGTAGCAGGAAGTTCAGTCCTGTTCACGTTAATTGGAATAGTGGAAACCATTTAAAAATTTGTTTGTTTGATCAACTTTGTCTGGGTGGCCCTGGTTACAGTAGGGGCACTGAAAATATCAATGCTGTTTATTATGAGAAAATATGGTACCTGTGAGTTCTTGCTTTGTAGTAGTAACTAATTAAGGTGAAAGATGGGGTATGGCTGTTAATCGAAGTACCTTTTTTTTTTCTTTTCAGGTTCTTGACTCTGAAATTATATATGCCCGTGATTACGACTACAACTACTTTGGTTTTAAGGTATGTATAATTTATTACTGCATAAGTTTGAGTCTGATATAACAAATCATTGTGCAGATTGACGAGCACAGCCTTGTATGTCTGTATAGTACAGCTGAATATCTATACAAATGCAATGGAAGAAAAGTTGTAACTTCGAGTTTAACTCACCAACTGATCATATCATACAGTTTACATGTACCTACATACATGTATTTGCAGACTTTAATGAGGTCATACCTGCTGAAGATAGATGGAAAAGTTGCTGAGCGACCCCAGCACATGCTGATGCGAGTTGCAATTGGCATTCACCAGAATGATATCAAAGCTGCCTGTGAAACATACCGTTTGATGTCAGAAAAGTGGTTCACTCATGCCTCTCCAACATTGTTCAATGCTGGCACATGTAAACCACAGATGTCCAGTTGCTTCCTGTTGACCATGTCAGATGACAGTATTGATGGAATTTATGAAACTCTATCAACCTGTGCTAAAATTTCCAAAGCAGCTGGTGGAATTGGTTTAAATGTACACAACATACGGGCTTCAGGGAGTTACATTGCAGGGGTAAGGTGTTGATTTTTGGACCTCACGGCCTTTCACTTGTAAGAGTATCAAAATTATAGTAATATAATATTATGTAAACATCAAAACTTGGACATAAAATTTAATATGTCCACTATGTAAGATGTTTCCTATGAATGGTTGCACCACAAAATTTTGTTGGTGCACTAAAAAATTGGAACTTTCTCAACAATTATATGATTTACAGTCGAACCTCCTTAAATGGTCACCTGTCTATAACAGCCACAAAAATTCCATACATTGACTTTTGTTTAAAACCTCTTAACAACACCCACTTTCTTCTGTCTCCAAGGTGGCTGTTGTAGAGATGATGATGATGATGATTATTATTATTAATTTTACTGTAAGCATATTTGTGAGTAACTTGCTGAATGTTTCGTGCTGTACAAGCATCTTACTTATGATCATTCTATCAGTGACACTGATATACAATGATCTAAACTTTAGGTACTTGTAGTTTTTTTTGTTGGTATACAAGGTTAATCTAAGTTGACAAGAGAAGAGTTAATCATTGCTGAAATTGAATGTGTAGAGGTAGTTTAGCCAGCACACCTTTGTGACGTTCATTTTCTTATATGATGTACATGTGTCTTGTTTTGTCTTGTCTTACCCAGACCAATGGAACTTCAAATGGTCTTGTTCCCATGCTGCGAGTTTTTAACGCTACTGCAAGATATGTGGACCAAGGAGGAAACAAGCGTCCGGGAGCCTTTGCGATATATTTGGAGCCTTGGCACCCCGATATCTTTGATTTTTTGGATTTAAAAAAGAACACTGGCAAAGAGGAACAGGTACTTGTAATTTGATTACTTAGAAATCAGTTAATCAAATGGTGATGAGTGAAATCAGCAGTGTTCTCACCAGGCCGCGGCCTTGTGGGATTCCCGCAAGAAAAAACTGAAATGGCGCATTAAAACCAAGAAGATGCGCCCTAACGGGCGCAGGGGCAAGCTACGAGTCAAACGGACTTAAGTAGTTTTAATGGTCACCCTAACACTAAAGCATTCTGTTTGTCTGAATAAATAAAAAAACATGATATCAAATGAGTCAGTCTTTAATTTTGTTGCCTTTACTTTCATTGGTCCCACGCACGTCCCACTACATCGTTAACTCCTCCTCCGAATCGTAAACACCTCTTCCGCCATATTGGATCAGGTAGGTACTTCATGTAACAGACAATTTGGAGTGCGGGCTCAGGTTCTTCGTACCGCGTGTTTTTTGTAACTTTGTCCCCCTAATGTTCTTACAGGGCCCCTATTTCTCAGAAGAGGGGGCCCTGGGACTCCCCAAGGCAAAATCCTGGTGAGAACACTGAATCAGGGAATAATTTCACTCGCATTTGTCCAAATTCTAATAATTTCCTGAGAAATTAGTAGGAGTTGGACAAAATGCAAGTGAAATTATTCCCTGATTTCACGAGTATACTTTCTTATAACCTATTGATATCAGGGGTGACAAATATTATTACCCTCACAATGGTGGGTTTTTGACATGTTTATTGTATTTATCGAAAACTCCATACACTGAAAAGTTTAGAGCTTAAATTTTGGCTTACAGTACGTCAGATTTTTCAGAATGTTTCGACAAAATCCCTGAGTGATAGAATCCTTCTTGTCTTATGACCTGACAGGATGACAGGCTGGTGTTTGTAACACTTAGACCTTGTGTGGGTAATTAAGACCCCATCACCTTTTTTTATAGTTTGAAAATTATTAAATCCACAATTGACTGTATTTGCAGCGAGCCCGTGACCTTTTCCTTGCACTCTGGATCCCTGACTTGTTCATGAAGCGATGTGAAGAAAACGGCATGTGGTCTTTGATGTGTCCTAATGAGTGTCCTGGACTTCAAGACTGCTGGGGAGAAAAATTTGAAAAACTTTATGAAAGGTCAGCAGAGTACAAAGAATCTTATAGTTTTTACAATTCTCCAAGCTTAATGTTTTATTCAAAGTCATTTTTGGTGAAAAGTAGAGGCAGTATTACATATGCAAGAAAAAATTACTGCTAACAACAAACAATATTTTGGAGTCATCAGGACACCATTATCAAGTTCAAAATGATAGCATAAACTATGAAATTATGAAATAGTTCACTGAAGATTTACATGATAGTTCCGAAATGTCCTGCAAATAGTTTGGCTCTAATTGAGTCCCATTGTACATTAAGAGATGGTGTTAGTTCTCTAGTCAGTAGTTAGATTATAGAGCTGAAAAGAGAATTATCCATTTTCTTTTAATTAGAGAACTGATTAGGTTCTATTGGAAGAATGTTACATTGACAGCACATAGCTTTGCTCTGGCAGTGCCCACTGGTTCTGCATTTCTTTTGCTTTAAGGCAACTAGGAAATTATATGCTGGACTGGATTCATTGGGCTCCCTTCATCTTCGAGCACTGCCTTACAGCTCTAGAAACATTTCTAATTCCCCACATCTTTCTCTATTACCTGCATACTTTTAAAAAAGACAGCCCTGATAGATTTGGGGAAGTTTGTCTTCAACTTTTATTTCTTCTCACAAACAGCTACGAGCAACAAGGAAAATTCCGCAGGCAAGTGAAAGCTCAGAAGTTATGGTTTGCGATCTTAGAGGCCCAGGTGGAAACAGGAACACCATATATGTTGTATAAAGATGCATGCAACAGGAAGAGTAACCAACAGGTCGGTTGAAGTCCTTAGAGTGACCAACATCAAATCTTTCCCAACATTATCAATACATAATCAAGTGGAGAGGTCATAAGAATTAATAATTAAAATGATCACCCAAGGGAAAATCCTCTTATTATTCTTTAAGTTAATGTATAGGTAGGTAATAATGATAATTCTGTTATCTACCCTTGGTAGAATTTTTAGCACTAATGCTAGTGGGGCTGTGCAAATGCCTAGTTAATAGGGTTAAGAATCCCAACTGGCCTGAGGCAAACCAGCTGGCTATTTACAAGTGTGGTCGAGGATTTGAACTTGGGACTAACTTGAACAAATTCAGCTAGTGGACAGGGCAGGACCTTAAATCGGGGCCTCTGAATTGAAAGTCCAGTGCTCTGAAAACTCAGCCACACTGCCTCCTCACCATTGGATATGAGTATGAGTATGGGTATCAGTTTGGAGAATTCGATTCTGGAAATTGGGGCTTTAAAGGGTTGAAGACAATGTCAGCATCCCATTTGTCTCATATTTATTCTATCTCATCCTGAAAAGATAATTCTTTTTTAATTCACTTAAATTTTCCTTTTTAGAATGTTGGAACCATCAAATGCAGCAATCTCTGCACTGAAATTGTCGAATACAGTAGTCCTGATGAGGTATGTGTCACATTTCCTGCTGATCATACCCTTTAACTCTTTTAGAGCGGGGGCAGGTAGGTAGGGGTAACCATGTCTCTGATGTGAATATAAATTTTACCATTAATTTGTTTCATGTATTGAGGAGGAATCCCTGTCCTCATTGGTGCAGGTTTCTTTTAAATCATTTTTGCAGTTGCCTACTTTGCTTTTACAGTTTCATTCCAGCTTAAATTCATGTTAGTTTGTCTACATTTCATCTGCACTTTGTCTGTCTTAAACCAGTAATAAACAGAGCTGTATATAATACATGTAAAAACTTCAGTGTTTTCTCTAGTGGGTGTCAGGGACTGCATATGTACTTTATTGAGGATAAATAAATACTCATGAGTTTAAATCAAGTAATAAAAAGTACTCTGAAATGGTGTTAGCAGGCACACTGAGGCATCATTATTAAGCAGAGCATAGGGTGATGCTAATTTCCATTCTCTCTCACAGGTTGCAGTTTGTAACTTGGCTTCCCTTGCACTCAATAAATTTGTTATAACTGAGCAAAATCCACCCCAATTTGACTTCAAAAAACTCTTTGAGATCACAAAGGTAAGCAGATAATGTCAATATAACACTGTACTTAGGTAATTAATTTACGTTCAATGGAAATCTTATTTGAGAAAACAGCATTGAAAAATTCATTAACAAGTAATTCCCCATCAATATTACATGAAAATAAAACAGGAGGAGAGGAAGGTCAGCATCGCTTCCTTTTCTCAGATCTCACGCTCATATCTTTTTTCATGCCTCTGACTTGCGGGTCATCCCTACCAAATGCAAGCCTGGAAGTGGCTAGAAGGCAAGCACCTAGGAATATTGTTAATATCACTGAACAGGATGCTAGTTAATCACAGAGTTACCTCATGGTAGTATCCAGATTCATACCTTATTCTCACTTAATTTTGCAAGTATTTAACTTCGTGTTTTTTTAGGGAAGGGTGAAATATTGGAGTATAGCGAAAATTGCTAAATTGAATACTCGTGAAATTAAGTGAGAATAAGGTTCACCTGGGTAAAGACATAGACATGGTGGAGCAAAGTTTCTTGTCTAAGGAAACAATGTGACAACAACAAAAAAATAATTAATTAAAAAAAGTAAGTTAAAACACTCCAACAACATGGCTAAAACCTGGAACACAAATTTTGCCCTCTTGTAAGATGCATTTGTTATTATTTGACAGGTTGTGACACGCAACTTAAACAAGATCATTGATGTAAACTATTATCCTGTTAAAGAGGTATGTGAACTGCTCAATATGGTGCTCTTTTGCAGTGTATTTATTTTGGCCTCTTTAAATATAAGTTGATAAATTTAACTTTGCTATGAATTTTTGTCTTCTGTTAAATCAGGCTGAAAAATCTAACAAGAGACACAGGCCAATCGGCATTGGAGTACAGGTATCTACATCATTTGCACTTGAGTGACTTTACATGTAACTCAACTGTTTAAAGTTTACTACTTTTTTTCCTTAGTCTTTTACTTTACCCTCAAAGTTGGTGACTCGCAATTTTTTTTTACTCAAATTGCAGGGATTAGCTGATGCCTTCATTTTATTGAGATATCCATTTGAAAGTGCTGAAGCAATAGAGCTGAATAAAAAAATATTTGAGACAATTTACTATGGTGCTTTGACAGTAAGTTGAACTCATCATTTGGTATTAAGCTCTTCCAAGAGGGAAAAATGTGACAGAGAACGAAATGCCCAGTCTAGATCTTGGGTTATGTGAATTTCACAAAAAGCTATTTTTAGACCAATTACATGCTTGAATTGATCAGAAGCTGGTTTCCAGAGAGCTCTGCAAACTTCTATTCAGCATGGTCAAGAGAGAATTCAACAGTTGCCATTACACATATACTCTGCATTTTTTTTTTTTGCTTTGAGGACTTAATTACAATGTGTGGGAGCCCCAGGAAATAGACTTCCGATTAATCACAACCTCTAAAAATAACTTAAGTGAAATTCACATATTCTGGCCAGTGCCCTACGATTCCCTCTTCTGTGCCATTACACAGGGTTGGCACAGTCTTGAAAAGTCCTTGATTTTTCTTCAGTTTTGAATGTAGTAGCCTGGAAAGAGTTTTTGTGATGCTTTCTTGGTTGTCCAGGACAGAATATAAATCATAGCTCAGAGAATTTAAAAGTTATTTACATAAAGTGCTCTATACTTAATGCAATAATAACTATCAATTTAAGAGAAGTGAAATGAAAAATGTAGAGAAGTTGGTGAAGCAAACAGTTCATGCCTTTAAGTCTATATAGACTGGGAATGTGCATTTTTGTACAGTCTTTTGAAATTATATTCCTAGCAGTTGGTCCTTGAAAAATGGTTGCAATTTTTTTTATGAACCCTGATTACACCATCTTGGCTTTTCTGTATCTTTATCCTTTGTTTTTTGGCATGCTCTGATCTGATTGAGTGTTTAATTTTCTGTAGGCTTCATGCCAGTTGGCTAAAGAAAAGGGACCGTATGAAACTTACGAGGGATCACCTGCAAGCCAGGGGGTAAGAAACAAATTACTTACTGTTGACAAGAATAGTCCTGTCATCTGTCAGCAGAAATCCTAGTAATATTATCTAACAGAAGTAAAATGTTTCAACAGTAAATATTGTGATGTGACTGAAAAAACTTGAGCTGGTATTGCAATATAATATTATGTATATTATTGGTATGAGACATTTTTAAAGAAAAAGTAAGTTTAACTGGCCTGGTTTCCTTCCTAGATAAATTTGTGTTGCCACTATTCAATGCACCTTTGTAGGAAATTTTTTTCCCTGTCATCCTGAAAAAAAGCATACTGTTGCCAAATGTATTACTGCATCCCCCCCCCCTCCAATCTTACACATTGGAGTGGGCTTACTATTTCTGTTTAGAAGGGATGGCAGTATGATGCAGAATTAGAAAATAGATGACTCTGTCTCAAAGTGAGTTTAGTGGATATGACACGCTTGAGGATTTAAGCATATATTCTCTGTATATCATGATCCCTTGTTTCAACATTTAAATATTTATTATTATTATTATTATTATTATTATTATTATAGAAACTCCAGTATGATCTGTGGGGTGTGACTCCTACTAATTTATGGGACTGGGCTGCACTCAAGGCAGAAATCAAAAGGTATGGTTCATTATTACCATTGACGTTTGTACAAGTAATCACATGATTTTCTTTTGAAATTTAGAATAAATAAGCACGAGTGATTTTTTTCAGAGGCTAAGGGCGAGTGCAGTTTGTGGTCTTTTAATAAATTTACTTGTGCTTTTTTATTCCAAATTGCACAAGAAAAATCAGTGATTACTTAATAATTTTCATGAAAAAATTGCATGATGGCTTTAACATGACATTGATAGAGAGGCAACACGCATAAACTAGGTGCAAAAATAATTTATTTAAATGCTGCAAATATCATCACACGTGCAGTCGAAACAACATTATTTTTCTCGCTGATTTTAAAGTTTGCAAGCTGCAGCAACAGGCTGAACAGTTCATGGAATTGTGTATTTTTATCTAGGTATGGATTAAGAAACAGTTTGCTGGTTGCACCAATGCCAACAGCATCCACTGCGCAGATTCTTGGAAATAACGAGTCCTTTGAGCCTTACACTAGTAACATCTATACAAGGCGTGTACTCTCAGGAGAATTTCAGGTATGATCCTTACAATCCAAGGTGTTCAATGAAAAAGCAAAGCATATCAATCTTTGTAACGGAATGATAATGGAGGATATATCTATAGCCACTTACCTTGAGTAGAAACATTTTAGATACCCTAGCACTAAAACTGTTCATCATGGATGGTGGCTTAATGCACAGTACTCAAGTGCTTCTCTGCAAACATAATAAGGATCTTTCTAGTTCCAAGAGCTCACTTCCTGTACGTTGTGTTTTGATTATAGATTGTGAACCATCATTTGCTGAAAGACCTGACAGAAAGGAACCTGTGGAATGAAACATTAAAGAATAAATTGATAGCAGCCAATGGATCAATCCAGGTTTGTTTATTGACTTTACAGGAATTAACATCTCTCTCTGCCTTCTGTTGTAATTAGGATCTTACTTGGCTTAGAGATTTTAAGGTGTGTAATCTATGGGTATTAACTGTAACTTTTTTTTTTCAAGCACATTGAAGAGATCCCTGACGACCTAAAGGCATTGTACAAGACAATTTGGGAAATATCTCAGAGGACACTCATAGACATGGCTGCTGATCGAGGAGCTTTCATTGATCAGAGTCAATCCTTTAATGTTTTCTTTGCGGAACCTACTTCAGCCAAACTAACCAGCATGCACATCTATGGCTGGAAAAAGGTGATCTTTTAAAACTTATATGATCTTGTAATTTGTGGATTAACCCTTTAAGTGCCAATAGTGACCAACATGAATTTTCTCCTAACGATATCCATAGATTGTCAAGGGCAAAGTCTAAGAGAATTAATAAATGATCACAAAGAGAAAAATCTTTGATCTTTTATTAAATTCTCTCAACTAATTTCTTAACAAAATGTATGGAGATCAGTCTGGAGAATTTGTATGTAGATATTGGGGCTTAAAGGGTTAAGGAATACAGTTGACTAATGATACATCTACATGAAAAAGCCAACAAATTTTGTCAAAACAACAACCAGAGCCAGTGCTGCATGTTGTGACTCGCCTACATTTTTTCCATGCAGAAATACCATCAGAATTCCTTAACCTCTATATGGCAACAACATGGTAAAAAATGTGAATGTGGAGCTTTTGATCCGGCATGTGAAATTATATCGTCTACGACCCATTGACTCAATCATAGTCTGTGACATAATAAATCAGTCAAGAATTATTCAAAACATTGCTGCATTATTTAACTGCTGCCCTGTTAGTTCAATTTGATAACCACTACCCTACCAAGCAAGTTCCAGCACTGTTTGGACCAGCACTCGGGGTCTTTAAGCAACTGAGGAGAAAGTGCTGCCGCTTAAATGAGTTCTGTTAACAGTTCTCGCTAGTCTTATCAGATAAAGACAATAAACTGTAGGCCCCATCTCACAAACTTAATCTACTCTTTTTAAAACTCTTTTGTTTTCTTAAGAACCCACACTGTTGTTAAAGAGTAGGGGATGCAGTCTTCCCCCCACTTGTGATGGTGTTTCTCAATTTCATCTTAAATTATGGGGCATGCATGACTTATTGCTTCATTAAATGCAACTATGCCATATGCACTCAAAACATTCCTCAGTTACACACTACCCCATCATAAAGACAGGTTTGACTGTAGTGTTATTTACACTGTGGAGGCATTATCATTCAAGTACAATATGGTTACAAGACTTGTGTGTGTTCATTTTTGTAGGGCTTAAAGACTGGCATGTATTACCTACGCACCCGCCCAGCAGCTAGTGCAATTCAATTCACAGTGGATCAAGATGCACTCAAGAAGTCTGCCAAAAGTAAGAAAAACAACGAAGATGGTCCTGCTTGTTCTCGAAATGATCCAAGCTGTCTGAGCTGCAGTGCTTAAAAAGCTATGAAGAAAAATGATACATCAGATATTGGTGTGAGCTTCTGACCTTCTTTAAAACTGCAATTCTGTTTTCATTGATCAGTTAACGTAAATTGGTTTTCCAAAAGGTAATGGCTATGATGTCAGAGATTAAGAAAGCTCAAAACCAGAGCAAGTTTAAGGCGGCATTTCGAAAAAGAAAGAAAAAAAACAAGAATTATCAAATTTGATTTATACTAGCAAACCATATAAGCATGTTTGCAATTTCTTATAATATTGCTAAGTTATAAAATTACATTGTGTACAACATTGAGATACTGGAATTGACCAAAATTAAGCTTCACACAATCAAACTCTTACGTTTTTTTGTCAACACAAAATAGTAACAGGCAATTTCCAGTCAATTGCAAGTATTCTACTTAAAACTTATTTTTCAATACTTTAAAATATTATGAGATATTTTTGTACAAGAGACATGCATAAGTTTTCATAAGCTGATAAGAGATGATCAACGGCAAAGTGAGGATAAGTCATAGTGTTTGTCATGTAATATAAGCTGAATTTAGTTTGCACATGTACCTTCTAAATAATTTATTATCAATGCAAAATGTGTGTATATATCGGTATGAGTTCTCGAGCTGATTATGGTGTTGTAATCTAAAAAACCAGTTTACATGTGAATTGTCTATTTATTTACATGATGATTTTTCACATAAAAGTTGTGCAATAATTTTAAAAAATTGTGAATAGATTAACTAATTGTCCATTGCTCTCTTCCTTTAATTAAAAGCACTTTTTTCTTCCTTTCTTTGCTTTTCTTCTGTTCTTACTCTATATTTGGAATTTCAAAAGCCTTCTATGACTGTAGCACTTTTTAGACTATTATTTCTATGACATTTTGTGCTGTCCTCTTTGGAAAAGGGGGAGGTAGGTGCAATGACCTCAGACAAAATGAGACCAGTTTTTTATTTAAATATTCGGACTCAAAGGGTCACATTGAAAAGTCACCATGACAACCAAGTGCAGTACACAGAGTCAATTGGTCAAAGAGGCACGTTAAGTGTTCAATAATACACAAGAAAATGTTGCAAGGATGTTGTTCATTTCCCACAGAACATGAAAAACAATGAATACTGGTATAATAATCTGATGCAGGGCACATGCTCTTGCAACAATTTTGTCCCCGCTAATACCCCATGAAGTTTAACGAGTTGAGTTGTCCCCATATTTGTGTTAAATGAATACTCAGGTTAAGCAAGTCAGTGGCATTACTCTTTTGGGCCCCAGCTGCGTACCAGGATTCGAGTATGTGCCATGGTTGGCCCATTAAAAAAATATATATATACAGGGCAACCCCGGTAACTTGAACTCTGAAGGGAAACAAAAAACAGTTCAAGTTAGAGGGAATGTGAGTTTTTGGGGTAAATTTCAGTGAACTTTTGATGAAGGGAATGGAAATTTAGTTCAAGTTAGCAAGGACTGAAAGTTATCTGAGTTTGAGTTATCGGGGTTCTATTGTATTATAATAAATTATTATCCAATAATTGGCCAATCAGGTTGAAAAGTTTCGGTCATATGTTGAATCTGTTGGGAGCCCAGACGTCTGTGCACTGGCAGACTATACTAGCCAACCTTGAATGATGTCTGCGCTGCAGGCAAGTCATAAGTGTGCAGTTGAAATCTTCACAATTCATTCTCCAAAGAGTGGTAAGACAAACACCTCTACAGTGAAGTCTCATTAAAACAAACACTGAGACCAGGGACCCGTTTCTTGAAAGTCACAGAAACTGTATGGAACCATCGTCAAATATTCAAATCAAAATCTAATTAAGAGCTCTGGGTTCCTAGCTTACAAACCACTCCACTGACCATGGGCTAAGTGTGTCACTTTTTGTCTGCCCACAGGTCACCCAAGCTCACTATTAGAACCTGAGCAACTGTACACTTCTCAGCTAACTGGTATTTCAGATGGTAATAACTTTAACTGGTTATTTGCAAAATATTTACATGGCATGGCAATGTGAACTTGGGCTACCTATGCTCTGTAGAAATAGACAGAAGAAAGGCAGGAGCCCATCCTAGTGTACCACCATTGGTTTTCCTGCAAAATGATGTCTGAGGATCGAGTATAGAAATTCCATACTGATGTGTCACTACCCAGATCTGAGTAGTGCTTCTGACGATGGTCTCTCTAACAGAGTGTGGGAGAATATGTTCTCACTGGTTAAAGCAAATTTCCCAAAGTAATATGCAGATCTGGGTTGTGACACGTTATCAGTACGGAACTTCTGCACTCGTTCCTCTGACATCATTCTATGGGAAAACCAGTGATGGCATCGCAAAATGCTTGCTGTTTTCTCCCCTGAAAAAAGATCGCTAGACTGTATTAAATATATTTACCGTTATTGTCTTCAATGGTTTATACTATGACAAACTTGAGATACAGTTGTGATACAATTTTCTAAAGCATTTTTGGGATGAACAAGAGTGTAATAATTACTGAGACTACATTTGTTATATCTGTAAACCACGTGATATAGCTTAGTTGCACAGGTCATTAAATTGTTGAGTTGAAAACCATCCGATCTGTATGATGATGTCATGTGTTGGTTTTGAAGTATACAAATTTTCGGAGCCCCCCTCCTAGCGCAACAGTTTTTTCAGAGCCCCCCCTTTGGGTGTCTAAAAATTTTCGGAGCCCCCCCTCAATATCTTCATCCCCCCACCTTGTCATATTAAATGAACTTTCCCTAACCAATGTATTTCTATTTAAAGCAGATATCTTAACCATAGTTGAAAATGGTCCAGCTGTACTCTTGCCATTACTGCGACCCAAGTAATAGTTAACCCAAAATGACAGTCCTAAAGAGACTGTAAGCAAGTAACCCGATCATGTTCTAAAATTTTAACCTTGCATTAGTTAACCTCCCCTCCGTATTAAAAGAGAGGGGGCCTTTAGGAAAAAAATCAAGTTTGTAAGATATGTCATATATGACGTCCTCAATTACATATTACTTGATGCCTCTGACCAAATTGATCAAGGGCTCTCCTTCACTCGTATGTGCGCTTGGTTCCAGCGGCTTTCGTGTAAAATGATGCGCAGATTTGTGCGCAACAATTACAAAGGTCGAATTTTCAAAATGGATGCCATGGAGCAGGTAATTGCTCGAAGCAACAGGCATTTTTTTCAACGTAATTTTAGAATCGTGACGCCTAAATGATAATGTTGTGCGTGTTTTTTACTCCGCAGAATAATTACGAAGTTTTCAGACGAGACGTTCGTTGTTTTGCTGTCTCTAACGAGGTAAGCCAAACAGAAATCTGACAGTTCGAATGCATATTCTTTTAAGTGGTTGTTTGCCGGAATGCTGTCATGTTCATCGATGCTAAAAACACCTGAAAGAAGCTTTTTGCCAACATTTTTAGTTGTTTGATTATTAAATGTTCGGTGTAAAGTCAGTGTTTACTTCAGTAAGGAAATCTAGCAGCAGAGTCTCAATTAATTTTCAACCTTCCGGGACTCAATTTCGTGTATTCCTAGATCTCCCACTCGGGTTTGTTTTCACACGATATTTTGCTTTCAAGCTTATATTATGTTTGAAAAAAGGAAAGTTTTGGTCTAATATGGGGTAGCATCATTTATTGTCCTAATTTGTGTAAATTTTATTAAAAGCCTCAGGGAAGTAGACGGATTGTGAGAAGCGTGGATGATGATGATGATGATGATGATGAATTGTTAGATGATGAGAATTTGGAAGCTTTACGACTTGCTGCATTGAGGACCATGCGATCAAAAGTAAGAAATATCTAAGTACAAGTCGATTGTTAGGGTATAGAATAGTGTAATCCAGCTGTTTAAGACCTTGGAGCAAATATTTGATCCTCAGAAACATAATGTGAATCATACTACTACATGAGAAATTTCTGCAATTTGATTGGCTTAGAGCAGTGGTATTTCAGCTTAATTTGAAATACCTACATGTGAAAATTACAAAACCTTTGTGGGTAGTAGTATAAACAAATAATAGCATAATTTGTATGTGATATTTGTCATAAATACCACTCGTGATATTTCAAAATTCTCTCAAGTTTCACTCGCCTAACGGCTCGTGAAATTACGTATAACAATTTCGAAGTATCGTTCGTGGTATTTATGCCAAATATCACTACAAATCCTGCTATTACCTATACTAATGGTATGTGATGCACAGATGCAATCAAAATCAAAAGGTATTTCTTTTAGTTACTGAAATAATAGTGCCGGTAACAATTCTTTGTTGCATGCAACTTTCAAATGAACACTGCTCTCAAATAAGCTCTGCATTTGAGGTATGAGAAATTTGATAAGTGAAGTAATAAGTAATTTAACCCTTTAAGCCCTAAGAGTGATCAGCGCCAAATTTCTCCTTGTAATATCAATGCTTTATAAAACACAGTGGTCATGAGAATTGAGGGCCTGATCACACAAGATGAATCTAATTGATACTTCAACAAATTCTGCCCACTGCTTCTATTGAAAACATATAGGGACAACAAATGAGAATTTGAATTTTGATATTAGGGTTGAAAGGGTTAATACGGACACTTTGCACGAAATACATCTGCGCCTCAGCGACAGAAATAAATTACAAACTGATGATTTAAAATCTGTCCAGAATCTAGTCAGGAGTTCTGATTGGTTGAGGTAGTAGTTATTGTTTTAGTTATTTTTTAAGAATGTCAGACAAAAGGTCACAAAGGTCAAATGTAAATGGAATGAATCAACTACAAAAGAGTCAATATTCATGGAACAGAATCTTTTCTAGAGAAGCTTTTAAGATTTGCTGGAACTCATTCATAGAAGAAAACAAAACTTTACCATAATCGACCAGGAGAAACATAAAATTGGACAAATTTCTATTTGAAACCCCATGACTACTGGATTAATTATGTAAACATTGTTTTACGTCATCAGTATGGAATTTCTGTCTCTGAGGCACAGACATCTTTTCCATGAAATGTTTTGCAGGCTACAGTTTATTATTGTTGATCTTTCCTCTAGACCTCTTTTGTGCAAGGGGAATTTAATGCAACAGATGTGGGTGACACAAGGCATGTAAGTCTTGGACGAGAAGACAAAGCTGAATTGCAAATTGTTGCCCTTGAGAGGCAAGACAGCTTATCATCTTCAAGTACAGATTATGAGGAAATTGACTTGAATACTCCACCTCCTGCTGTTCTTAATGAGGATAAGAGGACATTTCCTGATTCAGAGGATAATGACAGTGAATTTGATCAGGATGATTCAGATAGTGAGGAAAAGTATGTTAGTGATTCTCATAAGGAAGAGGAAGACATGTCGGAAGCAGCATTTGGATATGAAGAAGAAGATAAAGATATGAGAGAAGATTCATTAGAGGGCTATAAGGACAGTGATGATGATGCCAAAGACAGTGAGAATTCTGATAATGATGAAGGTAACAGTGATGCTGAAGACCACATTTCTGATGATGTTGACAATACTGGCACCAATGATGTTTTGAGTGATGATGAGAGTTTTCAAAATGAAAATGATCAATATGAGGAAGAGAATGTAGAACATGAAAGTGATGAAGATATCTTTGAAAATACGGAGAGAAATTCTGCTAATGGTGTAGAAGTAGCAGACGATGAGGAACATGATTCAGATAATGAAGTCAACATTTTAAATGACATCAGTATCACCATTGCCAACGAGAGCTTACCAGCAAACTCCTCTGAAGAAATCTTGGATGGTTCTGAACAGGAAAATGATTTAAGAATTTTTCATGAAAGTAATGGAGAACTGATAAATGTTGCAAAGATATTATCTCCACAGCGCATCATTATTAGACAGTCAGAAAGTGAAGATGAAATTGAAAGTAACATTAAAGATGAATTGAACAAGCATAAAGAACAACAGGCAACTACGAATGAAAATGAAAAACCTGTTCCTGCTACAGCAGAAACTAGCCAGTCAGTTTTATCATCTGGCAATGTAGATTCATCATCTTCTAAAATAACTTTATCATCTACTAAGGTAGATCTATCATCAAAGGAAACGCAAGACATTGCTGTTCAGAAAGTTAAAAAAGCTTCTGATTTAAATGTCGAGTGCTCACCTATTGATGTGAAAAGAAACTCAAAACCTTCACCTGTGGAGAAACCTAAAGTAAAATCTACGTTAATATCAACATCTAACAAAGAAATCAAACAGAAAAAGTTGCCACTGGAAAATACAGGAAACAAAGCAAAGGAACCAGTGAATGAAAATCAAAAAATACAGAGGGCGGATAAGAATACTTCAGGCAAATCTGATGGTAATAAGAACAAAATCACTGTTGATAGTAAAACAGAAAGATTAGAATTCAATGTAAAGAATGACGATAAGGATGAGATGGATTTTGACCAGTTGAGTATTGAAGATGAAGACAGTGATTTTGTTGAAGAAGAAGAGAATCTACCAACTGTTAAATCTAAGGTGGGTTTAAATAAAATACCATCGGAAGGCTCCAGAACTAAAAGGAGTTTGTCCAGAGAAAACAACAGAAAAAGGAGACGATCTTATTCCCCAGAAAGATCTAGGTTTTCATCACGTTCATATCAAAGTCATTCACTTTCACATGACAGACTGCGTGATCAGCGCTTACGTGGCAGATCTAGGGAAAGATTTCGCCGGAGGTCACAGTCACCTTCACACAAAGACAGAGCATACAGGAGAAATTATAACCGTCATGAAAGAAGCCGGAGCAGGGATAGAGCACTAAAAAGGATTACTAGTGATGTTGGTAAAAACAGAGAAAACAGACGTTATCGTTCTCGTTCAAGGTCAGGTTCTAGACAGAAAAGTGGAAGAACCGTTGATAAAGACTCAAAAACAGATGGGAACATGCAGATCTCAAAGAACAGTGTAAGGGTCAGTGACAAAGGACGACATAAAACTAAAAAGGAACAGGATGCAAAGGTGACTGTAAAATCACAAAGGAAAGAGATTATGGCTCAAAAAAATGGTGACAGGGAAAAAACTGCAAAATTGACAGAATCAAAATCCTTAAAGACTTTTCCGCCTGCAAATGATAGTGATAAAAAGGTGTCAAAGCCTTCAGCTGTTAAAGCAGCAGAGGTCAAAATCAAGCAGTCTAAAGGTGTGTAGAGAAATAATTTATTTTATTTTGTTTCACTTAGGCCCGGTTCAGACGCCGCTCCACTCATGTGCCGAACCTAACTGATGAATTAAGTACGGCAAAAGAGTGGCATCTGAATCAATTTGGTACGGCAGTTTTAGTTTGGTGCGGCAAAAGCGTTAAGTTCAACAGAGTCTGTCAAACTTTTGTTGAACTTAACTTAGGTTCGACACACGGTACGCCATCTGAATCAGATGTTGCACCAGTGTTGCTCCAAAGTCGAACTTATTCAGTTAGGTTTGGCACATGAAAAGTACGGCCTCTGAACCAGGCCTTATTCTTCTTAGGCTTTTTTTACCACTGGTCTACTTGCCCAGCACTTCAAGACTTCCATCTGCCAGGGGTTTCAATACCCTCTGCTTCACCTTCATCAGGACCACTCACAAAAATACAGTAGAACCCTGGTAACTCAAACTCTGAAGGGAAGCTAAAAACAGTTCAATTTAGCAGGGATTCGAGTTAGTGGGGCCAATTGTATATTCAACATTCCATGTTAACAATCAATAGTTTACTGATTTTTCAGTACTTCAGTATACGGTACAGTGCAAGTTATATTTATCTCATCAGAAACTGTGAAGTGATTATGCATTCCTATTACAATCACCCAGTATACATGTTCCTCATAAGTTTGAGAAATGACTGCCAAATACATCTGTAATAAATCTATTCTTTGCAATAATTGAAAGAGATTGCTTAGTGAATGTTTTAGTGTTTTGACCAATTACAAGACAAAAAGAGCTAATGGATTAGCATCAGTGGTGAGTTGTAAGAGCCAGAATCTAAGTTACGCGGGTAAACTTTGATCAAGGTAAATGAAATTTGGTTCAAGTAAACGTTAAGGAATTTGAGCGGTATCACAGAGGTTCAAATCCCAGCAAGCCAGAATTGTTTCAGGCTTTCTTTTCGCACCTGCATAAATTGCATGTTAAATGGCAATTATGATCTTCTTTGCATAAATATATACTAGTATTATATCAGGCATGTTTGGAAATACAGCAGTGTGGCAATCCTTATTCAGGAGCTAAGTTACTGAAATATCTTATGAAAAAATGTCCAACACCTTAAGTAAACTCTTCAGTCATCATCCCTGTTAATGGTGTCATTTGTTATTAATTAATTAATTTATTTATTTATCTTGCTAGATCTGAGATCTCGACTTAAGGTGAAAAAACTGGACCAAGATGAAGATGTTACCCAGAAAACTGCTCAAAAGAGCTCTGTCAAACTTGTCAGGGAAAAAGAACTTGATGAGCGGATTCAGAGAATCAAGCAGCAAAATGAGGTAATCCTCAAAAGAGCTAAGGAGGTTCAAGCAGAAAAGTTAAAATTCAGTTGACATTCTCACAGTACAGTTAACTCTCTCTAAGGTGGACACCTTTGGGACCTTCACTAAGTGTCTGCCTTAAGGCCGATTTAGACAGTACAATTTTTGCTCACGACTTTCGTGCATGACTAGCATGCGTCAAGACTTTGAACCATCCACACATGTGCAATTTTCCCTTACAACATCCGCAATGTGTCGTACGAATGTCTTGGGTGTCAGTCATGACCCATGCTAGTCGCGCACGGTAGTCTTCAGCAAAAATCGTACCGTCTGAATCGGCCTTTGGAGAGATGTCCATCTCATAGAGAGTCAACTTTTAAAAAGGATTAAAGAAAGGCAGGGACCAACTCTGCCATAGGTGTCCATTTTAGCGGGGTGTCCGTTAAGAGAGAATTGACTGCAATATTATTAATTTTTGTATTACCTAGACAATACTCTCTATTTTTAAATGTCTTGAAAAGGGAAGTAACTATAGCTTTAGAGACAGACCATTATTTTTTTAGAGGGGGAAGATGAATTTTTTTGGAGTTACAATGATCTCTTTGTTATTGTTGTCTATCCAAACTATTTTTTCCAAACTGTATCATTCTGCTAATAATAAACTATTTTTCCTGTTCAGTCAGTGATATCAGTTGGTTATCAATGTATAGCAGCACCTTAGTTACACAAGTGTTGTTGCAAGATTGATTTAAAATGTGCAAAAGGTCTTACAGAAAAGATACTAGTTAAAAATTAATCGTGGACCACTACAAGACTTTCATCAAGGAATTATGACACAAAAAGTATCTACAAACTGTCTTTTGTTCTACCCTCGAACAGAACTGTGTTTCAGCTATTCTAAGGTGTGTTCAAGAAGATGTTGGTTTTGTAACCTGAAAGAAGTTATAACTGAACTGAATGCGTTCTGGTCTGCAATCTTTTTATTTTCTTCTTTTACCTGTAAACAACATATCCATTTTTGTTTACTTTTGCAAAATATAATTTTTTTTCTTTCAAGAATTTTCATCCCCATCCAACAACAACCAAAAAAATGGTCTGTCCTTCATCATTCTTTGTATTGTCAGGAAACACTCTTTACTTACTTCAGATTGTCATGAAGCTTGTCACATACCTAGACTTGTGTTTTTCAGTCAACTTTCTTTAAAAGCTGACACCTTTCTGTCTCATAGAGGTGTCTCTTAAGAAAGAGTCGACTGTATTAGAAACAAAGAACTTGCTGTTAAAAAGCTGGCGGCAGTGGATGACATTCTGTTATATATGTATTTGTTTTTCCTTTGAAGAAATACGGCCGTAATTCATTGTTTGTAGAATGCTACTTCATCAGTTTTGACTGTTGTGTTCCTTAAGGGCTTTACGTTAAGTAGATGGTAAGAAAATGCTAAGGCTGCAGAATACCTAATATAAAGCCAGGTTATCCATAGCTCAATATTTTTTTAACCCAAAATTTATACCAAGTTTAAATCCAATTAGAAGAACATGGTGACATTCACTTAAAGTAGTGTCAAACCTAGTTTGTCCTTCCCTCTTACTATTAATGTAAAGAAAAATCAGCTGCACTCTATTTTGTTGCCCATAAAGTCTATGAGAAAGGAAGGCAGAAACCGGGTGATCATGTTAAATATTTTTATGAGTTCTAGTACAGTAAATTGGCACATAATTCCTGTAGTTAGCATGTTACTGGGTGGTGGCTCGTTATTTTGCTACAATAAATTTGTCACAGTGTTTGAGATCTTGTCTACATTTTGAAAGGGGGCAATTTTTGCAGTTTTCTTCTTGATTTCAAGTCCCTTTTTAAATTCAGCTCGGCATTTTCATGAATGATCCGCATTGCAACCAAATACCTCACTTATCCTCCACTCTCCCCTCCCTCGAGAAAAAAAAAACCTGAAGGAGGTAGGGGTGATTTGGGACTGCCTTAACCTCACCAGACCTCCCTCAAAAGCTTGCTTGAGGAAGAAGTTAGTAAATGAGTGAAAGCATCCTCTGATGGTTCGCGTCTTGTTGGGTAGGTTTGGTTGTTATGATAGACCCTGGCTTGGGTGGGTACACCCTTCCTTAAAGGCAACTACGACCCAAATTAAATAGACCCGGTCCATTACGGGGGCCCATGGACCCGGTCCAAAATGGGGGCCAGTCCATGGACCCCAGGTCAGTCCCATGTTTGTCCTCACCAGCGCTACGCAGAGGGCACGAGCAAAAGGCACTATCCAATTGACAAGAGAAAATCGGCATCCCCTCTCTAGTATATTAGATTAAGGCCCGTTCACACCTTGAAAATATGCGTGCTACGTGTTGCACAATTGCTTTAATGCAGCGCATCTATCCGCTCCTGTAATATACAACCCAAAGAATCTCCTCATTGCGTGCGACTTTCAATCCATAGCCAAACAAATTTCACATCCAAATGTAGCCGTCGGACAAAGACGTCGCCGGTCTCACCTTGGATAGCCACTTAACTATGTTGCCAAAACACTGCACGCAATATTATTGACAACTGATTTCGCCATGTTGATCCTGTGTTTGGGCAACTCGAAAAGGGACACAGCGCACAGCCTCAAATACGACTCATAGTATTACACGTGAAGACAATTCTTTTTATTGAAAAACTCTCTCTTTAAAATACCATCTACTTCGAGTTGAAGCTTGTGTAACGGGTCACTGTGTACTATAGCTAATTACAGGATTCCTTTACAAATATCGAGATATTCTGAGTCACGCTTTCCTTTGTAATTCCTTGGACATAATTAATGACATTAATTTGTTTCCATACTAGTCGCTTACACCTTGACACAGCTTTTCACGTAACGAACAAATGTATTACTATAACCGAGGTCAAAAGTGTTGGGACCTTCCCAATGATATTAGTAAAACTGGCGACCTCCCCACTCTGAACCCAAACAATTTTGAATTTTGAGCCAAATGGGTAGAAATGAGTCCGTTTGGGGTCACAACATTGTCATGGGGGGAGGGGGGAAGAGAGAAAAAGGGATTAAAAAAATTGTCATTAGGAGCAGAGTCCTATGTGACAGTTACTTGCAAGGGTTTCTCCATCGTGTCCCAAGTTCTTTTGGCCTCCATTGTAGCGAGTATCAAGACTAATCCTTTCAGTAAAATTCTACCGTATAACCACGCAAATACAACCTACCTGCAGACAGCACTTTCGCATGATACTTTTTGTTCTTGCAGAATTTTCAAAAGGAAAGCTATGGTTTACTTCAGCTTCATTTCAAACCCAACCCCCTTCCCTGCCCCCAACACCCCCCCACAATACTTTTGCCTATCACTACACATTAACGAGCGATAAGGGCATAACTTATGATTATAAATTTACGGGAAAAACGTACATTTTGGTCAAGTTTCAAACAAAGAAAACCTTCTCTTGCCCCAAGAAACCTCGCGCGGAACAACTAGGCGGGGAGATTACACAGCGTGCGCCTAAACACTCCATTTCCTGCGTTTTTTCGTCTAACAAGTCTTTGATTGCATGACCAATGTTGGAAATCCGAATTTTCAAGCCTTTTAGCCTTCTTCTACAACAAAATATTCTAGAAAAATAACCAGCTAAACTTCTAAATAACCAGTCACTCGTTGTAGTTTACAAAAAGACAGAACCCGCTGTGGAAAAAAAAAATACGTACAAAAGTATACTATACTGTATTAAATATCGATATCAACCTTGTTCGCTCCTACAGGCAAACTTTCAGGCCCGTACTTGAATTCCACATAGTGAGAAGTACTGTGATGAGGTAGTGTTTATCTTTTTCTGTAGAAGATGGTTCTAACGTCGGAGTCTGTGAACATTGAAATGAAAGCTACTGATCAGTACTTTACTCGGATACTGTTTATTATGCAGCAAAAGTTGGTTGTAAATTTTCCGTCCGTCGAGGAAATCCTCGACAGTTCTTTCGCGTGGTAATATTGTTACTTCAGGTTTCAAAACATGAAATTTAGGATTTGGAATTTTGATTTGAGGCACTTACAGGAGTGGCCAGGGCCACAGAAGAAACTTAATTAGCGCTGAAATCCTTGGGCTTTCACCTGCCAATCAGGTTGAAGGAAAATTCGCTGGGGGCCAAGCGCTGCTTCACAGACGTTACTAACAGGGGTTAGATTTCGACTACGACGCAGGCTATTACAGGTGTAGAAAGTCTCTATAGGAGGAAAAAGGTTGAGATCATTTACAGAACTACTTCTTCATGATTCTTGGCAGATTCTCCTGCCTCCTTTCGGAATGCATTTTACCGGTGTCCAGTAAAAGTTTAGTCTTTCTTTCATCGATCCAGGTATAATCACTCGATTTAGGCGACGTACTGGTTATCAGGAGAGGACTGGACGCGTGAGATGAATCAACCCCCGCAACTCTGACATAGTTAAGATTTCCTTGTGGAGGTCGTGACATAACATTCACGTAGGACCTATCAAAGTGCCCGATATTTTTATACGAGGGCTGCGCGCCAGCCACGTTTGCGTACGAATGGCCAGCGATATTTTCAAAACTATGGCTTCGTGACGGGTCATCCGTGAAGACATTTAGATATCCCGGATGTGACGGCATTAGCGACTCCACGCTGTGATAGATCGAATCGTCGTTCCCATCATACATTGCATACGGATTCAGTTTTGATCTATTACCTGCCTGAGAACCCGTTACACTGCGGGACCGTAAGCCACCTGGCTTACTTCCTTTAACATTAACGTAGTCAACGATCTTGGGAGAATTGACATAGAGGTGCTCTGCGCTTCCCGCGGTAGACATTGATGGAAGATTTAACTTAGGCGGGGCTTTCATGCCGCGCCGAGAAGAAACACTGGTCGATGTGCTATTTTTCATATAATTCTCCTTTTTCTCGAATATGTCTCCGTTCACATAGTCTACACTTGTAACAACTTTCTCGCTTGCGTTGCTTCCATTGCTGTGAACATCAGATTTCATTTCCTGTTTTTTCGGAGCATCTCGCTCATCGTTGACTATGCTTTCTTTTTCTGCACTCTTTTTCTCCTCCGTATCGTCAGTTGAAGTAACCACGATCTGACACTGCACATCTCCATTACTATGTTGCTCCGTTTCAGATGGCTTCCTCTCTTGTTGTTCGCCTTCAGCTTCCTCGGCGATGACCCCATTTTCCTCACGTTTTTCAGAGGCCGAAGAAGATGACTTTACTCTCCCATTTTCCGAGCCGCGGGACGTTCTTCTCTGGGAAGCCGCCTCGGAGTCTGCTCTTACTTTTTCAAGAAGCTCTTCGTCCCGCCCTTCAACCACAACGTATCCCTCCACTTCTCCTTCGCCACCTTCATCGATCTTTTCGCTAGTGCGCACTCCTCGCTCCTCCGATTCTCTCCGCGTAGGACTGCGCGCACCACTGCTACTTCTACTTCGGCGGACCTGATTATCAGCCGGCATCATTACGTGATACCCCTCGGGTGTCACCCCCGCAATATTCTCGTAGCCCGGGAGAGGGCTTTTGGGCTTTTCTTCCTCGAATACTTCATTTAAACCGGGTTCGTTGCTACTGCTTGCACCAAAGTACGCGGGCACGGAAACGTTTCTTCGCATAGTAGTTTGGCCGTTTTCCGGTGGTGATGTTTGCTCTCCAGTTTCAGCCCTGTTTTTCCCCCGAGTAGGAGAGGGCACGCTTCGACTACGCTGCCTGCCACCTTTGCGCCTTTTTGCGCTCATTCTGAGCCATGCCCGTTTGAGAAAGTTGGGCTGTGATTGACTTTCACCTTTACTTGTACTGGGCTGGGTGGTTTCTGCAGGAAAACAAAGTAATTGATATTACCTTTACTAGCCTGAGAAACAGCCGACATTTCGCGAAGACAGAAAAAATGAAATGACGTCAGAAATGACATCGAGGAAAAAGCACAGAAATTCCATACTGATGACGTGTCACTTCGCTGGTCTGAGTAGTGCTTCTGATTGGTCATGCCGCAAGGGAACTTTGATTCAACCAATTAGAAGCAGACTCAGATCTGGGTAGACAAACGTCATCAGTATGGAATTTCTGCGCTCGTTTCTCAGACATCATTTTGCGGGGAAACCAGCGGTAGCATCGCGAAATGTCGGCCGTTTTCTCAGTCTAACCTTTCCCAGAAATGATCACAATCTTCATTATTTATATAAAAAAACTTATGATAATGCGGCAGACTGATAAATTTCTTCATTGTCATCTCGTGATCATTATCGTTATTGTTTCGTGCCTATAGTTCATCATATCATTTTTACCCTGGCTTCTTCATTTTTGATTTTGAGATCAAGCACAAATGTAACGGTGCTCTTTTAAAAGCTCCAGATAATGCTGAAGAGTGGTCTATTCTGAGGACTCATTATATTACCGGTGGCCACACTGATGACTGTATCCCTAATCTAGCCCCATCCTCTTAGAAGCTTAACCCTTTAAGTCCCAATAGTGACCAAGATCAAATTTTTCCAAACAATATCCATACACTGTCAAGAGATAAGTTTTGAGAATTAATAAAACGATCACACAAGAGAAAATGCCTTGATCTATAATCAAATTCTCTCAACTCATTCTTTAAGGAAATGTAAAGAGATAACTTTGGAGAATTTGTATGTGGATACTGGGGCTTAAAGGGTTAAAGAAGAGAGCTAGCCATACTTCTGATGGGGATCGAAGTTGTCAAAAGGACGTGCCTCTGCTGTAAGAGACTCCAACTGAAATTTTGGAGTTCCTTCTAAGGCAGTCTGTTTTATTTTCCAAACAACTTTTTGCCATCAAAGTCTTTACCATCTAAGAAGTATATAGGCTCGATTACCAGCCACTACTCGGGAAATGAGCCCGCGCTCTAAAGAAGTATACCGTAAACTTTTGCTTATAAGCCCTGGGCTTATTCATCTTTGTAAGGGGTTTTAGAAGGGCTTATAAATGGAAGGGATTTATAACCAGAATAAAAAAAGTGCTTCAAAACAAGCTATAGCAGTGCTGATTACTGCCATATATTTGCCTCCATCACAACAATTGATGATTCTTGCAAATTAAGTTTCAAAACGTCATAACAAATTGAATTCAAGAAAAGAAAGCTAGAGGAGACTTATATCTGGGGAGGTTATAATTGGATGTATTTTTTGGGGTTTACAGGTAAATGGGTCTATAACTGGGGGGGGGGGAGTTTATAGAGTAGGGGGGAGGCTTATAAGCAGGAGATTACAGTATGACCACTTAATTCTACCCTCTAAAATATCTACCTGTATAAGATTCTTGCGGCAGCATGGCCTCCCCTGCTCTACAAACACTGTCAAACAAGGCTTGTATTTCCTTTCCAGAACGAGTGGCAAAGAAATAAATCACTGATTTATCTCCAGTCGCAGACTCTGGACCTGCCTGGAAAGCAAAGCCTCCCTCTACTGCTCCATATTTAGGCAATGACGTTAACTTCCATTGACCAATAAGGCGATAACTGTCCTTTTTTGTCAGAGAAAAGAAGGTGGAGTAAAAACGAAGATCTGCTTCACCAGACTTGATCTTCTGTTTGTGTGGCACAATGCCCTGAAATGACTTTTCTGAAAACAAGACAATTTCACAAATGAATTTGGAGTTTCCAGTCCTCTAACCAACCCAATAGGCTCAATTCTATTACAGTGGGTTTTTTTCACTGCAGTTGAAATCATGTTGCTGAGTGATATGAACTTATCAGAATTTATAGAGGTATGAAGCAACAAATTTACATGTACGCAGGCTCAAGGTGTCAGGGTGCAAGGATGTTAGTTATAGCTTGCCATTCAGGCAAGCTGTAGCTAGTACATATTACACACAGTTCTTCTGTAACTTCAATTCCCCCCCCCCCCCAAAAAAAAAACAAATCCACCAAACCCAGTAGCAAAATCCCATAGCTGTGGAATAGTCTACCTGTTGAGCTGCGGCATGTGCGAACTCCTTCCTCAATAACAAATTTTGGACGTCTGATGCAACAGCAATCATGTAAAGCAGTTACATTGTTTCCTTTGTTGTTAGAATCTTTTTATTTAGCTTTAACTAGTTAATTTCTAAGAGTAGTTCACTTCGCTTCATGATTTTTAACCATGTTTTGTATTGTAAAGAAACCAAAATGTTTAAAACCTTTTTTCGAATTTCAATAAAAAAAGGGGTTAGAATTTAAACTATAGCATAGAAAACTCCAAATTCAATTTTATCCAGGAGATTTGGTGACCCATTCAGGAGACTGGGAGAGTTGTGTAGTATCTGGGAGACACTTGGATAATCTGTGACAGTTGGCATATAAGCATGAACAATATATTGCAAGGAATATACAGCCAGTTTTCATTCAATAGGACATGTCTGGGTCCTGAAACTGATTCTGACACTTTCAGGATAAAAATCTCACACTTATATCATTGCGCTTGCACGTATGCAGTTATTTAGCATCATAAAATCACCTTTTCCATAATGGCCTTGAAGCAGTGCCAGCCATTCAGCTCTCTGATCAATTGTTTCAAAACTCAAAGGAATGACATTATCTGTAGTAATGATAACAATGATGTTGAAGTTCTTGTCCATCTTATTCAGGACTTGTAATCCACTGAATCCCTTGAGGGACAGGAGAGCTTTCTCCTTGTGACGAGCTCCCGCATTTGCTTCTTTGGGGTACAAAACAAGATTCAGCACCTCTGAGGATCCAAGAAAAAAATATTGTTATCAGGGTTACAGTGTGCAAAGGCCAATAGCCTATGGCTGGTGGATTTTGTGATTGGGCTAGTGACTTAGCAGACGAGTAAGTAAAGTTTTTTGGGAAATTCAACTTAAAGAAGAACGGTAATCAATCTTGCTCATCAGACAAAATTTTCAGTCTAGCTGAAATGACTTTTGGGCTAGTACATGCCTAGCTACAGCTTGGCTGAATAGCAAGCAGTATAACTGATCATGACTTTCTTCGTATCCCGGATTATCATTTCACTAAGTTCTAACCATAGTATCATAACCTAGGTTGAACACTGGTTTAATGTGTTAATGGGTTTTAAATTTGGCGGTTTAAACTTCAAGAGATACATCATTGCATTCAAAGTAAATTGAAATCAAATGGGCATCTACCCAGTAGGGTTTACAGCAGGCCAGTGGTCAACAAAAAATAATGAAAAGTGTTCTTATTGTCGTTGTTTTATTTTAAGTCAGGGATGCTCAAAACCAGGTAAGATTTTATATCTATTTTTGAAGGGCACCTATGATCGAGAGAGCCTCCAAAAAGAGCACAAAAATCAAAACACCAAAATGAGCAAACACAGCGAATCTGATGCAATTTATCATTGAACAAAAAAGCAAAATAATCAGTTTATTGGGTGACCTTGTGACCTACTTGCAGCTCAAAAAAATAATTGGCAGACATTAAAAGCTACTGTTTTTCCATTCAATTACTTTGAATCTATTAATTTTGAGCGAAAAGTCATTGAGAGAATAATTCACTCACGAGTGCAATTTTGTGCATTAATGAAATGTAAATGGCAAGGACTTGTTTTATGAAGGTGATATTTTTGCAAATGCCTGAAGCAAACAATATTTAGCTTCTTACGATAATTCTTCCCGAAAACGAAAAAAAGACGTTTATCTTCATCCTCTTTTAAAATTCGCAAGACTATAGTTTTTTAAACAGGCCAATAGAGACTACAGCCAATTTACTGACATCAAAATAGTGTAATACTCAAAGCAAACCTAATTCACCGCAATTATCAACAATCTATATGTAAAGTACAACACGCATAAATTTACTCAATAAAACATTAAGAAAAGACGATTTAAAAAATAACCAAAGCCACTATTCTAGAGTCCTGCGAAGGTTGTCTATCTCAGCATTTTATGTCAACTAATACCGTACCGTACGATTGGCATATATATTTAACCGAGATGAACAAGTACGCTAAGTACATATCAACTCATGCCAACGACTTCAAGAAATTATTCAACGGGTAAATTGTGATATTGTTTTTCTTATTTGGAAAGATCAAGCTACTTACATTAACATTCGTCGCTTTAAAATTTGTTTGGTAAACTGTCGTGATTTCGCACAAGCGTTATACATGTTTCATGAGACGTATCCCAGACCCGGGCTATCAGAGAAAGCGGAAAATATATATAAGGCTTGCACGAAAACTGCACGAAGTTTTTTCCTTGAAAAAAGGAAACCTGCCACGCAAACACTGAAGCTCAGATCACGTCTAAATGTTCGCGAAGCACAAGTGTCGTTTCACCTACAGAAAGCGCAAGGCCTAGTAAAATTGGAATGGAAACACGCGCGCACGATTACTAAAAAAAGACGCGAGGATATTCAGCCCAAGAACTGAAAGTTTAAATACGACTGCCTCGAGGGATGCAGCCAAGATTTCACGCTTTCAAATGTTAAAATGCTAAGATACACAGGAGTTGGCGATGGTTTTGAAGTAAAAGCAAGATTCTTAGCAATATACATCTGCTTGCGGCTAAAGAAACGATCGACAAAAACAAAATGCTATAAAAAGCTATCCGTGTTTAAGTGTGATTATCGTCTCGGAAATTTTATTGATTGCTCAAGCTGCAACTGCACTGCTACTTGTAATTTACTAGACTAAGACTATACTGTAGCCGAAGAAAAACAAAAGAACAATGTCTCAGCGCGCAATGAGCATCAATGACAGCGAATTGAATAAGATGTATGCACGTATCGCGATGGTGAAAGCGAAAATTAAACCATTACAAGAAAAGTAGGGTTTCAGTTGCGTTACCGGCTGCATAATGAGAAATTCGTTTGGTTTCGAGAGGGTGATTACAGTTGAATGGGAACTCAAATCGTACATGATTACAATTTTTAGCAACGTTTACCTGTGGCTGGGTTTACTCTTCGCAGCACAGCCCATCTTGTCTTCCACTGTAATCAAAACAACTTTAGTTAGCCCTAAATCGCGTTTAACTGCAGCTTAAACGCAAGCCTAACCTTTTTTCCCTTCCTATACCGAACTCTTCCCTCGATCAAATCCATGCTCAAATCGACATAATCTCTTTCATCAGCTGCTGGAAGAAGCACAGACAGCCATGTTGAATGATCTTGACGATTTGATGGAATGCGCGCGCAGGGATCTTCCAACATTCCTTCGTGTATTGTTGTGTTGTCAGTAATATTGCGCGCGTCTGCCGATTGTTACGATATTTTTGGAACGCGATCGAACGTACACCGTGTATGTAGATTTAAAATTCAAACGAGTGAGAGACACTTCACTCTCTCTCGAAAACAACGGAAATCTTTGTTTCACATGCAAAGCCAATCCTGACTGACTGCCTAAATATGCTATTTTACAACCCCGCGAAACTTCAAACATCCGGCGGCTGTCCCTGATTATATGAAACATCCGGAACGACTACCATGAGCGTACTTTTGATAAAGGCTTCACATCACAGATACAGCACGAAATCTTTTATTGTAGTATTTTGCTTCATGTTCAAAAGATGTTTATATCCTGATATTGGCTTTGCAGTTCGCCAGGATCTTCTTAAGCCGTCAAGTCTTCTGTTCAGTGCTCATCAGTGATTGGCAGAACACAAAATCAGGTTACATAAACATTTTCCCCTTTAAGCTTACATTCGTTTTCGTTGCGTGGCATTGTTCCGTTATTCCAGTTTCATTCACTATTTTTAGAACATTAGAGTGACCTGAAAAAACGAAAAACTGAAAATGCACGTATGAAGTTGCAACCAGCTGCAAATGGCAGTTTTAATAAGACCCCTCAGATTTAAAAGGTAACTTGCAAACGAAACTATCAACCACATAGCCCACAAATTACGTCACGGCCTTTTAAAATACACCCACGTACTGAAAAATCACGGCATAAAGGTAAATTTTACGGTGAACTTAACGCAAAAATAACAACAAGGTAAAAGGTTAAGTTTAAAACGAAACTGCAATGAAATCAAAGTTTTTCAACAGGCCTTGTCAAAAACAGCTTAGAGAGTCCATGAATTTTCCTTCAAACTTTAGAACAAAAAGAAAAGGAATAAACTAAGCTTTGCAAAAAGTGGGTGTAGAAAAGAGCCGGATTCTAATATTTAACTGGCGAGGTGGCTTAACAAAAGTGACAATTTCCTAAATCACTCAAGCGCAATGGAGGCGGGGGCTTGAACATTTTACACTCTAACATATTAAACAGTTTAGTAAAATCACACGTATGGAATAATTAAACTTCCGATTCCAAATTGGATGTAAAAGTGTTATTGTATAGAGTCAAACCCCGCGCTTTACGAGCACTCGCTTACTACGGATGGACACCTCGTTATTATGGACAGTTTTCTTTGTCCTTAGGGAAAGAAAGCCCTTATATTTTCTCTATAATAAGGACACCCCGTTAATAAGGACACTTGCTTTCTATAACCCCTTCATTGTCCTTATTAACGGGGTTTGACTGTAATACGTTTTCGCAGTCTAAATCCACTAAACACTATTTGTTTTGCTTTGTTTATATTGAAATTGGTATCGTGTACAGCCGCCCCTTCTCCGTCGAAAAAAAAAAACAATCGGAAAGAGGCGGGTGTACACTGGCTAATTATAGGGACCTCAAGCAACGAGAGCGTTGGCGTCCTGGACGACACAAATGGCAAACGGAAGTTGATATTTTCTCTCTTTCAGTGCTCTGACTCGACAAATTCGTACAACGGGAGTTAAAACAAAGGCATTCAGATTCGTTGTATGGTATGAGACATCGAACTTCCGGTTGCTATTCATGACGTCCGGGACGTCAGCGTTCTTGTTGCTTAAGCTCAGTATTTACACTTTAAATAAACAAAGTTATTGTTACCAAATATACTGGCCATGGGTTATAATCTGCCGCAATCTTGTCAATGGTAAAGACGCTTTTTGCTCCTGTTGTTAAAGTCTTCAAACAAGAAATAAGGGTGTGAAAAGCATTACATGTTCTTAGAATATTTGAATTTCACCTCTTTGAAAGACTGCAGCTAACGTGTAACTGTGAGGCATTTATTCAGCAAAAACGTATCCCAGTAGCTTGATGACTCCACAGTTTTTAATTAAAACTTGATCTTCACCTCCTGACTGTTGACTTAAGGCCCGGGGGAGCCCCGAGGGTCCAGCCCCTCCAGTACCCATCCATACTACCATTTTCGACAGCTTCTATTGACAAACGGTACCACTTTCATATCTAGTGTTTAACGTTGCATCGTTTTTAACGGTTCTTAATCCCCTGGTTTTTAAATATGAACAAATCAATAAATCATATACATTTCTTGACTTTTTCAAAGCTATAAACTGCATCTATTAGCCTCTTTGGGTCTTTTGACAGACCGAAATGACAGATTTCCCAACTTTTCATTTACTATATAGCAGGCGTCCCTCTCTCCCAATCTCCTTTCCCTCCCCTCCCTAATATGCCTTGTGCGCCTGCCACGCAGGCCCCAAGGTATGATTTTTTCGACCAACTCTCGAATCTAAGCCAGCATGTCCCAAACTGCGTCATTCTTAACGTAATGAAACAAAAGGTCGTATATTTTGTCTGGCCGTATTGTCCTAAGAGGTTCTAAAACAATGGTTGTTGTACTATTTTGGCTGGGTAGTATGTTAGACCTGTTTTTTCTATAAACAGGGTCCTAATTTCAGGGGCACTTTACTCCTTTGACACTACAACTGTATAGAACCACCTTGAATATATCTGGAAACCGCAAAATACCGTACAAGAAAACTCTGAAGTTAGGACTGCCTGGTAGGAGTCAGGATAAACAGTACGGGCAATACTGTTTAGTGAAACTGAACGATTTCTGACATCAATATTTACGACCGCACCTTACCAACATCGCACTACAAGCGTCACTGGGACAAGGGTTTCATTTCAGTATTAAAATAACCTTTTACTAGAAATATAGTGGCCGGCATAGGCCGGCGGGCAAGTGAAAATCAAGTTTGTTCTCTCTCGATCTCTTGAACATAATTATAAAGTTAAGTGCCGCCGTGATTCAAATTCTGACAAACATAAAAATAATAATAAAAGATAAACAATGAATAAATAAAAGAACTGTCGCTAGCTTTTGCGATGAAGTAAATTTCGGGGAAATAAGGAGGAGGCGTATATTCCACGAGGATTTACGATATTACTGCACCCCTTTCCTGACTCTTATAGGGCGTGTCCAGCGTGTCCAGTATCAAAGGGTCCTGATAATGATCAGGGGAAATACTTTTGTTATAATTGCACGTATTTCACTCCAATTTCTTAGGGCGCCTTCCTTTAAGACAATCAAAGATTACCGGTAGATTGCTGAGTAAGGTTTCGTTTCGACGAAAAAAGAAACTAGAAGTCCGAAAATGGGTTCTTTTGCAATATCGGCAGGATGCACATTTTTAAAGGAAAACTGCTTGCGAGGATCACGACATATTGACAACAAAATTAAACTTTTTTGCCAGCAGCCTAGCGGTAATTTTCGTTGATTTCAAGTCCTTTTACAATATCTCCTTTTCCTTAATTTTAAACATCCCTAACCTCACCCCCTTATTCTTGTTCATAAGAAAAATACTAGAATCGATCAAAATCTTTCAAACATGGCACCAGTTCACAAAGGCATCTTAAAGTCTGAGTCAAGTCCACCAGATTGGTCTCCTTTAGGATTTAAATTCGAAATTTCTGACAAGCCTCCCTAGCTGTTCCCATCATATGGGAGTCAAATCCCCCTCACCCCTCTTGGGGATTGAGCTTTATCACCGGTAACTTGGTCGCTGGTTCACGCGTGAGCAATACTCAGTATTGAGAAAATCTCGTACTCATAGTCGTCCGCTTCTCAGAATCTAAAGCTCTCTAATGCTCTTGGACGAGTGCCCGCTCTAAAAGTTTCAGATGGACGTTTTGGGATTACTGGCTCTATAATCCTGCCCAACCACTAACCCGCCCCCCCCCCCCCCAAAACCCTTTCAGTCTGAGTTTCATGCAAACAAGGCTCCCCTAAGTAGTTGATGTTGCAAGAGAAATGTTGAAATGGTGAAGTTTGTAGGATTCATCTTACTCTTTGACTAGGAGTAGGGGACAGCAATAACCTTGATCATTTTCATTTTGCTATCCACTGCCTCTTTAGTCCTGCAAATGACACTATGGCAGTTTTATCTTGTTCTGATGTTGTGTCAAACGTTTTAAATAAACATATCAAGCTGCGTTGCTTACGAAACATCTACAAGTGCTTTGTGTCAGAGGGTACCCTGCAGCCACTGCAGCCTTAACAATGCCTTAGGGCCACAGTCTATTGCTTGCTCAAAAATAAGACATCAACCACTTTTTCATTACCAAGTTTTAATTTCAGTTATGTGGTCAAAACCTCGCTAAATCTCTTTTTGTTGTTAGCAAACACTGACATATGACAGGCTTCACAGATTAAGTTAATTTATCATTCATTCAAAACGTTTCTCCGTTTCTGATTGGCTAATTAAGCACACGCATAATCCACCATAACCAGCTACTGTTGACCAAATTTGCAAGAATTTTGCGATTAATCAACCAATGACATCAAAAGTGTAGCACAGTTGCAGGTTAATGCACTGTTAACAGGGGTGGATCTAGGGGGAGGGTGCAGGGGGTGCACCCCCTCCCCCTCCTGAGATGACCTGCAGTTTTCTAATACAACTGGTATTCTGCAAAAAAAAAACTATGTGGTTTATTAGTGTTGAAGTAGAGCAAGAGACGAGTGCACCCCCTCCTAAAAAAAATCCTGGATCCGCCCCTGCTGTTAACCAGAAAGACCTGGGGACGAAGTTGAGTTGTTTTGGTTGTTGTGAAAAGAAAAATGGCCGAACAGTCGGCAGTACATTTTACTTGTCTCACTACCAACTATTGTCTAAAAACATGGCAAGAAGACAACTCAACGGACAACATCTGCTACTTGGAGTATATTTGCAGACCTGAACAGCCCTTTATTTTCTAAACATGCACTATTGAGGTGAACTTAACATTGATGAAGGCAAGTATGTTTTAGCTTGTTTTTAAACTAGGAATTATTAAAATAAAGCATTTAATGAATTCAGCTTTCATAGGAGAAAAAGAATTATGCAGATCTCGGTTGGTGCTATCCACTGAGGCCGATTGAACACCCTCCTCCAACTGCATAATTCTTTATATCAGGTGACAGCCTCATTCATTAGTAAATAATTGCCTAATACTTAGCCAGTTGAGACAATGGTTCCTGAGCTACCTCTCCAACAGATCTCAGCGAGTAGCACTACAGGGTACCTATTCGTACTGGCTACAAGTTACCTCTTGAGTACCTCAAGGCCTCATGTTGGGCCTGGCCCACTACTCTTTCTCGCCTATATCGATGATATTCCCCAATGCATCTAACATGACTCTAAAATCCTAAAATATCAAGGTCTCAATAAGTGTTATCAGCCGATCCGCGAGCCGAATGCTAAGGCTGATAACACTCACTGAGACCTTGATATTTTAGGATATCACAAAAACTGAATCTAATATTTGTTTTATTATACATTCTCTTGAATTGCACAGAATAATGACAAACACTGCATCACAAGGAACACGCGTTGCACTACAGTTGGAAATCATATCATGCATTGGGCGCGCAACCTAAAGATTACTCAGTTGTCTGCTAGTCGATAACTAACTAATCTGTAAGTTGCGTTGATTTCCACAATTAATTGTAGGCTCTTAGCCAATGAGAAGAAAATATAATGAGTATAATCTTATGTATAACAAACAAAAATAATGAGGCCTGGTCTTCCTTGGATAGCCCATTTTATAGCACACCATTGTGTCTAATTTTTTGTATTATTATATGGACAGGAGTGTTTTACTTGAAATTAAAACACTCATAGAATCAATATGACCACTACAGTACATCCAAGAACCAAGTGGTGTATTTTTCCTATCTAACACAAGTGGTCATATTGTGTGGCAAGTGTCATAATTCCTTCCTTATCAAACTTTGCTGAATGAACTTTTTTGGTTTCTTGTTTGGAATTATTAGTGCTCACCAAAGATTCTTTTAGGATATTACTACCGTGGAACAATCATTTAAAATTTTGTGTCTTCTACTGAGAAAGAATTTATGAGCCTTTGTCGGTCAACTTTTGTTCAAAATATCAACCGCTATTCTCCAAGAAAATATCTATGGATTCTGTGTGCTAAATTAAGGGGTATAGAACATTGGTAAATTCAAGACTTTGCAAGACTGCGAGACCTTGGTTTGAAAATTTGAGCCTCTGAGACAAAAAACCACCCAAAATGAGACCCATCACAAACACTTCCGAGATTTCGAGACCAGGCCAAAATTATACAAGGAATTAAAAGACTGACACAAGGATTTTTGCGACTTTCAAACCCAAAGTGTTTTAATCTCTACAATGTCTATTTTAAGCTCATAATTCCCTAAAGGAGACAACTCCAGTTGAGAGAATACTTTTAACTTTTTTAACTTTTTAAACTTATTTTAGTGTCCCTACTTAGTGGTTATACACCGCTATTACAGTTTTGACACTTTAACTAAGGTATCATCACCTATACATTAATAATAACGTTAATGTTTTTAAAAAGGGACATATAACAAATAAGACAAAAATTCGTAGAAAAAAAGGAGCAAAATAAAGCATATTTCAATCATGAATTCTGTGTTGATGAGCATTCAAGTAAATAAACATCAGAATGTACAGATTGCAAATCTGCAGAGATAACCCTTTTCTCAAGAAAGTACAGGGAACCCCACTTTCGGACACTAACACATTAGCTAACCACCAAAAAAGCTGTTATCGGGACGAAAAACCCTTAGTGCAAAAATGCATTTTCACAGTTATACTTGTTTTACTGTCCATATAATAAAAAGAAAATTACATGTAAGCTGAAAGATATGAATTTTATGTTCTCATGGCAAAAACGATAGAGAGCTTAAGCAACAATGACGCCGACTTCAATGAGAACAGCAAAAAAGTAATAGGTTTAGATTAGCAAAACAACAACTTTGCAAGTGCATGACAGTTTTCTGAACATTCTTTGCTGTAACAGGATGACTGTGATGTGAAAATGCCTAAATTCACATTTTGTGGAAAACGTGAAGACAACAAACGTATTTTTCTCTTCCTGAACTTTGATATGTACAGTCTTTTAGAATTCGACTCCAGGAAAAATTGCCAACATTTGACGAACTAAACAAGATGGAATAAGCACGGTAAAGTTTGAAGTAGCACAACAGTATGTTTTCAGTGATGTTTTCGCAGCCGTTGTTGTTGCTTAAGCTCCCTAATATCTCACAAGCGAGCTTTGTTCTTCTCGGTACTCTAACATAAAATTCATATCTTCTTGCCAACACGTAATATCTTCTTTCTATTTGTTTTAATATTGAACTAGTCCAACCTGCATCTAAACACACATGCAGGCTTGGACTTTTAAATAATACTATGCCAGTTTTCTTCAGAACAAACAATTCTGACATATTTTGAACAACAGTTTTAGTTCAAGGACTCTTGACTGCATTGTGTCTGTCTTTTATGACTAAAACAAAGCTTCAGGCGTCAACAACCTGTTTACGAAATACGTGTGCAAACTAGTACACTATAATTATCTTGATCCTTCATAATATGGCCCATTATTAATTTTTATGTAACAAATCAGTCTGCCCATGTCACACACAACCTAATATGCCAAAAAAGTTCAAATATAAAAGATGTTGAAATGTGAATTAATTAAAAGAAATAACGCATATAATTTTTTCGTGAACCTTTCAATCATGTACTGCAACCTACCTAAAACTAACTAAATTTTTCATCAATCCATGTATGCTGAGGTAGAAACTCGGAGAGTTGCTGTGTTAAAAAGTTCCTAGCCATCAAGCAAGCAGCAACACAAGCAAGCCGCACAAAGTCCCCAAAGGAAACATTCCGCCGCATCGTTGTCTCGTCTTTGCCTTTCATCGTAGACATAAACAGTTTTCGGCTGCTCGGTGTAGACATGTTGAGGATGACCATAGGGCTGGTAGTACTGTTGTTGCGGATAAGGAGCTTGTGGAGGGTAGGGATTAGTCGAATATGGCGGTGGAGCTTGTTGATAAGGGCTGCCTTGCTGATATTGTTCAAATCCTACTCCACCGCCTTGGGGAGGTGCGCTGGGATTGTATGGCGGAGGTGCATTTGGGTAACTCATTATTTTTCACTTCCTTGTGGCAAAAATTATATAGTTTTCGTCTTCATAAACGTATGAAAAGTTCAACTCTTGGTCGTCTTATCCAATCTGCGCGCTTGTGTTGTAATTGATTGTTTTGAAAGCTTTCCTGTCGAAATAATAGAATATAAAATAAATAACCACTGAATCTGTAAACTGTGTCACATGAAGCAAACGGCCAAGCATCGACATTCAAAACATCGGTTGGGAAAGCACACTCTCCTTGTGTTTAAATATTTTGAAGTAATGCAGAATTCAGAAATTCGATGTACCATTTTACGGCTCAGGTAATGTATTTTACGATTAAATATGACAGTTTCATGTAAAAACAAAATGCTTACCTTTAAATCCAGCTACGTACCGAACAAAAGATACAGAATAGTCCAAGCACAAGTTACATATGAACACTGTTCCAGCGAAGAAGGATGGTACGTACAAGCTATTTTAGTATTCAGACGTCATATCTAAAATGGAATCACACGATGACGTAGCAGTTCCTAGCTGCATGACATGTACGTGCTCGACCATGTGCTTCCTGTTGTAAGGGCCCGACCATTTAACTCTTGAGGGGAGGGGTGGGTGATTTCTGGTCATCACGATTTTTTTTTTCTAGCAATCTGGTGGGCAGGACATTTTTTCCCTTTTTTTTCCTATAAGCTTTCTATTACAGTTGTGCTGCATGCAATTTTTTTCTTCCGACAAGCGCTTGCAGGAAACTTTTTTTCAAAATCACCCCCCCCCCCTCAAGAGTTAAATGGTGGACCGACTATTTAATTCTCGTAAGTTAAATGGTCACCCTAATTCCGTTTCCTGGCGTTGGTGGACCTGACGAAAACTCTAAGTTTGACAAATTGCGAGTCTACTAAACAGCTGTTTTTGATTCGTCTGGCGTCACTGAAGAAAACTTTTTGATCAAGCCAATTGCTGGTTTTCAGTGTCACGCCATTCAAAATAGATCAAAATAAGAATCAAAAAAAAAAAAAAACCATTCAATAGATAAAGTTCGGAATTCTGGAAAAATGAACGAGATATAAATATACAAATGTTTTCAAATTTAGGGACGGACCATTAGAAAAGATTCAGGCCAGAAGAATATTTTTAGGTCATAGCATGAATATTTTTTTAGGGTTAAGAATTTTTTTTTTTACCCTCCCCATAAGTTTTCTAATGGTCCGTCCCTTATGGAGACTTGTATGGAGACGCCATGCTGGCTGGGCATCAACATGGCGGACGGAAACCGAGAGAAACGTCTCTTGCCGAGTTTTGGTACAAAAGCGCGAATTTATTCCTCGAGGAACTCATAAACATTAAAAATCTCCGAAATCCATGAACTGTTTTTTAACAAATTCCTGAAATAAACACTTTTTAACCAATGTGACAGTCGGGGTGAACTGCCGGTCGTCATGTAAAGGCTTAAAAATTCAAGCGTACTCTATCACAAAACCAAGAACCCTTTTGAAGCGAAAATTTCCATGAAAATTAGTTTTCAGCTGCTCTAATGCATCATGAAAGTAAAATCTCAGTAGGATCGATAGTTATGTAGTTTGAATTTTAGTGACGTCATGTGAAAACCAACAAAAAGTTTCACACATACACGTACATACGGTATGCCTTCCTGGCCAAGCTTTTTCTGTCAAGATGCCTGGATATTGGCCTTTTTTTAAATTTATTTTTATTCATTTATTTTCATTTTTTTTTTAGCCATTCCGAAGTCGAGGTTGATAAAAACGCATGCGCCAAAAAAAGAACGAGGCCAATATCCAATCTCGACCCCTGTGCTTACGCAGTCTGAGCGCGGAAGAGCTCTGGGGTCGAGATTGCGCCAATATCCAGTCATCTTGACCGAAAAAGCTTGATTTATCACATGGTCAAAAACAGAACTTTATATTGTGCAGGGTACTATTGTGAACAATGACTTGTAATTACTGAAAAGTTTTCTCTGAATGACACGGCTTTAAGGCATGACTTGGTTTCGTTCCGTTCAGCAAGCTTGGTTTAGTAAAATATCAAACGCTGGCACGAAGAAGGCCGCGGTGAAGGACCATCAGTTCTGATTGTACATGGCCCGCGCTTGTTAAAATGGAAACAGAAACTGTTTCACTTAAAACAAAAAGGATATCCTGTTTACGATACCTTCGCTGGGAATGAAGTAAACCAGGTCGGGGTTTAAGGTCGGGGTTTAAGGTCGGGGTGAGCAGCCTAGTTTTCCCTCTGCCACACTCACATCCAAAAACTTGCTCCCACGATTCAGACATTCAGACAGAATGGACTGCAGAACAAGAATGAACAAGAATGAAAATTTTACCACTTTGAGTTTGTATCTCCCCCCCCCCCCCCCCCCTTAAGATCTTTTGAAAAGACTGAAACGTTTTGACCAACAGCCTGAAGTGCCGTTGTATTTAACTTTTGTGTGAAGGGCGCACGGCACACCAGGCAGTCTGAAAGCGGAGGTAAATTGGACTGAGAGATTGGGAAGTGCAAAATCTTCAGGAAGCAGGTTACGTATATAATTCTGGCTAATCCGAATATAGGAACACTTTTTCCTTCCTACCTACCATACCCCCACGGAGAGAGAAAGTTAATTGTCCTTGGTCATCCTTTCATATGCCTACTTTCCAGTTCATTAATTCTAGGGACTCAACTACTGAGTTAAAATACAAACGCTATCGGAACAAACTGAATCATCTTATAAAATTGCTAAACGAAAGTACTATGATACAAAATTTGAGAAGGCTAAAAATAACCTGAAAGAAACTTGGAAACTAATCAATGATGTAATCAACAAACCGAGCAGAAAAGCAGCTCTGCCAAATTCCTTTTTTCTCTGATGGAAAACTGTTAAATGATCCACAAGAAATAGCTAACTGCTTTTGTAAGTTCTTCACCAACATAGGTCCGAATTTAGCAAGGAAAATTCCAGACACACAAGTATCTTTTCGTAGTTTTCTTGGCGCTTCTGTTAATGAGTCGCTTATCTTAAATCCAACTAATATTTCGGAACTAAATCAAATATGCAACTCTTTTAAATCTGGAAAGTCGCCTGGATATGATAACGTTTCAATGGATATAATAAAAAGCACCTTTGATCTCATTTCTCAGCCTTTGGCCAATGTAATCAATTTGTCTCTTATTAAAGGAGTATTTCCTGATGAACTGAAAATTGCTAAACTGATTCCGGTATTTAAAGCTGGTGATTCCCAGTATTTCACTAACTACCGTCCAATTTTTTGGGATTCATGGGCTAGCACTTAGCTGGTTGAAAAGCTATTTGTCAAATCGCGTGCAGTTTGTCCAGTACAAAGAGACTTGTTCTATTAGGCTGACTCTGAGCTGTGGAGTCCCTCAAGGTTTCTATATTAGGACCATTATTGTTTGTTTTGTATATCAATGACCTCCCTTGTGCTACTCGTCTTGCTGAAACTATGCTTTTGCAGATGATACTAGTGTGTTTTATTCTAATCCCGATTTAAATTGTGCTATTTCTGCCGTAAATAATGATTTATCTCAAATTGATCTTTTATGAAAGCAAATAAGCTCTCTGTTAACATAACGAAAACTAATTATATCATTTTGCAGCAAGGCAAAAACCAGTCAACTTCCCAATAAATCCTGTGTTAGCACGCACATAATTATAATACTAGAAGTTTATGAAAATATTTCTAAATTCATTCAGTGTCGGATTCTATCTATGCTGACATATTGTAAATAGACGTTGATTTGAGAACAGTCGAAATATTTTTAAACAGAGATAAGAGAGGATGCTCTCCTACCCCTGTTGAAAGTAGGATCAAGCACCAAAATCTGTGAATTATGCAAATATTTTTTAATCATATGACGGATAATATATAAATTTAAATCTTGATACTAAAAATAAAGATGCAATTTAAATGTAAATTTTAACACGACTGACTAGCTTCTTTCACAGCCCATTTGAAAACCACTTAACCGTAGGGTTCCTTCAGATTTTTCCCTACAAATCAATGGAATATCTTGGGAAGGCAAACTGAATTATTGCGTGTCTTTGACAAAACGTTAAAACATTAAAAAATGGTGGTAAAACAGTATCCAACCCGCTGCTTCCTACGGCTATCCTGCTACCACAAACTAAAGTTTATATGAATTCAACCATGACAAACCACGATTATGTCAGCGCCAGAAAACCGGCGCCTTGTATTGTTTTACAAGAATTGACAGATTGTGTCTTATGACAAGAAAAATTGTAGTTAGTGTACTTGCAGCCAGTCATTACACCTAAAATTCCACCTGATTCCCAAACTCTATACATAAATAATGAGGGAACTTTATAGAGATTTTTTGATTGGTCCCTTGCCAAAAGTTCCCGTCACTCGAGGGTTTATACATCGCCGTACGTAACCATCTTGACAGCCACACTGATTCGCATTGCGGGGTTCAGGAAGGTTTAGGTTTTAGTGGCTACAGTCGATCATGGTTATTATAGTGGCTTGACTTCTCCACTGAGATTTTTTATCATGAAGGTAGTTACGCCCATGATGTTTTTCCTGTTAAGGCTTTTGCTCTCGGATGTTGAAAGCAATGGTAAGGTGTTTTCTTTTTTCATAGTGAGGGTTTATTAAAGAGATGTCACAACAGCTACAGTAAAGAAACTAAAATAAGAAAAACACTGACAACGCGGTACGTCCAGCAACTAGTTCTTTGCCGGACAACAACAACGTCTTATGGAGGACGTAAATAAAGGACGAAGAAGTTTTCTGCTTTTTATATAAGGTCCTCAAGAGTCACCTACAAAATTGATGGAAATATAATAGCGAAAAGTTTGAAAGAACTGGGAGAATTCAATTTGTGAGTGACGTTTTTGTATGGTGACAAGGAAACTAGGCTAAATATTACATTCTCAGTCTTAATTTTGAGTTTATAAAGAAATATATGATAAAATAAGCACTCTTTTGTCGTTAATAGACATTGTGTTCTTGTAGCCAGAATAACGGCTGAATTAGAATGCGTGAAAAACACAATTCTCCCTTACTTCACTCGCAGCCAGTTTTATATCAGAGCCGGTGTATATCTCTTACAGCCCTTTTCTGAAATCTACTTACAGCCCAGAAACAATCATTTAGATTAACAAACACAATGATAAAATGTATTTGAATGAAAATATGGAGGCAGGTGCTGATTCCTTAGCTCGAGGTGCTATAATGTTTATCTAAAGATTTCTGCTTGCTTGTGGCTGAAGACGGTCCGCATGACTCTATAGCAAGAAAAAGTAAATAATGCATATACATATATATGTATATCACACTGAAACACAAGAAGGGAGTGATGATTTGTTTTTCGCTTTATCGTACTCCTCCCACGTTTCTGTGTTCAAATTATCAAAACATAAACTAGCTGCCTGACTGAAAACATCCTTAGCCCCAGTATGTGAGAGTATAATACCCTTAGACCGAATATTTTCGAGGACGGATGATAAAAGAGACGATTATTCGAATGGGGGCGCTTATTCAGTGTAGCCTCAAGGGGGAAGCTAATTCGAAGGGGCGATTATTCGAAGGAAGGGAGAGGGTGTGCTAATTCGAGCATTTGCAATATTCCAGTTATCGCTCGAGTTATTCCATAATGTAGCAGGAGTACCCTATCTATTTGTTTTGTTATATTTGGACTCGTTTTTTATTGATTCTTCTCCTCAATTTTTATTGATCATACACCGCTTTGCATAAATGAACATGAGTCGAGCCATAAGCGTTTTCGTCGGTGTAGTGAAATAAGTTTTATTCCCCTAACATCAACAACAAAAAGACGATTTACTTGCACTAGACCATGAACGGTATTTCAAATTTGCATACAAAAACTAAGGAATCAAGAAAAAACATCATGGAAACAATTATAAAATTACACTGCATGATGCCAAATAACAATTTATCCCGAAGACTAAGAGAAGATGATACAAATACAGTTATATATTAAATAACAATATACGAAGTAGAGTTAATCAATTCCATAATCAATTCCTTAAAGGATAATTGCTAAAGTTTGGGATCAGACATTGTATCTTACTAGTCTTATTGTAGTACTAAAGATCATCCCTAACGTTTTGCTGAGGGTCGGAATGACTGTACCATTTTGTCTGATTACCTATCATTTACAGATGCATGTCGAGAGTTAATGTTTATGAATCATACACCTGGCAAAGCCCTGGATGGTTATGTGATTAAAACCCTCCAAGTGAAAAAACAAGAACAGTGTGAGTTAAGATGTTTTCACGAATCTGAGTGTGTTTCCTACAACATGGGGCCTTCTCAGGTCAATGGATTCACTTGTGAGCTCAGTAATTCAGATCACGTGCGGCACCCTGATGCTTTGGTTCCCAGGGCTGGTTACATTTACAGGGGGACGGAGGTAAAGAAAACAACCCACTTTCCTGAATTCGCCATATTGGCAAACGAGACGACCCTGGGGATAAGGTTAAGAAACCACTTTATAACTTGATAGACTGAAACCAGGTCTATCACGTAACTTTTTAACAATCTCGACATCAGGGCTTTTCGCTTCACCCATATTCCAAAGGAAAATACCCGAAGACGAGGTTTAAGATTTTACCCACTTGAATTAAAATGGGATTTTAGGCATTAATTCCGAGTTTATAGCATTTATAGTTTCGCAGACTTTTGAAATTTGCAGTAATGCAAGTCACTCTTCCTTTCATTAGAAAAAGAGATAGCTGAATTGACAAGAATGTCGAATGTTCGGTTCTTTTAATGCCCAGTTTAAATTTACCTCAGGTTACGTAAAACAAAATTTCGTCTTTTGGAGGTGTATTGTTTGATTCTTATGAATGATGCCTTTCGTTTATTTATTCTTTGACTATACATGTAGGTTATGGACCCGAAGGAATTACACAAATTAACGTTCCCTTCGAGTTCAATTCACCACGGCACGGTCAGCCTCGATAACCTTTATGTTTTCCGCAAAAATGATAGGTTGAAATTTTGTGGATAATTAATGTAACAGAACATATCACACTATAGAATAATTCTATGTACATAGGTTCAACTCTTGGAGAGTTTGGTCACATTAGGTCGATATGTCAGTAATTTAGTTCGATTTGGCAAACCTTATGCGCCGGAGCAACTGGCCTAGAAATGTGTCTGTCGCAAAACAGTTTTAAAGGACATCCCTTCTCTTAAATGGGCTCCTTTAACTTTCAACTTGTTTTTCATTTTATAGAACAGCTGCTCATCAAGTCCTTGTCCAAACAACGCTACCTGCCTCACCCTGACGCCAATCAACTATCAGTGTTTGTGCCCACTAGGATATACCGGGCCAAACTGCAACTTGGGTAGGTTGTAAATGAAAGCAGACATCACAAGACGTATCAAAGATTGCCACTGCATACCTATTACACCATCACGGGAAACTAATTAACAATTATTCCTCTCGCCCGAATGGGCTCTGAGTCAATAGCCCATGAGGCCGAAGGTCGAATGGGCTATTGACTCAGAGGCCATTCGGGCGAGAGGAATAATTGCTTTAGTAAAATCGAACTAGTTGGTCAAAAATATCGGGACTAAAAAGATTTTAGCTAGTTAAAGCTAGACTTTAATCCTTTTTTGCCGCCAAAAAGCCCGCGCTTTTCGCTACTAGGGGGTTATAAGATACAGCTTAGTAGTAGCTCAACCAATCAGAATGCAGCATTGATAATACACCACTAGTTGGATTTTACCAATACAAGTTATGAAAGGAGAACGTGACCTCTAGGGTAGCGATATGCCCTGTGTCCGGGAATGGGGCGTTAACTGGAACCAGAGGAGGTGGAAGGGTTGAACCATTGAGGTCACTTTCAAAGAAGTAACTACCCAAATTAAAAATAGGGCCGCGATGCATCATTGCCTCTAAATACAGTGTCGCCACATGTAAGGGAATCCAAGACAGTCTTGGATTCTGGATTCCACGCTGTGGATTCCGAAAACTAGGTACTAGATTTTCATTCTTTTTCAGTGGACCTTGGATTCTGGATTCTAATCGTTCGTGGGATTCCGGATTCCTTGAGCTGTATTCCAGATTCCAAAGCCCAGGATTCCTGATTTTACCAGCTAAGTTTTCCAAGATCCCGGATTCCCTTGCATTTGGCGAGCAATGAGAATGCAGTGAGACTATTCCGCCATCCAGCGATCATGCAACATTGCCTAGCCAAACCGACTGCAGTAGCTAGTATAGATTGATATGAATTTAATTGCTTATGGACCTTTATTTTGCCGGGTGGATGATAATCGCAGTTTCTGTCATGCGTGCACTGGCGCTCAGAACTGCTGAAGAAATAAATAAACGTACTTTTCTTGTTTAAAAAAGGAAGGAGCTGCCAAGATATTAAGACAGCTTTTCCAAGTGCTTCTGATGGTATATACTGGTTACAGCCAAATAGCGGCCTCACTAGATTTCAGGCCTATTGTGATATGACGTCGCTCGGCGGCGGATGGTCGATGTGTTACACAACTGATGGAGTCGTGATTCCAAGAACGGAAGTGACGTATGATAGCAATCTACCTTACGGAGAAAATGGATACCGAACTGATTGCAACAACATTGAGGTGAGCAAGAAACAAAACATATTTAAAAATTGAAATGGCCGTTTTGCTGTTTTTTTAAGTTCATTCATATCATTTGAGATCATTCTGCTCATCGTTTCTTTTCTTTCATTTTTTTTTTTCATTCTACAGTTTCGTGAGATTCTTTTCGTGGACGAAACAACGGGACAACAGGCCTCTTTCACTTATGAGGAAAATTCCATGCTTGTCGCGCAAGGGAATTATGGGACACAATTGCCAGGATTGTTTCAAGGTGGCGGAATAGCAGATACAGGCTATAAGTACCAGCTTCTGATCTGCGATGTACGTTTCTACTCTGGCTTTTTCATATCCGGATATACCAGCAACTGCTTTAAACAGTGTGATCATTGGTGTGGTGACGGTGGCTCCCCCTACTTCCGGTCAGCGTCAACTTCGTCATCGTATGCGGGAGTTGCCTTCAATAGTAATGGTCACAGACCATTGAATAGCCGCCTGATTAGTGTGGGGTTAAGATGACTGTGGCTATTGAGGCGTTATGTGTATTGTTGGCGAAACTTACCAAGCAGTTTCCTGTCCATGTTTGCATCCATTCAATGAACCTTGTTGTTATCAGTCTAAGTCACGTGACTCACTTACCACTGTAAATAGGGAATACTTAGTCAAACAGTATTCATCTTATGTTATCGATCAGTTTATGCGGCTCCTCGCAAAAGGCTAAGAGGTCAGCTTTTTAATCATGTCGTGTTAACGCAAATCATCAATTAATTAATGGGAAAGGTCACGTGACTTAGCAAGCCATTGCAATAGGACGGAATCATTCTTAAGGTGATCTTTAAATTTTTAATGTGCATATGTGGTTCATATGCGCCGCATTTTTAAGCAACACGTTTTGTGACGTCATCAAAACGGGAAAATCTCATGACGGCATAAAGTATTTTTTAATCGATCGATCTCGTCAAATGATAATTCTTCTAAATTTCACGACTATAAAGGGCATACGGGTTGAAGGCGTCATTCTTAAAATGTCTGCTGCTCGTAAATGAACACTCCTCATAATTATTTTGCGACCGCGAGCACTTTTCGTGGTGACGGTTTTAAAGTTTTCTAATTTGTTTTCAAACTCTTGTAAGTGACCTCTTGACGCATGGCTACGCTACTCAGAGGATACCAAGAACTTTAAGTGACTAGATGGATCTCCACATATCATAACTTTGAAATTTGCCGCAAAAAATTATTTTCCAAAAAGGATAAGTGTCTGGACCTCAACTCGGAAAAGACCACCTTTCGTTCGATTCTTTTAACCAACAACTAATTCATCGCATTTTGAGTGGTCGCTTACGCGAGGTTTCGACTGTAGCGCGTCGTGCGCTTAATTGGTTTTTTAATTACATTCCCAGCCATAATTGTTGAAACACTTGCCGATTTCTTCGCTTCCTCTCCTTTCAATGTTGATTTGGCAGACGTTTTCGCCCACTCGCAAGCAAAACCCTGAAAACCAACATTGAGGGAAGGAGAGGGCAGCGGTAAATGTATTCGTGGAACAACTTATTTTATTTTGTGTTTTCCGCTCACGAGTGTTTCAACGAATAATTACCGGGATTGTGGATAGTTTCCTGATGAGATCACAGCGTGCATGTGTGGCTTCGTCGATGGAGGGATATGACTAACATTATGCCCTTAATATAATGAATCCACTCGAAGTCAGTGGATCCCGGTTTTAGATTCAAAATCCATTTTTGGGTTAGAGTAAAGAGACGAAAAATCCATTTTTGGCCGGATTCAAGAATCAGGGCAGGGGGATTTGGATTTTCTTACAGAAACGCATCTCGTTAGGAGTAAATTCATCGGATCACAAATTTAATTCCGGATTCTTAGGATTCAGATGCGGTACATGCATTTTGAAATAGGTTTTCATCTCAAAAAATGAGGCCAGTCACGTTCATCTCTATTGTACGACAGCAAATGAAGGTGTATACTGAATATTGAGAACCGAATGATGATCTTGGTATCTCAGAGGCGTGTTAATAGTTTTTATTCTCTTAATGTAGATCACCATCACTTATCTGAGTTTTTCTTTATTATTTTATTCTTTACCTTTCTTTAACATGGTCAGTTAATGCGCCCCTTTTTAGTGAATGACAGTTTTAGCATCTAAGGATTCAATTTAATTTAGTCCTTTTCAACCTACCTGCTAATTTTATATGGAGTAGCGGGCGTTTTTGGGCGACGCATATCAACACGCAGGAACTTGAAAAATTGGCAATTTTAAGTCGCTCTTATGCAGACGACTATCCAAAAATTCTTGGGCAAAACTACTGCCCAAGAATTGAAATAGTTCACTTTCGATGGATGGACTTTCGTTACTCAAAAACGCCTTTACTTAGGTTTCCTTTTATTCTCACTACCAGCTTCGTTACAATTTGATTCTGTTCTGTTTTAGAATGATGGGAGTTTGATCTATTGTAAATTGTGTGATCTGACTGGGCGGAAGAAAACATATGATTCGCGCACTGTATAATTTTGCTAAATAGGTCTGTACTGGTGGCAGGCAGCAAAGCTTAAATTAATCAGTCTTTAAAATGTCGTTTATTTTTTATTTAGGCTTTTGTTGAACGTTGCCTATATGTTAATAATGTGGATTTTCTTTAAAAAAGAGAGTCATAATTATGGGCTATTACTGTCGTTAAATCTACATCCATGACAATGCTTAAAAAATTTTAATAGGTTCGATTTTGCTGAGTTTTAATAAATATGCAAATTTAATAAAATTTCAATCAGCAGTATAGTATCTAAACATTTTAGAACGAGTTCAAAAAAATGTTCCTGTTTCCCTTCTGAACTTTTAAATTAACTGGTTCTTTCTTTGATTTGGACGTCGATCTATACACTGCTAATTTTTAAGAGGAAGTTCTTATAGTTTAAATTCGTCATCAGAAGAAGAGTGATTTTATTCAGTACAGCCGGGTCAGTCCTGTGCTGTCAATTATTTGCTTGGTTTCCGTAGACATATATACTCAATACGATCTAACCTCACGTGAAATCTCTTCGGCGTTGTATCTCATATCGTATCTACGTTTAGGATAGCTGGGTTTCACCGATCAAGGAGCAATGAACAATGTACAATTTAACAATGCCATGTAGGAAAAGGTGGAAGCAGCCAACAGCACAAGCATGCGGCACATAATGCAGCTAACAAGCCTTGGTCCCTTTGACGAAAATCGGGATGATCGTCGTAAACGAACACTGTAGTTTGCGGGGCTACCATGGGATATGGGTGGTATGGCTGTTCCAGGTACACCCTTGAATTTGGCGGAGGGAATTCCCTTTGAAAAGTTCCACCAGCTACAGGATCGTTTGATGGATAGTAATGCGCTGGTTGAAAAGACGTTTGTTGGTAATAACTCATAGTAAAATTTTCCTCTACGAACTGTTGGGTAATGCAGAATCAACTCCGCTATACAGTACAGTTTAGAGATATTGAGTTTAGCAGAAGCTCAGTGTCTCTGAATTCACGGAAATTTGGACGAAATGGTTAACAGGACAAGTCGAATGAGATTTCATCTGTCCAAGTGCTCCCTGGACTGCGTCAAGCTACATTTGCGATGGAGAAAGCTCTTGAGTAGAGTTCAGTTGCTCAGATGCTTGAAAAATCTTAAGCTGAATGCTGCACCGTATTACCAAAGCGATTAAGTACCTGCGAGGACGCTATTAAATATGGTAGACAATACAATTTTGTTTGCTTGCCACACCGCTAAAATCGACATGTAAATTTGCCTCCGGCTTCTAGGTAACGACACTAAGATGTAAAAATTTCTCCCCTATTGGTTGTGTGGTCTCCTACCTTGAAGGAAAAGTTGACATATACAGCGGCGTTTTAGATTGTTTAGACTCTTTAGTTATCGTTGCACACGCAAAGGTGTATACCTTACCTCATGTAGTGTTCTTTGTTTTCTCGCAAATACTTATATAGTGTTTGTGAATCAATAGACAGCGCTAAGGACGCCGCAAAGCAGGTTAGAACTTGAATGTGTAGTTTTTGAACGCAGTTTCATATTAATGAGCGCCTATCGAAGCTGGCTTAGTAGCATATTGATTAGCTCACTTGCTATTTTTGTCATTACAGCTGAAGTTTTTTTGACAGGTAGAATAAAATTTATCTGTTGACATCAAGCATTTCTAACGATTTTCCAAATTAAATGAAGAAATTTCCCCCAGGGAAACACCGTCTGAAACTGGCTATACTACAAGAAAACTAAACAGACTGTTTGAATAAACAAATTTAAGGCTTAATACTGAAATTGCATCTAAGTTGTTTTACTGGTGATTTTCCAAAACCTCACTAGGCTCTCGTGTGTTTACAGTGATAAATCGCGTCTAATTCTCACACGAATCCACGGTTACCAAATTCCTCAGTTCATTTCAGTATTATTAAACTGAATATCTTCCCTTTTGCTCCTTCGTTATTTGACATAATTTCGGTCACCTGCGAGAACTGCGGGTATTTGTCCACGGTCGAACCTAAGGACTCAGAGATAGTGGGGCTGGGGAAAAAGTAGACTTTCTGCAGTCACCCAGGAAACGAAGGATTTTGTAGGCCTACGAACATCGATCCTTCTCGCTGAGGTAACAACGGGAACGAGTAACAGGCGGTGGCCATAGACAGCTGCAAGCTGAGGATTTAGTGAAATCTTGAAATTTTTGAAAACGTTACATTAAGATACAGCCTAAAATAATGTACGTATTTCAAAAAGGTTCTAATAAATATATAATTGTAATACTAAAATACGTTTCTTGTAGCTATTGTTGTGTCTATTGGTTGTTTCTTCCATTTTTAAAATGTAGAGGAATTATCCACGAGTAAACCCTACAGTAAACGTTGAGAAAAGCCTGAGAACATCTGTCTTCAGTTTCCAAATTCAAACCCTAAGCCAAAGGACAGAAAAAACTAGAGCAACCATATGATGTTCAAAATTATTTAGCTTTACAAAGAACCCAGAAACGGGCACGTCGGTGACTATAAGGCAATACAAATGTCCCGGAAATGTTAAGAATTCTTTTTCAGCTGACTTTTTATCAGCAGCGAGGAACAAAATCGAAAAAAGTTTTCACCAAATTTTCGACAGCTAACTGCCGCGTTCACGAGATCAGCTTGGCCTTTTGGACAAGACGGGCTGATAGAGATAGCTGTCGAAAATCTAGAGAAAATGTCGATATTTCCAGCCTTGTTGTGCAATCGACGGCGACAACCGGAAGTGAAATTTACCGTGACAACTTCTTATGTGTTTTGTTTTATATCTGATTTTTAAATGAGTTCAGATTTTATCTGAGCCTTTGCAGACAGTTAGTCAGATAAACATATGAGAATCATTTCCTTCTCTAATTTCTTTTTACTGACTTTGGCCTTTGGAAAGGAAAGGCCATGAAAGAAAAAAAAAAAAATGATTGAAAGACCTAAAATAGTGTGCAGGTTTTTGTCCGGGACTCCGTGGCGCAATGGTAGCGCGTCTGACTCCAGATCAGAAGGCTGCGTGTTCGAGTCACGTCGGGGTCACATAAACTTTTCTTTTCCTTCTTTTTTTCACCATCGCATTCTTTTTATTGATTCAGAATTGGGCAGAGATATTCACCTATTTTTCGGCGTATATCCCCATCTTTCTTACAAATTTATAAAACAGTATATATAAATATTAAAAAAAACATGCTGATACATGCGTGACGAATCCCTAATAACGTCTGCGGGGAGGCTAGCTGATACACTGTTCATACGTTTCGTTGTCAACTTCAGGAACGAAGTTAAATTTGTTTTTCCTCCACAGTAAAATCAAAAGATGGTCCAAGGTTCGTCTCTTAACCCATTCGCTCCAGGAGATTTTGCCCAAAAACGCGTTTTGAAGCTAGTCGAGTGGTTTTCTGGTCACTGTCGTGCTATAAAGAGCTAAAACTTACCACAAACCGGTTTACAGGTTGTACACTTGGCGGCCTTCCGATCCAGATGCAAAATATCAGCTTGCGAAGTTCGGGCATGCGGGTTTAAAAGTGACACAGCAGTCTTGACTTTTACTTTTCGCTTTCTCTCCTCCCTTCTTTTTTCGCTTTTCTTGCCTCATTTTTTTTTTCTCTTGCTGGGCATTTAGTAGGCTTCATTTTGGTGGGAAGAGTTTTTAGGAAAGCTTTTAGGATCTTAGGATTAGGTGAAAGGAAAGGTAGGTGGGTAATGGAACAAGATTTTCATGGAGATTTTCAGGTTCTTGTCACGTGGTTTTTTGCTTCTTTCTCCGGTGTCCTTGACTGAATTGTGCTCATTCTGGTATTGTTTGAAAGACCTCTTCACTCTACACAAGTTAGCAAAGAAAGTTGTCCTTGACCGTTAAAACTGATGACGTCACAAAGGGTAGAAAGGACCTGGATCCGCACGGGCGGTTACGGGCGGTTCAGGGGCGAATGGGTTAAAGCCGTGAACGATATTCGCACGCGGAAGGCTGTGGCGTGACCGCCGCGTGAGGGACCTTAGTTCATTAAACCAGCGGTTCCCAGGTGAATAGTAATGGCTCAAAAAGGCAAAACCGGCTTCAAAAAGGTAGAAAACAAGAGTAGCTATACTTCAGTTACTTCTTCGACCTGTTGTTTGAGAAGAGAAGGATATTAATGAAACAGACATGGAGAAAAGGTGAGGAAAACAGGCTTTGGAAACCCTGCTAGTTTCAATCCACAGTGTTGGAATTTGAGTTTTTTTCATCTTCCATTCTTCCAATTAAAATGATATTTTAACGCCCATAATATAACAATAATGATTATATATAATTATTATTATAATCTATGCTTCTTACCTGGCAAAAAAGAGCAAGAAAATTTGTACAAATGACATTCCAATGCCCCCGGCCCAGTGATCAGTGGGAAATTTAATAGATATTCATGAGCAACCTGGTTTACTCGCTTTCAAAACTTGCACTTAATCCTTTTGCAGGCCCCTTCGATTATGTGGGGAAGGAACATGGTTTCCTAGTTGATTCCTCTTAACGTATAAACTTCATCTTTAAGATCTCCATCCGAGATCATCAAAGTATTTGAAACCTCCACCCCTCCCATATATTGACCCCACCCCAGTATTACAATCATTGCAATCAAGGTCTCATGCTCTCCACCCCCCTGGGCTGAGTCACATGACTGGAATCTGCCCTAGGAGTGCATGATAATGTCAAATCTGTAGAAATGGTTCTAAAAGAGTGAGGGTCTTTGGTGTCTTTTTAATTTGCTAGCAAATCTGAAAAATACTTTTTGAACTGATTTTATATTCATCAAAGTGAAGAACACCTGCACATGCAAATTAGGACTGCTCAGAAACAGTTGGTTGAGTTCCAGGCTTTGTATCCATAGAACTAGGATTGGTTTCCCAGCCAGGCACTCAGGGTTTTGAGATAATGGTTAGACATTCCAGACTTCTCCATCATTGGAGACTCGGGGGCAGACTCAGTCAACTCAGTGAGAGAAACAGCACGATTAAAGTGTTTAAGAACAGGGAGACTGGTTCTTCCCTATCCTTAAAAAACTTTGTTGCAGCATTTCTTCCAAATTAATCTACTGACAGCCCCTGGGTCTCCAATGATGTTCTTCCCAGAAAAGGAACATAAAATTGAAGGCTCCATCTCAAAGCACTTGGCTGATCTCACTCTTGTTGTACATACTAGACAAGTGCTTAACCAGGGCTGTCAACCCCCCACGTCTTTAAATATTGAGAATTGATAGGGACAGGATGATAATGACCTCGTGACGCATGGCACATGACATCATTTGTGCAAAAAATACTCCCCTATATGACTCCGATCATGATGAATTGGCGATGACACAAAGTGCATGAAAACCAATCAGATTATTATATTACAATGGCGAACATTAATTTCAGTTTTATTAAAACAAAAAATTGTCACATTAGAGATAAATAGCAGCTTTATTAAATTCTGTTCACACTAGCTAGTTCAACACAACTGGGTACACACCTGTGTACTTTAGCATTTTGACATCTAGCCTAACTTAGCACCTGGACACAGGTGCTCAGACAGTTTGCAGACTTAAAGACACTACAAGTGTCACATTAATTTAATTATGCTAAAAATCCAAAATAATATTGTAAGCTTAAAAGCAACTGGAACTCTCCCCCTTCCTAGCCAATGAAATCATTCAAAATTAGGCAAAAATCCAGTATCAAATGGTTTGGCATGTGTATACACTTATGAGAAGACTAATGTTTTTGCAAAAGTTTACTTTACTTTCTTATATAAACACCAATAAAATACCAGGTGAGCTTTCGCATGAAAACTTGATATCTTCACAAGTGAAAATAACATGTTATCTTCACATGTGAAAATATCACCATTGCTATGGCTACATAATAAATTGCGCCTTTCACACCAAAAAACTATTAAACTGAAATGGTTTGGTATTTCAGTGGTGTTTATATAATAAATAGAACATTACATGGCTGCTTGGAGATACGAAATTACCCTTCTTGTGTTAAAAAAATATTTCACTCGTTCGCTGCGCTCACTCATGAAATATTTGTCAACACTCGAAGAGAAATTTCATATCTCCGCTCAGCCATCTAATATCCTCTATTTTATTTTATACTATATTAATATATTAGAAATCTAATGAGGTTGCACCTTAAACTTGACCCCTGCTGTCCTCAATACCCTATCAATGTCTTTGCAGCTGTTATGCTGTTATGCTACAATTTTCTTCAGTAACGAAACTATGGCAGCTACTTTAACATTGCCGCTGTGACTGCCGCAGTAATATAAACAAAAACAACAGTTTAATTTGAAAACACTTAAAGATTACAGAATAATTTTTATTTTTCCCTAGATCAAATCTGCCAAGCCATCTTATTTAATTTGTATTTAGAGCATAATCCTAAGTGGGGAGATGAAAAGAAGAAAAAGGCATCAGTAATGTTTTAGACTAGACATGAAATTTAATCAAGAGGAAACTTATGGTGATGACCTTCTAAATCTTAAAGCTTTCAGTTGTGCAGATTGCAGGCAAGCAGTAAAAAAATGCTACAGATAACTCTTAAATAAAAAGAGAGCATATTCTCATGCACGCCTTTGACATAAATATTATATCACACATGCATGCTTTGTTTAATTTTTTTTATCTAGTAGTCTCTTAAATGTTGTGGTTACACACAATTTTACTGAGGCGATTTTGGCACTATCTGATCATAGCGCTGGCCGGTTTTACAATATCAATATTTAACCAGACAAAACTCAGTGGAGTGACATAAAAAACGTTCCTCCCATTTTTAAAAGTTTATCTCAGATTGTTATGAAAGTTTTATTAATTCTATTGCGAATCAGAATTATATTTGTTAGTTATTTGGCTGATATTTAATTAATAGAGGACTATTGTGTTGCCAATTCTAAGTGTAGAGTTTTAAAATACAGAAAATTGATAAACAAGTTGGTGTGAACTACTCTTTTTTCAGGAAACATGCTCACATTCTGAAGCAATAATTAAGTTTGTGTGGAAAATGAACAGAAGCGACCATGCAACTATCATCAGAATTTGCAGGACATGTTCATTGCACACAACTGCAATTAATGGCTTCCAAAAGCTATTACAAGGGACATTACTTCTAATGCAAAGGACGTTCTCTCTATAAACTCCACCTTTAGTGGCAACAACGATTTCCAAAGCAAACTGGATGCAGCTAATATGCCGTTAGGACAAATCAGCCGGATTAAGGTTTCATTGGCTAATTATTTGTTCGGTTCGGTTATTAAATATAGGATTCATTTACGAACAGAATACCATAGATATATTATCCACCCTCAGCTGATCTTTTTGTCAACAGTCCTAAAGTTTAAGAAGTAGAAGACGAATTTTGCCTCATAATTCTAAATCTAGTACTACAGATAGACACTATCCGTCTTTAAGTGGATTGCCACTGTCAATTAATTTTTACGTGCGTACGCGCGTGAAAAAAATGGAGGCAAATATGTAAGAACTTCGCGCGTAAAAGTTGAACCTCGCTCAAATTTTACGTTTTCGACGGCCTTTCATACATTAATTGCCTCGATGTTATTTGCGCGCGTACGCACGTAATATTACAAGACAGTGGAAATCCGCCTCAATTTGAAGCGAAAGTACAGAATTTATAGCGAAGGTGAATTGCCTGTCTAGCTTTTTCTCAGATGAATAATGATCAATGTATCAAGTTTTCTGAGCCTGTGCTTCACCTTTATACAGTTCTGTTTGACTCTCATCGGAGTAAAAGCGACTTCTCCTAGAATTCATCAACAGCAATATTGTAGCTTGTCACACCGGTGAACACGGAACACACTACTAATCTAGTACGTCTTCTAAAGCCAAAAATGAGCCAACATAATTCTGTAGTTGTTTTAGTTATCTAATTCAGATTTCTAAATTTTTACAGATATTGCAAAGCCATCGTTTAAACCTTATCGGCGCGATTCTTTTCTTTTTCTTATCTAAATCGCGCCAACTTTGTAGGCATGAAATTTACATATATTATATGCTGGTGAAAAGCTTTCAAAACACGTAAGCCATTCTTTAATAACTATTTGCAAAAGTCTTATTTACTACAGTTTAATTAAATGTACAGTCCTTCTGTTCTTTTTCACCAACGTAACCCGTGTGTTTGGACAAATTCCTGAGGAAGATGACGGTGATAATGGAAGGCGATAAGTGTTTAGGGAATAAGCACATCCTCGGCTACGCTTTCTGGAAGGAATATAAATTAGTGTTAGATGAAGCGGAATTTGGAATCGTGCATGCATTGTTTGCCATATTTCCTAACTCAGAGCGTCTTGAGGCACTGAACACACTTAATATATTTGGACTGAGGGTAACCGGTCAAGTCGCACGAAAGTCATCTCGCCCGAAGTTATGTCGCCCGAAACAAGAGTATGCTGAGCCACATAACTCAGCATTTCGGGCGACATAACTCTGATTTCGGGCAAATTGACCGTAAACCGGACTGAGTCCCTTCAGCCAACTCGTCGCTTTTTGGGAAGGTAGTAGAAATTGTGTGACCCCCTATGATCACATGATTTCAATAGGAAGTAGTACACCGTGGGCAGGTCGAGTCTGTCATCCCGTTCCGATTATATTAGTGTGTCCTGAGTAGAAAAGAGCCGACATTTCGCGACGCCACCACTGGTTTCCGCGCGAAATGACGTCTGAGAAACGAGCGCAGAAATTCCATACTGATGACGTTTGTCTACCCAGATCTGAGTCTGCTTCTAATTGGTTGAATCAAAGTTCCCTCGCGGCATGACCAATCAGAAGCACTACCCAGACCTGGGTAGTGACACGTCATCAGTATGGAATTTCAACGCTCGTTCCTCAGACGTCATTTGGCGGGAAAGCCAGAGGTGGCGTCGCAAGATGTCGGCCATTTTCTCAGGCTATTTCATGTGTAAGGTCCGAACCAAATGTGACGAACCTAAAGCTAATGAGCGAAAGCAAGGGACTATACCCATAGCATTAAGTTCGTCACATGTAAAGCTGTTCAGCGAACTCGGCTGACCTGGACTAAGCTAGCGTGCCCCGAGTTAAGGTGAAGTTAGCATGGCACTACCATAATGAATCATGTCCAGTTTTAAGCAACTTTTCAAACCGGGTGCTGTTCATATTTCGAGATGTAAAAAACTGAAAAGTCTGGATATTTTCCTTCTCGTCAAACATGGTCCCTGTAGAACTTTCCAAAATTAAACCGCAAAATCTATTGAAGTGCGCATTAGATAGTAGATGTTTATTTTAACGAGGTGTTTACTTTTGTTACTTCTTAGGGGAAGCCATGTTCTGTTATATCACGCCTCGATAGGACCTGAGATCCTTTTTTTCTTTTTGAGAGGAGAGGGGACATACATCGTAGAGTTACAGAGAGAAAGGCTGACGTGACCGCCGGATAACCAAGAAATAGGTATGTATTTTAGAGTGTTAACAAACCCGAGAAACAGTATATAACAGTGCCAAATAGTTTCAAGTAAAGAAAAGAAAACAAGGAATTAGAGAGTGATGGCTTGTATTAGTCTACTACCTCTTTCACGGCTTTAGGAAAATCGCATTAAAAGATCAAAGGAAGTTAAAATAACTAACTAAATAAATAATTAAATAAATAAATATTGGATTATCCTCTCCTCTTATGGGGCTTTTCAGGGATAATGAAACCAATAATTAAAATGGAACGTAACAAAGTGAGGTATCCCATCTGGTAGGACGCAGACCGGCTGGCTATTTTACAAGTGTGGCTGAGGATTTGATCTCGGGACCAGGGGCAAAAAGTCCAGCTAGCGGCCAGGGCTCTAACCGCTCGGCCACGCTGCTTCCACTCAAGTTGATTATACTCACCGACATGCGCAAAGCCTTCTTCCCACTCAGTTCTGTCTAAGACGTGATCTTTGTTCGTGTCACTTGAAATTATAAAACCAAACAAGCATTCCTCATGAGGGACATGCGTCAAGATTCCGTCTACCTCAGATTTTTGAAGAAGATCATCCTTGTTGTGATCCATTTGGTCAAACTGGAACTAAGAAAACGAAATAAAAATGAAAATACTGTGAGCTACTTACTATGTGACCGCATGTTCTAACTAGGACATGAAACTAGAGATCAAAGTTGAAACAGTTGGTAGCAGCCCAAAGTTAGGACCACTTAAGATTGCAATCATACGAGTGATAACGCTGTACGATTACAGACTTTATACTACTAACTGAGAAATTTCTGCAGTTTGATTGGCTCAGAGCAGTGGTATTTCAGCTTAATTTGAAATATCTACATTTGAATATTACAAACCTTTTGCGGGTTGTAGTATAAACAAATAATAGCATGATTTGTACGTGATATTTCGCATAAATACCACTCGTGATATTTCAAAATTGTCTCAAATCTCACTCGCCTAACGGCTCATGAAATTACGTATTATAACAATTTTGAAATATCACGAGTGCTATTACCTATACCAATTGAACGACACGACATTCCGCTCCCATAGTGAATGATGGATTCGTGTAATCTGGGTCTAACTTTTGTGTCTGTGGACCAAATCTGTGGTGTGATCATTCAAATGAAACCTTCTCATCAGTACTTTAACATGGTACTATTTATTCAGTTTGTAATTCTAGCTTTAGAGTCTGTGGATAAAATCTTATGGTGTGACCATCCAAAATGAAATGAAACTTCTTCAGCAGTATTTTCAGTATTTTATTGCAATTTGGAATTTTTGTCGAATTTTGAATCTAGCCAATTCTGCAAGTGAAAAGGCCAACAGACCCAAACCCCCGATGTGAGAGGCTTAAATGAACGATCCCATTTAAGTGGAACTGTCTCAAAGCAGCGCGCGTGTTGAATCCTGTGTAATAAATGCTATCAAAAGGGCTGCTATTAAAAAGAAAATCAAAACATAGTTAAGAGAGTGGAATGAATATGAAGCCAAGCAGACGCCTTGGGTACATGGTTTTTAGAATTTGAATCTGTGTGTGTCAAACCGTGTAGTTAAAAGCGTTTTTAAAGACTTTCAAAGACTGGTATATTTAACAATTACTCCACGAGCGCGCGTTGGATATGAGTTGGCTATAATCATCTCATATCCAACAAGCTTGAGTGGAATAATTGCTTTATTAAAAACGTCCACAAAATATCGAGGATTCATCCCGACTTTATTTGTAAAGACAACCGATTTACAGCTTGCTTTTAATTTTGAGCACACGCGTACAGTTACCATATTTGGAGAGCATAGTATAATGGCTCAGATACCGTGATGGCTAAGCTCTAGAATTGCATTATCCAATGATTCAGTTTTTAATGATGTAAATTGTGCAAGATTTCGCTTCATATGTCTTTTTACCACTTCAAGGGGCATTTCAGCTTCTTAATGCTTATAGCCTGCGTAGCAGGCGCTTGGAAGTAGCGGGCGAAAGAGAGAACGGGCGCGCGCGAGGGAGACAGGCAAGGGGTGAGGGAGCGCCTGCACGGAAGGCCCCCGAAAATCGTTTCAACTCGCACTCTGTGAGTGCGGATATTTCCAATTGGTCGAGAGGCTCCCGAGGGAAAAATTAACCGCGAGGGGCGAGAAAACTGTCAATCAATAGTACATGGACAACGTAGTGAAGATCTTGCATTACACCACTGGGTAAGTTCAGGTCTCGGAGGTCACCTCAGTCTGGTTTAATGGGACTATGTGGCTGTAATCTCAAAGAAAAGTTGGAGTGTTCAAACGGTGTTCACGATGGAAAGAATTGACATCGGATACGCATCAACAGAAGTGGCGAGAGACAAAAGATTTGTCGAATTGTTGCAATGAAGATCAGAGGAAATATTCTTTGCTCAGGAGAACTTGGCGGCTGGTGCTGTCGATGGAACGTATACCATCAAAACTTGGACATGATTGATGAAATGAAACACTTACCAGGGGCATGAATTTGAAAAAAACATTTCACTATAGTATTATTCGCCGTTCGGAGGCGACCTGAGGTCTGTTGTTTATGTCTCATTACTGCAGTAGAAAACATGTCGGTACAGTTTGTGTTCTGAGGTTTAGGTCCGCTTAGTAAGACATGTCTGCTCCAAAAACGGCTGCCAGTTAGCGCAGTAAAAGCAATATGGTCATTTTCCACATACGCTGTGATCGTTGGTGTCTGACCAGAACAATATTTTTAGTTTTTATAATACACAGCATGCATTCTTTAAAAGATACCCAGTTTTGACTTTGTTATTTCGTATTTATTGTGCCCATGTTAAAAAACGATTTAAAGCTGTGTGTTAACCATCAGTTTATTGCCCCATCGCTCTATAATCAGATAACCCAGCTGATCTTTATAACAGATATATTTAGACCGAAGATAAAATGTACAACGCTTTTTGGCGGCTTGCTTTGTTTGTGCGAGGTCAGTCGTTTTCTGTCAAAACTTTTGACAGATCACGCAACGGCTGCCAAGTAATTAGAGAGGAGGCGGGAAACGATTTTCGGGGGCCTTCCGTGCAGGCGCTTCCTCTCCCCTCGCGTGTCTCCTTCTCGCGCACCCGTTTTTTCTTGTGCCCACTACTTCCAAGCGCCTGCTACGCAGGCTATAATGCTTAAAACGGGTAGTAAAATCAATATATCATTTATATAAGTTGTACAAAATGTTACAGTATTTAAAACGATGTGAAGGGTAACGTACGTTTCGTACTTTGAAAGGCGGGAAACCGAGGTACCCGGAGAAGCGCCTTTCGGAGAAAAAAAGAGAACTCAACACAAACTCAACCTACGACTACGGAACTTCGAGCCTGGACCACATCGGTGGGACACGAGTGCCCTTCCTACTGCGCAACATATGTAGCCGCCGAAAGCGCAGAAGAACGGCCTGCTGGCATTCATGACGGAGACCAACATTTGTACAGTGTTAGGCATTAAATTAAAAGTAGAATTTTTACCTCCAAAATAGTTTTCTTCTCCACTTCAGAGATTCCAAATTCGCGTGCTTGAAGTACTACAGCATTCAGGTCAACTGAATCTGGATCATCGCTGTCATAAAGTGCTTTGTTGATTAGAGCCCATTCCAGAAAGCGCTCTGCGAACTGTAACACTTCATCTTCCAGACACTGGTCCGTTGGAACCAAGGATTCATCGGCCAGTTTTGAAATCTGCTCGCCACTTGCATCGTCTACAAAAAGAAGCGATTTTAACAAAATATTCCAGTTACTCATGCTGTCCAAGTAATCCTTGCATAATATAGCGGACTCCCTCTACTGCGAACACGGTTAAAGTGGCTGTTTTATGTCAATTATGTGCTGAATTCATTACTTACAGTGCCTTTACCCATCCACAAAATGAGCCTGTAGAGTTATAAAGTGGATATCACACAAATTTCATCAGGGAGCACTAACCATGATAATTTTTTAGGTGATTTTTGTAGGCATAGCATGAAAACTTGAAAAGGTTTGCCCAACTTTTTCATGTTTCAATCCATGTCCATTCTTGCCATTCTTTGCAACAGACAATAGAAAAAAGTTTCAATACCTAAATAAAGTCTTGAATAACAAAACTGGACCATTATTTTTGGAATTCATAAACTGCCAAAAAAGTACTAGCTTTTCAAAAAGATGGCAAATAGCGTGACGGACCCTTTAAATGTAATTCGACTGGACTACAAAAATTAGGACCCGGAAAACCCAAAGGACTTTAGCGTTACTTATGTTCCGTATTTAGAAGCACCAAGAGGTATATTACACTTTCCCCCATTGATGAGACACAGAGGCCAGAAAAGGACCGAGCTTTCATGGGATTTGGATGAAATTGCTTTGAGAAAGTGCCCAGAAGGAAAACTACCAGATTCAGTTCGATAGAGCTAATGGTACTGTCTTTGATATGCTGTAGCTTGATTTTTTTCCTTCGCAAAATGACGTCGCAAACATGTTAAATTTGTTGACAGAGGAAGACCGAAGAATCTCTTCTCTGAAGGACCAGCTAAACATTGCTACTTAACTATTTGGTTCACAGGAGACGTGCTGCTGGTTTCTTATAGGAAAATGTAAATGATGTTCAAAAAGATATGCAAAACAGGAAGATAATTCTCCCTTACCAAGCCTGATGTGTTTCGTCGACAAAACAGTATGAATTTGCTGCTCTTTTTATATTGATGTGGTCAACTGTCAGAACAATCTGCTAACTTAAGTGGCTAGATCACAATATATAAGGGAATTCATCAGTACTAGAAAGGGTTAGAGTGTAGAAACCATCAGTACCGCATTTCCCTTTATGCTTGACAGCAACGTTAATTTGCATTCTGCAGGCGTGGCGATGTACTTCGCAGAGGTTTTGATAGTCCTTCAGGAACACAGAGCAGTGGGGCTCTTCCTCTTCGTCGCACTCAGTGGGGCAGTCACAGATGTAGTCATTGTCCACTTTGATGCACATTTTACCTTGCTTGCAACTGGGATCGCATGTTTCTGGCAAACAAAGGGTATTACATTTATTCAGCAACTGTTAAAAATGTCACTCCTGTTTCCCCCCTCGAAGGAATGGTGCCTAATGTAACTCTGTCTAACCACTCTTTACTATTTACCATATATACTCGAACCAGGAGCGCCACAGCGCTTGTCAAGTTACCCGACTTGTCATTGCGGTGCTATTTAAAACTTCCTACTCGCAAATAGCAGTCCCACATAATCTTTCCTTCTTCATAGCGTATGAAGGAGGTCTATGTCATCCACCAGATGCAAGTAAATAACATCTATTGCCATAATAATCAGCATTGAAAAAGTAAAAACAATATAGCAGACAATAGGCACGGAGAGTTTGGCCCTTATTCAGGTAAGCCGGTTACTGATATTTTTGCCCTCAAATATGGTGCTCATTCTATGGCGGTATGCCACCAGAAATCATCAAAGTGTTTGGACAAGAAGAGTTTTGAGAGAAGCCGACGGCTGAAGCTGACGGCTCCTTCTACTAGTCCAATCGGTAGTCCCAGGTCTCCGCAGTTTTCAACCGTGTTATGTTTCACCGGGACAATTGTTCGTGAGTGTATACGAGAAACAAGGCATCGAAACATTTTAGCTTGGCGAGGGTTTTACTTGTACAGTTGTACGCTCCTTACGGAGACCCGCCTATAACAGACGGTTTCTATTGTCTCGACGAAACGCGTGTATATTTTCTATAAAACTAGCCCGCTTAATACGGACATCAGTTAAAAAGACTTCATTTTTTGTTTTCCCGATAAAACAGGTGCCTATCAAGCTTATTCTGAGAGGAAGTTTAGCACGGTCATGACTATGCCTTACCGTTATTATCCTTAGTTCTGCCAATGACGGCAGTGTCTTTGCAACTTTCGATACCGTTACCATTGTCGCTACAATGCCCATCCACTGAAGTCGGCGTTGGTGTCATTTTTGTCGGTGTAGGAACTGTATAAACTTCAGTGAATTCAGCGGTTGTCAAAGTAACCGATTGTGTGCTAGACTCCAAATCAAGCGATGTCGTCGTCTCCGTCACCTCATTTTCAGCCACAGCTGTTGTGTGCGCTGGGTGTATTTCAGTTGACGCTGTAGAGGGTCTTTCAGTAGGGACCTCCTCCGATGTTGATCCAGTTGAGACTTTAACCTGAGCAACACCGTTAGGGGTAGATTCTGTTACAGGTGCTAAGGTTCTCACAGGTATTTTTGTAGTAATAGAACTAGAAGGAGACTCCGTTGTGAGATCCGTAGATCGTGTCTCAGTTGTGACCCCTACTGCTAATGTTCCTCCCTTCGTACTGTCTTCAGAGGGCGACTCACTTGTGGCATCTTCAGGTGGTGACTCACTATTGCCCTCTTCAGATGATGACTCGCTTGGTACCTCCTCAGATGATAAGCTTGAGGGCTCTTCAGATGGTGACTCACTTATCACCTCTTCAAATGGTAACTCACTTGTAGCCTCTTCAACTGGTGACTCGCTTGTGGCCTCTTCAGAGGGTGCTTCACCTGTTACCTCTTCCGATGGTAATTCACTTGTGGCCTCTTCAGATGGTGCTTCACTTGTAGCCTCTTCAGATGTTGATTCACTTGTGGCCTCTTCGGATGGTGACTCACTTCTAGCCTCCTCAGATGGTGATTTACTTGTGGCATCTTCCGATGGTGAATCACTTGTCGCATCTTCAGATGGTGACTCACTTGTGGCATCTTCCGATGGTAACTCACTAGTAGCCTCTTCCGATGCTGACTCACTTGTGGCATCTTCAGATGGTGACTCACTTGTGGCATCTTCAAATGGTGACTCACTTGTAGCCTCTTCAGTTGCTGATTCACTTGTGGCATCTTCAAATGGTGACTCACTTGTGGCATCTTCACTTGGTGACTCAATTGACGCCTCCTCAGATGGAGACTCACTTGTAGCCTCTTCAGATGGTGACTCACTTGTGGCATCTTCAGATGGTGACTCACTTGTAGCCTCTTCAGATGGCGATTCACTTATGGCCTCTTCAGAAGGTGACTCACTTGTGCCATCTTCAGATGGTGACTCACTTGTAGTATCTTCAGTTGGTGACTCACTTGTAGCCTCCTCAGATGACGATTCACTTGTGGCATTTTCCGATGGTGACTCAGTTGTGGCATCTTCAGTTGGTGACTCAATTATAGCCACTTCAGATGGTGATTCACTTGTGGCATCATCAGGAGGTGACTCACTTGTAGCCTCTTCAGCTGTTGACTCACTTGTGGTCTCTTCAGATGGTGACTCACTTGTGGCCTCTTCAGATGGTGATTGACTCGTGGCCTCTTCAAATGGTGACTCACTTGTAGCTTCATCAGATGGTGACTCACTTGTAGCCTCTTTAGATGGTGACCCACTTGTAGCTTCTTCAGATGTTGATTCACTTGTAGTCACTTCAGATGGTGATTCACTTGTAGCTTCTTCAGATGGTGACTCACTTGTAGCCTCTTCCGATGGTGATGAACTTGTAGCCTTTTCAGATGGTGACCCAGTTGTAGCCTCTTCAGATATTGATTCACTTGTAGTCACTTCAGATGTTGATTCACTTGTAGTCACTTCAGATGGTGATTCACTTGTAGCTTCTTCAGATGGTGACTCACTTGTAGCCTCTTCCGGTGGTGATGAACTTGTAGCCTCTTCAGATGGTGACCCAGTTGTAGCCTCTTCAGATATTGATTCACTTGTAGTCACTTCAGATGTTGATTCACTTGTAGCCGCTTCCGATGGTGACTCACTTGTAGCTTCTTCAGATGGTGACTCCCTTGTAGCCTCTTCAGATGGTGACTCAGTTGTAGTCTCTTCATATGGTAAATCACTTGTGGCCTCTTCAGACGGTAATTCACTTGTGGCCTCTTCAGATGGTGACTCACTTGTGACCTCTTCAGATGGTGACTCACTTGTAGTCCCTTCAGATGGTGACTCACTTGTAGCCTCTTCCGATGGTGATGAACTTGTAGTCTCTTCATATGGTAAATCACTTGTGGCCTCTTCAAATGGTGAATCACTTGTGGCCTCTTCAGATGTTGACTCACTTGTGGCCTCTTCCGATGGTGACCCACTTGTAGTCCCTTCAGATGGTGACTCACTTGTAGCCTCTTCCGATGGTGACTCACTTGTAGCCTCTTCAGATGGTGACCCAGTTGTAGCCTCTTCAGATATTGATTCACTTGTAGTCACTTCAGATGTTGATTCACTTGTAGCCGCTTCCGATGGTGACTCACTTGTAGCCTCTTCAGATGGTGACTCAGTTGTAGTCTCTTCATATGGTAAATCACTTGTGGCCTCTTCAGACGGTAATTCACTTGTGGCCTCTTCAGATGGTGACTCACTTGTAGTCTCTTCAGATGGTAATTCACTTGTGGCCTCTTCAGATGGTGACTCACTTGTAGTCTCTTCAGATGGTAATTCACTTGTGGCCTCTTCAGATGGTGACTTACTTGTAGTCTCTTCATATGGTGAATCACTTGTGGCCTCTGCAGATGGTGACTCACTTGTAGTTTCTTCAAATGGTGAATCACTTGTAGCCTCTTCCGATGGTGATTCACTTGTAGCCTCTTCAGATGGTGACTTACTTGTAGTCACTTCATTTGGTGAATCACTTGTGGCCTCTTCAGATGGTGACGCACTTGTGGCCTCTTCAGATGGTGGCTCACTTGTAGTCTCTTCAGATGGTGACTCACTTGTAGCCTCTTCCGATGGTGACTCACTTGTGGCCTCTTCAGATGGTGACTCCCTTGTAGTCTCTTCATTTGGTGAATCACTTGTGGCCTCTTCTGATGGTAATTTACTCGTGGTCTCTTCAGCTGGTGACTCACTTGTAGCCTCTTCAGATGTTGATTCACTTGTGGCCTCTTGAGATGGTGACTCAATTGTAGCCTCTTCCGATGGTGACTCACTTGTACTCTCTTCCGGTGGTGACTCACTTGTAGCCTCTTCCGATGTTGATTCACTTGTGGGCTCTTCAGATGCTGACTCACTTGTGGCCCCTTCAGATGCTGACTCACTTGTAGCCTCTTCCGATGGTGACTCACTTGTAGCCTCTTCCGATAGTGATTCACTTGTAGCCTCTTCAGATTGCGACTTATTTGTAGCCTCCTCAGAGGGTGACTCACTTGTAGCCTCTTCCGATGGTGACTCACTTGTAGCCTCTTCAGATGGTGACTCACTTCTAGCCTCCTCAGATGTTGACTCCCTTGTAGCCTCTTCAGATGGTGACTCACTTGTGGCCTCTTCAGATGGAGACTCACTTGTAGGCTCATCCGATGGTGATTCACTTGTAGCCTCTTCAGATATCGATTCACTTGTAGCCTCTTCGGATGGCGACTCACTTGTAGCCTCTTGAGATGGTGACTCACTTGAAGCCTCCTCAGATATTGACTGACTTGTAGCCTCTTCAGATGGTGACTCACTTGTGGCCTCTTCCGATGGTGCTTCACTTGTAGCGTCCTCAGATGTTGACTCACTTGTGGCCTCTTCAGATGGTGACTCACTTGTAGCCTCTTCCGATGGTGATTCACTTGTAGCCTCTTCAGATGGTGACTCACTTGTGGCCTTTTCAGATGGTGACTCACTTGTAGCCTCTTCCGATGGTGATTCACTTGTGGCCTCTTCAGATGGTGACTCACTTGTAGCCTCTTTCGATAGTAATTCACTTGTAGCCTCCTCAGATGATGGCTCACTTGTAGCATCTTCAGATGGTGACTCACTTGTAGCCACTTCAGATGGTGATTCACTTGTGGCATCTTCAGATTGTGACTCACTTGTAGCGTGTTCAGATGTTGACTCACTTGTAGCCTCTTCAGATGTTGCGTCACTTGTAGCCTCTTCAGATGTTGACTCAATTGTAGCCTTTTCAGATGGTGACTCACTTGTGGTCTCTTCAGATGGTGACTTACGCGTGTTCTCTTCAGATGGTGACCCACTTGTAGCCTCTTCAGATGTTGATCCACTTGTCGCCTCTTCAGATGGTGATTTACTTGTAGCCTCTTTAGATGGTGACTCACTTGTTGTCTCTTGAGATGGTGACTGACTTGTGGTCTCTTCAGATGTGGACTCACTTGTAGCCTCTTCCGATGGTGAATCACTTGTAGCCTCTTGAGATGGTGATTCATTTGTAGCCTCTTGAGATGTTGATTCACTTGTGGCCTCTTCAGATGGTGACTCACCTGTAGTCTCTTTAGATGGTGACTCACTTTTGGCCTCTTCAGATGGTGACTCACTTATAGTCTCTTCAGACGGTGACTCACTTGTGGCCTCTTCAGATGGTGAATCACTTGTGGCCTCTTGAGATGGTGATTTACTTGTGGTCTCTTCATATGGTGACTCACTTGTGGCCTCTTCAGATGGTGACACACTCGGTGCCCCCTCAGATGGTGACTCACTTATGACCTCTTTAGAGGGTGACTTACTTGTGGCCTTTTCAGATGGGGATTCGCTAGTTACCTCGTCCGATGGTGATTCACTAGTCGTCTGTTCAGATGGCGATTCACTCGTGGCCCCCACAAATGGGGACTTACTGGTGGTTTCTTCAGATGGCGATTCACTTGTGGCCTCTTCAGAAAATGAGTCGCTTGTGGTCTCTTCAAATGGTGATTCACTTGTGACCTCTTCATATGGTGGATCAGTTGTAGGATCTTTAGAAGGTTTTTTGGTTCTGGCCTTTACAGACGGTGACTCAGTTATGACCTCTTCAGTAGGTGATTCACTTTTGGCCCCCTCAGATGGTAATTCAGTTTTGGCTTTTTCAGAGGGTTGTACAGTTGTCGCCCTTTGAGATGGTAATTTAGTTGTCACCTGTTCAGAAAAAGACTCACTTCTTACCTCTTCAGATGGCGACTCACTTGTGGCCTCCTCAGATGGTAATTCACTTGTTCTCTCCTCCGATGGTGATTCACTGGTCGCTTCTTCAGATGTCGATGCGTTCGTGGCCTCCACAGATGGGGACTCAGTTGTTGTCTCTTCAGCTGGTGATTTACTTGTGGCGTCTTGAGGCAATGATTCGCTTGTGGCCTCTTCAAATGGTGATTCAGTTGTGGCCTCCTCATGTGGTGACTCAGTTGTAGGATCTGTAGAGGGTGATTTAGTTCTGGCCTCTTCATGTGGTATATCAGTTGTGGCCTTTTCAGATGGTGGTACATTCGTGGCCTTTTTAGATGGTAATTCAGTTGTCGTCTCTTCAGAAGACTCACTTGATGCTTTTTCAGATGGCGACTCACTTGTGGCCTCCTCAGATGACAATGCACTCGTTGATGTATCTTCCGATGGTAATTCAGTTGTGGCCTTTTCACTTGGTAATTCAGTTTTTTTCTCTTCAGATGGTGACGCGCGTGATGTGTCTTCAGATGGCAATTCACTTGTCTCTTCAGATGGTGATTCACTTAAGGGCTGGTGAGATGGTGATTCAGTTGTGCCCTCTTTGGATGGTGATACACTCGTACTTTCTTTAGACTGTGACTCACTTGTCGCTTCTTCAGATGGCGATTCACTTGTAGCCTTTTCAGATGGTGACTGACTTGAGGCCTGTGCGGATGCTGTTGTAGTGAATTTCCTTTGAGCCGCTACATCAGTAGGGTTCTCAGTTTGAACTGGTAATGTCCTAACAGGTAATTCAGGTGTTCCCCTTGACGAAGGATTTTTACTTTTGACTGCTGAAGATGGTGATTCCGTTTTTCCTTCTTCAGAAGGTGATTCACTCGATAACCCCATAGAAGGTACTTCACTAACGGCTTCAGAAAGGAATTTCTGGGTAGATACTTTAAGAGGCGACTCACTTGCTGGTGTCTTGAGAGGGACCTCAGTGAGGACCTCTTCCGAAGATGATTCGTTTGCAAGTGCCGGAGTTGATGACCCACTTGTTGCCTCTTCAGTTAGTAATTCACTTGTGGCCTCTTCAGATGGTGATTCACTTGTTGGCTTTCCCGATGGGGATTCACTTTTTGCCTCTACAGATGGTGATTCAGTTGTGGCCTCTTCAGATAGCATTTCACTTGCTCCTTCTTCAGATGGTGACTCACTAGTTGTCTCCTCAGACGGCAATTTTCCTGTGACCTTCTGAGATGGTGACTCACTAGCTGTCTCCTCAGATGGCGAATCACCTGTGGCCTCCTCAGATGCTGATTCACTTGTGACTTCGTCAGATGGTGACTCATTTGTGACCTCTTCAGATGATGATTCAATTGTTCTCTCTTTAAACGGTGATTCACCTGTGGCCTCTACAGATGTTGATTCGCTTGTGGTCTCTACAGATGGCGATTGACTTGTCGGGTCTTCAGACGGTGATTCACTCGTCGCCTCGTCAGATGGCGATTCGCCTGTGCCCTTCTCAGAGGCTGTTTCACTTGTGGCCTGTTCAGATGGTGGAGAAGTTGTTGTCTCCTCAGATAACGACTCACTTGTGGCCTCTTCAGAGTGTGATTCAATTGTTGCCTCCTCAGAACGTGATTTACTTGTGGTCCCTTCAGATGGTGATTCACTTGTGGCCTCCTTAGATGGTGATTCACTTGTGGCATCTTCAGATAGTGACTCACTTGTTGCCTCCTCAGATGGTGACTCACTTTTGGCCTCTTCAGATGGTGACACAGTTGTTGCCTCATCAGATGGTGACTCACTTGTTGCGTCCTCATACGGTGATTGACTTGTGTTAACTTCAGATGGCGACTCACTTGTTGCCTCTTTAGATGGTGACTCACTTGTTCCCTCCTCATATGGTGATTCACTTGTGGCCTCCTCAGCTGGTGATTCACTTACGGTCTCTTTAGATAGTGGCTCACCTGTTGCCTCCTCAAATGGTGACTCACTTGTGGCCTCCTCAGATGGTGATTCACTTGTTGCCTCTTCAGCTGGTGACTCACTTGTTGCCTCCTCAAATGGTGACTCACTTGTGGCCTCCTTAGATGGTGATTCACTTGTCGCCTCCTCAGCTGCTGATTCATTTGTTGCCTCTTCAAATGGCGACTCACTTGTGGCCTCCTCAGAAGATGATTCGCTTGTGCCCTCTTCAGATGGTGACTCACTTGTTGCCTCGTCAGATGGTGATTCACTTCTGGCCTCTTCAGATGGTGACTCAGTTGTTGCCTCCTTAGATGATGACTCACCTGTTGCCTCGTCAGATGGTGACTCACTTGGTTCCTTTTCAGATGGTGAGTCAGTGCTTGCCTCTTCAGATGGTGACTCACTTGTGGCCTCTTCAGATGGTGACTCACTTATTGCCTCCTGAGATAATGATTTACTTGTTGCCTCTTCAGGTGGTGACTCACTTGTTGCCTCGTCAGATGGTGACTCACTTGTTGCCTCTTCAAATGATGACTCTCTTGTGGCCTCTTCAGATGGTGATTTACTTGTTGCCTCCTGAGATGGTGGCTCACTTGTAGCCTCCTCAGATGGTAACTCGCTTGTTGCCTCTTCAGATGGTGACTCGCTTGTTGACTTTTCAGATGGTGACTCACTTGTTGTCTCTTCAGATGGTGTCTCATTTCTGGCCTCTTCAGATGGTGACTCACTTGTGGCCTCCTCAGAAGATGATTCACTTGTTGCCTCCTGAGATAGTGATTCACTTGTTGCCTCTTCAGGTGGTGACTCACTTGTTGCCTCGTCAGATGATGACTCACTTGTTGCCTCTTCAGATGGTGATTCACTTGTTGCCTCCTGAGATGGTGGCTCACTTGTAGCCTCCTCAGATGGTAACTCGCTTGTTGCCTCTTCAGATGGTGACTCGCTTGTTGCCTTTTCAGATGGTGACTCACTTGTTGTCTCTTCAGATGGTGTCTCATTTCTGGCCTCATCAGATGGTGATTCACTTGTGGCCTCTTCAGACGGTAATTTAGTTGTTGCCTCCTGAGATGGTGACTCGCTTGTTGCCTCTTCAGATGGTGACTCAATTGTAGCCTCTTGAGATGGTGACTCACTTGTTGCCTTTTCAGATGGTGACTCACTTGTTGTGTCGTCAGATGGTGTCTCACTTGTGACCTCTTCAGATGGTGACTCACTTGTTGCCTCCTGAGATAATGATTTACTTGTTGCCTCTTCAGATGGTGACTCACTTGTTGTGTCTTCAGATGGTGACTCATTTGTGGCCTCTTCAGATGGTGATTCACTTGTTGCCTCCTGAGATGGTGACTCACTTGTAGCCTCCTCAGATGTTAACTCGCTTGTTGCCTCTTCAGATGGTGACTCACTTGTTGCCTCTTCAGATGGTGACTCACTTGTTGCCTCGTCAGATGGTGACTCACTTGTTGCCTCTTCAGATGGTGACTCACTTGTTGCCTCTTCAGATGGTGTCTCATGTGTTGCCTCTTTAGATGGTGACTCACTTGTGGCCTCTTCAGATGGTGATTTACTTGTTGCCCCCTGAGATGGTGACTCGCTTGTTGCCTCTTCAGATGGTGAGTCACTTGTTGCCTCGTCAGATGGAGACTCACTTGTTCGTCAGATGGTGACTTGTGTCTTCTTGTTGCCTCCTGAGATAATGATTCACTTGTTTCCTCTTCAGGTGGTGACTCACTTGTTGCCTCTTGATTTACTTGTTGCCTCCTGAGATGGTGCCAGATGGTGACTCACTTGTGACCTCTTCAGATGGTCAGATGGTGACTTGTTGCCTCCTCAGACTTGCTTCTTTGTAACTCACTTGTTGCCTCTTCAGATGGTGATTCCTTGTTGCCTCCTCAGATGGTGTCTCTTGTTGCCTCAGATGGTGACTCACAGATGGTGTTGCCTCTTCCTTTTGTTGCCGCTTCAAATGGTGGCTCACTTGTGGCCTTGTTAGATGGTGATTCGCTTGCTGCCTTTTCAGATGGTGATTCACTTGTTGCCGCTTCAGATGGTGGCCCACTTGTGGCCTCCTCAGATGGTGATTCACTTGTTGCCTCTTCAGATGGTGACTCACTTGTTGCCTCCTCAGATAGTGACTCACTTGTTGCCTCTTTAGATGGTGACTCACTTGTTGCCTCCTCAGATGGTGACTGACTTGTTGCGTCTTTAGATGGGGACTCACTTATTGTCTCCTCAGATGGTGACTCACTTTTTGCCGCTTCAGATGGTAACTTGCTTGTTGCCTTGTCAGATGGTGACTGACTTGTTGCCTCTTCAGATGGTGACTCACTTGTTGCCTCCTCAGATTGTGATTCACTTGTTGCCTCTTCAGATGGTGACTCACTTGTTACCTCTTCAGATGGTGACTGACTTGTTGCGTCTTTAGATGGGGACTCACTTATTGTCTCCTCAGATGGTGACTCAGATGGTGACTGACTTTTGCCTCTTCAGATGGGTCACTCCTCAGATGGTGTTGCCTCTTCAGATGGTAAGTCGCTTGTTGCCTCCTCAGATGGCGACTCACTTGTGGCATCTTCAGATTGTGATTCACTTGTTGGCTTTTCAGATGGTGATTGACTGGTTTTCTCTTCAGATTGTGATTCATTGGTTTCCTTCTCAAATGGCGACTCATTTGTTGCCACTTCTGATGGGGATTTACTTGTGGCCTCCTCAGGTGGTGATTCAGTTTTGGGCTTTTTAGACAGTGGCCTATTTGTGGTCTCTTTAGACGGTGATTTACTAGTGGCCTTTTTAGATGGCGATTCACTTGTGGCCTCTTCAGATGGTGATTCACCTGTTGTCTTTTGAGAAGGTGATTCACTTGTGGCCTCTTTAGATGTTGGTTTACTTGTGCCCTGTTTAGATGGCGACTCACTTGTTGTCTCTTGAGATGGTGATTCACTGGTGGACTCTTCAGATTGTGATTCACTTGTAGCCTCTTCAGATGGTGTTTGTTCACTGCCAATTTGTGCAAGGTTTGGCGGTGGTGTCTCACTTTCAAGTCGAGTGTCTAACGGGGTGGGTAATTTAGTAGCCTCAATAACTGGTACTTTATTCTCTGTTTGATTTAAAGGTGATGACGTGATCTCCTGTATTTCAATGGTTGAACCGTCTTCAGGTGGTGCGTGTCCAATTAACATGCCCTCTAGAGATAAAAGCATGGAATAGCAAAGTTAGTAACCTGCACAATTTGATCAATGCTGAGGGATTTTACTGTGTCTTTTTGGTTTGGGTATAACCTGGAAAGTCATGAAATTTCAAAATTTCATTTTCCAGAGCTGAAAATTCATGGAATTTAATAATCTGTCTAGGAAAGTCATGGAAATTTAAAATTATTTTCATTTTTTGGGAGATTAATTACTGCAGATGCCAAGGCAACCACGAGCAAACGTTTCCTTTAATTGAACGGGTACGCAATCCCTCTCTTGACGCACAGATGCTTGCGCTTTGCCAGCCACGAAACCTTGGGTGTTTTTAAACTGAAGTCTTCCGGTGAGCCTCACTTTTATGCAGTGTTTAATGGGTTACACTAATCCTAGCCCTCTATTGTTGATTTAAACATGCAGCCGTTTCACCTGCTATGAGACCAGCCACTCCTCGATCGATCCTAGATGTATCGTACGTACTTGTTTCAATACGTCGGCGGTATATCTAGTCCTTATGGTGTTTGTCTACTGGTGTATCACGAAAAGAGGAAGATGCTACTATCTTAGTAATACGAGTATTTGTTACTGACGTCTTTTCTTTATTGTCGTAATCTACTAGGGTTTTACAATTGGATTGCTACAGGGCGTTCGGAAAATTCTCCCTTTGTAAACGTTATCATCCCCAATCCTGAATGCAACATATTTAGATCCTATTTTCTTTTACTCGCGGGCCGTTTTCTCAAACATCACTATTCTACGGTTGAAAATCTGAAACTGAGATAACTCTCTACTGTTTAGAAAAAAGTTTCAGGACATTCCAGAATCATTTAAGCACATAATTCTCTGGTAGCTAAACGTAAATAACCTCATGTCCCGAAAGTAATGTCGCTGGATCAGGAATCAACCACATGTCCTTTTGTTTCTCGACATTTTAATACCTCTTTTAACGTAACCTGATGGTTTCAAAATGTCATGCTACTAAAAGAGCGAGGAAATCTCAGAAATCTGGGCGAAATCCCGTGAAGTTCTTTTATGTACATACTTCTCTACGAAGTCTTCTTCTACGAAACCTGTTTCTGTTTGTTTTTGTCGCGAAATTTATCAAACTTCAAGCTGTGGGAACTGCCATTGAATTGAGTGAAACATAAAAATAATCGCTCAAAACGTTAAAAGAAGGTATAAGTAACACAGCAGCTACAAAAAGAAGCACAGAGGGACAAACTTGAAGAAGATTGATGCGGATTGCAATAGTGGATTTAGTCTAACAGTTTTTTAAAGTTCTTTTTCGTTGTTTGTTATAGTGCTTGGGAGGCATATTTGTTTGACGCAAAGCTGTGATTTTGTCATTCACAAGTAAGTTCTCAAGTTTTAGAGCAAATAAGGACGCGTGACTGGCATTATAAAGAAAGTGAAAGTAGTCAGCCATGTCACATCCCGGCCCTTAAGGGAGCTTAAGCAACAACGACGGCGACGGCTACGGCTACGAAAACGTCACTTAAAAAATGAATTCGCGGTGCCTCAAACCATCTTGTTTTGATTCGTCAAATGTTGACATATTTTTTTGAGCTGAATTCTAAAGGACTGTACATGTATCAAAGCTCAAGAAAAGAAAAAAGAGTTCCCGTCCTCAACAGAACGTGAAATTAGGCCCTTGCACGTTGTAGTCGTGCAACGACGACTAAGAAATGTACAAAAAAGAGTGATGCACGTGCAAAGTTGTTGTTTTGCTAATCAAACCTATTGCTTTTTTGCCGTTCTCGTTGCCGTCGCCGTCGTAGTTGCTTAAGCTCCCTAATGTATTATATATTTACCATTATATATAGGTTCCCAGTCGTCATAAAATTCATCCTCTGCATTAAACTCTGGCAGTTTTGGAAAAGCTCTCGGTTCCTGTGGTGACAGATCAGAATTGTAACAGTTAGTGACACACTCACTCTTCTTCTTTCGTATAAAAAAAATATTTTCTGTTCGAGGCTTAGTCAGGACTTTACTTTCTCATTTGTCGCGATTTGAAGTCTCAAAATAGTAAATACAGTAATAAACTGTAAGGCATAAAAAATGTATTGTCCTTGTTACTCAATGTTGTTACTTAACCCTACAGTGACGTCAAACTATGAGGAAACTACACTCAAGTAGTACCCCTCATCTGGTCGTGCCTCTTAAATCGGGAATCCCAAAACTCCGAGCGTCAATACATCAAACTTGAGGAAAGTTTTACTAAAGCCGAATCCGAAGTAGATTGATTAACTTATAGTTTAATCATCACCTTATTATTCGTCTATCTGACCTTTTGACTTGAGAGGGACTGGTATCTCTCTCATCGGAAGGTTTCTATTCATTTTTTCTCCATTTTAAATCATGGTCGCTTGTCTTGCATCTTAGTTTGTTTTTTCTCTGGAATTATAGACAAGCTGATAATATGAAATCGGTGTTCATTATTTCCAATACAATCATACACTTTGCTCGCCAACTATTCACCCCTCAGTTTGCCTATTCCTTGTATGGCGGCTTTCTCGGTCAATGCATTTCGGTAACTTATCAAAAGCTCGCTCGGACCACGGGACCCGAAACGCAATGGCCGCACTTTTTTTGTCCTGTCCCTTCCTCAAACTAAAAAACCATGTAAAGTTGTCTCTCGAATTTATACCTCAACGAATAAGTCGTCTGACAGATAATTCGTGTAAATGGATAATACGCCTCCAGTATATATCTATATACATACAAATAGTAGTTATGGTAATTGGTAGCAATATGTAAATAGTTAATTTTAGGTAAACAAGGCACATGATTTGTAGATATGCTGCAGCTATTATTTAATAAGTGCGTGAAATATGATCGTCCGGGAGATTGTTCGGGTCTGGCAAAGTCCCTCAACAAGTGTTGTAAATTATCCCTGAAACGCCCTGAGGGGAGTGGATAATGTGATATTTACATTTACACACTTACATTACATTTACATTTATTTACATTTATAATGTAGTGCTGAATAGGACTGTTGTTGATAGTGACTGGCGTTTCGACAACCTTAGGTGCGGTAGTCCGGCATTTTCACGGTCAAGGTTAGTTGTATCACGTCCGTTGATGGTAATGAACTCTGGTCATTGACCTTAATGGTCGTTTAAGTTGTTATGATATTGGTCATCTGTCAGTTAAGCTGTGATGCTGCTATTGGCTATGAAGACTCTAGATGAGATTGGTGCGTTTCGATCCGACTTTTGTCAAAATTTAACGGTCCTTTAATCTCTGTTGTCAAGAAGGAATAATGGGACATCAGGCACCTAACGAGGGTTTCCTCCCAAATTCATTTTAAAGACTTTTTATGCTATCCAGAGTATTTTAGATCTCTAGAAATGAATTCTAAGTAGCGCTATAAAATTTGTATGTGTTCGGTCATCCTAGGGGAACTTGAGTGTTTTCGAAATTACAAGGGCTTCAGTATTATTTTCCCGAAGATTTTAGATGCAATTTAGCGCATTACGAAAAAGAAAAATTGTTCGATTCCTCTCTCCATCACATTTTTTAATCCAAAATTTTAGGTTTCCTTTTTCCTACGAAAAATAGTCTAACGTGGGATGTGAAATGTGAAAAATCAAACTTCAGTAAATCGTAGGGGATTTATTAGATAAGCTTCGAAAATTGTACAGGAATGGAACGGTCATCTAGAAATTTTTAGCCTTCCTCAAGTAATAGAAAATTCTAGGCAATACTTGCTTCTCCGAACAGATATTTTACAGAAAACAGTGTTTGGGTGCCACTGGGACATTAGAGACATTAGAGACCTTTAGATTCGAGGACGAGAACGACTCGAGTACGAGATTTGACTTCAAGTTTTTTCGCGTATTCTCAAAATATAGACTCCCCGGAAAGCTTAATTTTACCATTTTTCAGCAGAAAAGTTAGCACTGTTATCGCTAGTGAAGGAGGTTACGCCCTCTCCCGATAGCAAAATGATAAAACTTCTAGCATTTGATATCTTGTTTTCGCCAGGACGACATTCTCGCTAAAACTCGTAGTAGCATGACGACGGCCACCACGTTTTCCCGCCAAAATGACGCTGACTCACTCGCGTACTGAGAAAATCTCGAACACGTAGTCGTTGTCGTCTTAGAATCTAAAGCTCTCTATTTTGCTCTCTTGAACAGATCCCCTCTCGGCCCCATTATTCCCCCTTGGCGAAACGTGAAATCGATTGGGACTCTGCGACATGCCGCATTTTGTACATTTCAGACTATACAAATAGGACAGGTGCCGGCGAAAATATTTAATTTTGTTTCCCGAGATTTTCACCGTTTCGAGGAAAACATTGAATTCGAGGGAATCTCTGCCAGCGGTTAACATTCGCGCTGCTACCCTCTGACGTAACAGATTTTGTAATAGGGAGCTTAGCAATGACGATCGCGACGGCCACGAAAACGTCACTTAAAAAGTGAATTCGCGCTGCCTAAAACTTTATCGCGCTTATTCCATCTCGTTTAATTCGTCAAATGTTGTCAGATTCTTTTGGAGTTGAATTCTAAAGGACTGTATTAAAGTTCAGGAAAAGAAAAAGAAAGTTGTTGCCGTGTGTTCCCGTCCTCGACAAAACGTGAAATTAGGCTCTTTCACGTTGTAGTCGTGCAACGACGTCTAAGAAATGAGCAAAAAGCGTGATGCACGTGCAAAGTTGCTGTTTTGCTATTGCTTTTTTGCCGCTGTCGTTGCCGTCACCGTCGTCATTGCTTAAGCTCCCTAACTCAGAAACGTTTGGAAGGAAACAGTGTAATTGTTAAATGTCATGTGACCTTGAAGTGACCAATGAGAGAACAATTTGCGGGGGAGGTAATTTCAGCTTTACAGCAAGTTCATTATCTGTTGTAATGGTCGGTGATTTCTTTTCTTTTGTTTTATATGTTTAGTGTGAGCCCGGGAGTGAACGAAAACTGAAGAAATGCGCGGCCTCGGTGTTATCGGAAGAGGCCACTTTTCGTAAGCCGGAACATTGCGTGAAGAAGAGA